AGGACTAGTCTTTGCCTACTGTGGCACAAAATTCAAAAACGCTATACAGTTTTCTGGTCTGTAATAAGCAAATAAGTCGAAACGCCGAGACAGTCTTCGCCTACTGTGGCACAAATCCAAACGCTGATACAGAGACTGGTTACCTCTGTAGAAGCACCAAGTCGAAACGCCAAGACAGCTGCTACTCGCTGGGCACTAAGTCGAAACGAGAGAGTTACTCACTAAAACTTGAGATGAAGACTCATTAAAAATGAACGAGAGAGTTACTCATTAAAACTACCTAAGTCGAAACTTTTTCTTTTATTCCTAAAAGAGCCCGCTGGAGGATTGCTTTGCTTTCTAATATCTCTTTCTGTTATCAAAATGCTCTTTAGCACTAGGCGTCTAGTAAGCGATAGCTATCGCTTACCTAGACAAAGGCCAAAGCACCACAGACACACTTCAAGCACAAACTCGTATTTGTAAATAAATCTAGTTAGAACGGCCTCGGCCAAAGTCTTACATAGCCTCGAGCTCACTAGACTCTAATGGAACAATAATACACGGCGAATCAGACGGTACTTGTCTACAACGTGACGCCAAGCCAGCCCGGATTACGCCAAGTCCCCGTCCCTCGGCATCCAGCAACTGGCATAGAACGTGCAAGGTCTACCCCCAATAAGGCAGTTCGCCAGGATATTCAATGATGCTATATATTGGCTCGTGGCATGGGCCAGGCTAGCGGATGTGGGCTGGCCCAGGCAGCTGGCTTGCTGTTGAGCAGTAAGAACGCTCCATTATCGCACGAGGGCGGCTGAACATGCAATCTTCCGCACGCATGGATGTACCCCAACAGCTGCATGCATTTCCTGGTGGCTGGATATGCAGACTCTGATTCTGTCCAAGTATGCGGCACCGAGGAGCGCTTGAGGCTTATAAAAGTCCCAAGTACAGCCTCCCAAGCTTCTGCTTCATCGCAACCTTTGAGAGTCTTGTGTCATCCTCAATCTCTCAATCGCGTTCGTCATGAAGTGCACATGCTCGGCTGCCGTGGCAGCAGCCCTTTTGCTGGCGTCTGTTTCGGCGCAGACGTTTCGGCGCCTTGGAGCTTGTCCAACGCTTGGTGTGTTTATCCCTGTTGGCAATTGACATGAGAATCTAACGTCTGCAGGTTGTGTCTTCCCTCCTGACCAGTAAGTGCATGTTTTACTCGAAGTATGGTCGAAAGTCTCGTATTTTGAGTGTGAAACTTGGAGCGAGCCATGTCCGCGGAGCATAATCCAAGAGAGACGAGTTTGTCGGCTTCTCACAAAGTTTCAGAGTCCATCTCCTAACCATATCCTAGGGCTGATTTCCTCGCTGGTCAATTCTTCGATATCCGTCTCGAGGTCCATCAGCCCAAGAATGGCTCCGAGTTTAACGGTCTTCCTCTAGACGAAAAGTTCACTTTTACCGTTGGCAAGAAGGGCGAACAAGCAAAGCCAGTCACCGAATTCTTCGAGCTTGATGAGCCCAAGCTGGAGAAGTGGAACTTTACATGGTACGAGGGTAAGTATGATCATTTAAATTGATCTTTCAAAGATTGTTGGCGGACGGTACTGGATGTGGTCGCATGGGTGAAGGTGCCAGTCACGTGCTTGGTTAATCAGCGTCCAGACCTATTCGCGCGCGACGCAAAGAAACCCTCTTTCGTCAACGTAGCTTCCAAAGCCTACCGCCGTATTGCTCTTTACGAGCCCGGCGAATATACCGCCACTTTGCATTACAACAATGGCAGCAAGACCGAGGCCACATGGATCGTCCGCGACCTGGCAGAAGAACGCAAGACAAAGAACATTATCCTCTTCATCGGAGACGGCATGACTACTGCAATGATTACTGCAGGCCGACTGATTGCCCATAAATCAACCAACGGAAAGTACCAGTCCACACTCGCTATGGATAAATTCCCAATTCTTGGACACCAGGTATGTATACACCTATAGCAGAGTTACTAAAGACTGACAACCAAATCGATGACGCATAGTTTGGATTCCTTCATAACAGACTCGGCCAATTCAGCCGCCGCGCTAAACACGGGCCACAAGAGCAGCGTGAACTGTCTCAATGTGTATGCGGATAGCTCCGCCGATCCCTTTGACGACCCCAAAGTAGAGTCTATTGCTGAGATATTCCACCGCCTAACCGGCGGACACATCGGGATCGTTTCGACTGCATTCATTGCCGATGCTACTCCGGCCGCTTTGGTTGCCCATACTCGTCTTCGAAGTGAATACGGAGCAATCGTAGACACGTTTCTCAACGGGCTGCAGAACTACACTTGGACGAAGACGCCCATTGACGTGATTTTTGGCGGCGGGGCCGAGCAGTTTTACCCGCCTGAGCTTGGGGGCAAGACCTACCAGAACAGGAACTACTATGATGAGTTTGCGGCCCAGGGCTACCAAATCATTCAGAACCGCACTGCTCTTCTGGCTGCGCCGAGCGACAAGAAGACACTGGGGATTTTCTCCACATCCAACATGGCCAAGTGGCTTGACCGCAACGTTTACCGTCAGAACATGAATCAGACGGTATCTCCTACTGGTGACAAGAAGCCAGCTCTCGACCAGCCTGGCCTCAAGGAAATGACCCTGAAAGCTATTGACATTCTTGAGAGCCGTTCCGGTGATGCCGGGTGGCTACTCATGTCTGAGGCGGCAAGTATCGACAAGATGATGCACGTTCTGGACTACGACCGCGCTCTTGGCGAGCTTCTTGAACTCGACGACACTGTGAAGGCCACAATCAAACACCTCAACTCTATAGACTCTCTGAAAGAGACGCTTATTCTTGTTACTGCCGATCACGGCCATGGTTTCGATGTTATGGGCTCTGTTGACACGCACTACCTTGCTGCCCAGAATGTTGATCGCAAGAAGCGCAGCGCAATAGGCGTGTACCAGGAATCGGGCGAATCCCAATACATCAACACTGGCAATCTGACTTACAGCTCTTCCAACTTCCCGTCGAACTGGGATCCCCGCTACACCCTATTCCAAGGCCTTATGGCTGATCCTGATCGTCGCGAATCTTGGTCAGTGAGAAAAGAAGGTCCCCGTAAGCCAGCGGTTGAACTGGAAGAGGATAGCGACGATTACTATGTCAACCCCAAGGACGGCAAGGGCGGTATTTTGCTCAACGGAACACTACCCGTGGAGAAGGATCAGGGCGTACACTCCTTGACCGACGTCCCGGTTTACGCCATGGGCCCCTGTCAAGAACTGTTTCAGGGAACCTACAGCAACATCGATATCTTCTACAACATGGCCACATGTTTTGGTCTCGGTCGTGGTGAGCCGTCTGAAGAGAAAAGATAAGAGTTTTGGAGGAAAACAGTACATGATGATGTAATGACGAGAATTTGTAGCAGTAGTGATTCCCCATTATAGTATATACCTGTTGAATATGTAATCACTATAATGCATTCGGCAAATATTGCCGATCCAGGTATTTGCCCCTCAGCTGGCCCACCCTTGAACGGAGCGCCTGCTAAGGCCTGTCCGATTCTCGATTCTCGATCTCCGTTTGTGACCCCATTTTGGGCGTAGCAGCTTCTGTTAGGCTTACTAAACCGAGATAAAACGGGGAACAGAGAACGGAGAGCTGTTCGGCAAAACGCCGTTCTGTAGATCACGTGATCCTACTGCGTGATAGGCAGCCTCTATCGAATATAGGCAAGTAAGCACTAAACTTGATTTATTTCCTTAGCGCTACGCCAACAAAACGGAACCTCCGTCTGTGGCTTCAAAGCCTCCGTTTTACCGAACCCGACGCCGCTCCTATCTCCGTTTTTTGAGCGGAGCTCCAATACGACTAGCGGAACGGAAACCGGAGTTCTACCGAACAGACCCCTCTCTACTAACCCCGCCAATACCGTCTACGTCGTCGCATCAGCATCTTTGCGTTTACTGAACTAGCCAGCCAAAAATATCTGTGGATCTTGGCTGTAGACTAATCGGAAGAGCTTTGCCTGGCTGATACATAAGCTCCAGCGCGACGTGTTCCTTTGCACACACCTTAGCATCCACGCCTGTCCACGTACTATCTACCACATTTTTAGTTTCAAATCCATACTAAGAATGGCTTCAAGTTCTACTACCTTCGATTACTCCTCGCTTAAGGAGCTGCTGAAAGATAGCAATGCCGAGGTTCTTCTTCCCAATGACGGCCAAGCGTACGAGAAGAGCATCGAAAGATGGAGCGAACACTGTATCAAGAGAGCTGTAGGTCTTCATCGATCTTTCTTCATCTTCCGTGACAATGGACACAAGGAGAGTTGACGCTCTACCCGAGATGGAATGCGGGCGGATGATGCAAATGTAATCCCTTTCTAGAAGGCATCAGCCCGTAACCACTTCTCACCATCCAACTCCCCTCTTTAAATTTATCGTTAGTCATTCGAGTTCTAATCTCACATGAGGCTGCTGTTGTAATGGTCACCTCCGCCGACGATGTATCTGCAACCCTAGCCCAGATACGCAAACACAACATCTCGTTCACCGTCCGGGGAGGCGGTCACTCCACCTCTGGAGCCGCCTCAATTGAAGACGGCATTGTGATTGATCTCTCCAAGATGCGCAAGGTTACTGTAGATACTCAAGCTAAGACTGTTACCGCTGAGGGAGGAACCATCTGGGAAGATGTTGATGTCGAGGCTGCAAAGTACGGTCTTGCAACCGTTGGAGGTACCGTGAATCATACAGGTGTAGGAGGTCTTACGCTCGGTGGTGGATATGGTTATCTCACCGGAAAGTATGGATTGACAATCGGTGGGTTACTTTCTTTCTTCGATACTTTGAAATGGGCTTTGAGCGCCTGAAAATACTGACAAAGCCAGACAACCTTCTCTCTGTACAAATCGTTCTCGCTTCCGGAGAGCAGGTTATTGCTTCTTCAACCTCAAACGAAGATCTTTTTTGGGCAGTATGTGGCGCCGGTCAAAACTTCGGTGTGGTAACAGCATTCACCTTCCAAGCCTATGATCAGAAGAACCAGGTCTTCGCAGGGCCACTAGTGTTTCTTCCGGACAAGATCCCTCAAATTGTCGAGTTTGCCAACAAATTCCACAAAGTCAACGATGGCAACCAAGCAATGCTCATGGCATTTTCTGCTCCCCCACCAGCAAATGTGCCAGTTGTTCTCTGTCAGCTGTTTTACAATGGTCCCGAAGATGAGGCGACTGCTTTCTTTTCGGATCTCTACGAACTTGGGCCTATCGCGAATATGGCGGCCATGATTCCGTACGAGAAGCTGAACAGTCTACTTAATCAAGGAGCTGGATTCGATGGCCGCAAACAGTTTGGTGGCGGAGCCTTCAAACTTCCTCTAGACCCTAGTCTTGTTGTTCAGATCCATGCCGAGTTCAACGCTTTCGTCGCATCTCACGAACGCATGAATGGGAGCATGATGTTGTTCGAAATTATCCCCTACAAAAAGGTGATCGAAGTGCCGAACGCCAAAACATCATTTGCGAACCGAGGAGATTATTACAATGTTGCTACGATGTTCAAGTGGTTAGTACAGTTACAGAGTATGAGGAACGATACTGACCTACGAGAAAGGTTTAATCCGGCGATCGACAGTGAGATACGTACGTTCTCTCGAAGTCTGCTTAAAAAGACTTCCGAAACTGTTGCGAGCAGGTCAACTGACCGAGGAGTTGGTCAATATGGTAACTATGCAAGTAAGTCATTCCACAATCTGTCATAAGTCTGAGGCTCTGCGCTATGCCGGCACAACATTTTTGCAATGCTAATGAAAATAGCTGCCGATGTGGAAGCGAACGAGATCTTTGGTGCCAATGTAAAACGTCTCGAAGAGCTAAAGCACAAGTACGACCCAGACAACCTTTTCCGTCATGGGAACCGACTGATACCAAGACCTTTGGTGGTTGTCAACTGAGTTTATGCAACTCCTGTCTCTGGTCGATCGTTCTCCAAGTGCTGTCTTATAGTGCTTGCGTCTCGGACTGGAAAACTACTAGATGTACTAGACTAAATACACGAATAGAACAATCGGGGCTTACAACCATTATTCTCCGAAATACAGGCCCAACCTGGCTATTGCTACGTTGGTTGACCGGTCTACCCACCACACACTCCAAGCGTATCATTGAGCCCCACAATCCGTGCGTACCAGTACTAAAAAGCGCTTTTTATCATGAAAAGACCACAATAATTCCTAGCAGCCGGGCGGGGGATATTGCTGCCCGAATGCCCGAAAACTCGGTCGAATTCCGGGATAATCATATAGATTATGGTCGTGCAATGACTGCTGCAGCCCCGGACACGTGTTTTGCGTCCAAAGTACGAGATTCGCTGCTAAATAATGTTCTCATGAGTAATTCCCATAGCCCTGCGCGTCTGGGAACTCCAACATACTCTGGACAGTATATGAAAAAAACCTCCAGCACTCATATACTACGGTGATGCCTTCCGACCGAGCCAACCCAGTTGAATCTCGTGTCCGCACTGGCTATCCACTGACAGTCCCTGACATATCGCGTCCCATTTCCATGTGTCAAAGCCATGGAATCTCATATCCAGTCAAATTCTCGCAGATATCCTAGCAGCCTATCTATTTCTCAGTCACACCGGCGCGAAAATCAACCATTACACGATACGCTTTTCAGGGATGTCCAAAACTATCACTTCGTCAACCACCATGAGCATGGTGAGAGGCTTCACCTCGACGAGAAGCCCATCCCAATCTGTAATACCGGGATCGAAAGAGGGAAACCAGGTACATTAATCCACGACAATAGAGGCAGCAGCGTAGAGAAAGAGGTAGTATCAGCTAAGGACTGCGGAAGCTCTATGGGAGAAACAGCCTATGAAGAGACCAAAAATGGCATATCATACAGATGCGATGCTGAAGATCCCCCGGCTCCAGAAATGAAGTCCTCAAAACCTGCAAAGGACCCCAACTTGGTATGTACAGTTGCAAACGCTCCATAGAACGTCGACTCACGGTAGCCAGGTGACGTGGGATTCCGATGACGATCCTCAAAACCCCAAGAACTGTGAGTAAACGCTACTCTTGCGCTCACCTAGACCAATGTATGCTGATGTGCGGTGGAAGGGTCCATGGGCCGCAAATGGGCTGCACTATCGATTGTCGCCTCTTTCACTTTTGTATCGCCTATAGCGTCCTCGATGATTTCGCCTGCTTTAAAAGATATCAGCAAGGATTTCGGTATCAAGAGTGAAGCAGAGGCTCAGCTGACACTGTCCATCTTTATCCTTGCCTACGCCATTGGACCGCTATCTGTCGGGCCCTTATCCGAGATGTACGGCCGAGTCATTGTACTGCAACTATTCAACTTGTTCTTTCTAGTCTGGAACTTGGCATGCGGATTTGCACAGACGTCGGGGCAGCTTATGGTTTTTCGTTTCCTTAGTGGTTTAGGGGGCTGCGCACCGCTGGCTATCGGTGGCGTGAGTTACCCCTTGATAGTCTCTTCGACGCAACATGTCTGACAACACTATGCAGGGCCTTCTCAGTGATTGCTTCCTGCCTGAACAACGCGGAAAGGCAATCTCAATCTACTCGCTGGGGCCGCTACTCGGTCCCGCTATAGGCCCCATGCTCGGTGGCTTTGTTTCACAAAATACTACTTGTGAGGAAGAACCTGACAATTACAATCATCTGATGCATCTGACGGTATTTTAGGGCGATGGTGCTTCTATTCTACGACGATATTCACCGCCTTTGTACAAGGTCTCGGGGTCTTCTTCCTACAGGAAACGTATGAGCCTTTGCTTCTCGATCGGAAGCGAGATAGGCTATGCAAGGAAACGGGTAATCAGGCGCTATACACGGCATTTGACAACAATGATCGCAGACTTTCGACAAAGATCAAGACTGCAATGAAGAGGCCATTCAAACTCCTGGGAACGCAGCCCATTGTACAGGTCCTCTCAGTTTATGCGGCCTACCTATACGGAACCATGTACCTCATGATTTCCACGTTTCCCATTTTATGGGTCGACCGGTACGGCATGTCGACCAACATTGGCTCCTTAAACTTCCTCTCCATAGGCATCGGATTCTTCCTCGGCACTCAGATCACCGCACCCATCAATGACGCGCTATACCGCCGGTTCAAGGCTCGCAACAACGGCGTGGGTAAGCCCGAATTCCGCATACCCTTGATGATACCTTCATCGATTCTTATCCCCACTGGCATCTTCTGGTACGGATGGAGCGCTCAAGCGCGTCTGCATTGGATAATGCCAAATATTGGCGCAGCCTTGTTCTCTGCGGGAATGGTCGTTTCGTTCCAGTGCATGAATACGTATATTATTGATTCTTACACGCGGTACGCAGCAAGTGGCATGGCAGCAACGACTGTATTGAGGAGCTTAGCGGGATTTTTATTCCCGCTTTTTGCTCCAGCCATGTACAAGGGTTTGGACTTTGGATGGGGTAATAGTTTACTTGGGTTTATCTCATTAGGAATGGGTGTGCCGGCGCCGTTGTTGCTTTGGGTGTATGGCGAGAAGCTGCGGAGTGTGAGCCAATTTGCTGCCGGGTAAGCATCAGAATATGGTGACTGACGAGCGCGTAACATTTGGTTGGATGATATGTGTGCCTGCAGGTTTTCACTTGACTGCTGTATCTGTTGCTGTTGTCCGATGTCCAGTGCGTGTAATAGACTCAGGTCAGTAGATGGATTAATATTCTTCATTAGTATTACCTAAGAGTCACAAATAACGCCATTTCCGCAAAAGATACTTGAGAGTAAAGTGACTTGTTCAAAGAGAAGGTAGACAAGACAGTATAGCGTCATGAAGAAGATGATGATCCGTGCGTGCCCTCTGCAAGGTCGGACCCCTGAACACTTCCCCGCATAAACACACTTTCTGCATGCGCTGGGCTTCAACGCTAGTTTGTGACCCAGATCTCTCCACATATTTTTCAGTTTCTTTTTTGCGAGAAGACACGAAAGATACAGTAATCCAGCAACATGTCCGACGAGGATCTCGAGCAAATCAGGCGCGCGCGCCTGCAGCAACTCCAGCAGCAAAGTGGGGGTAGAGGCTCAGGCGGCCAGGGCTCAGAGCAAGAATCGCGAAAGTAAATATAGCCTTGGACGCAATAAAATGACTGTTTATACATACTAAATTGATGTCGCAGGCAAGCAGAGGGTATGTCAAGTGCATGACCTACTTCGTACCCACCTACCTACATGACCTCACCCTTCGACCTGCCGCCCTCGCCACCACGCTCGCGCAAGACGATACAGTTACTAACACGCTCTTTTTCGCACAGCCGACCAGCGCGCCTCGATCCTCTCTCAAATCCTCCTCCCCGAAGCCGCCGACCGCCTTGGCCGCATCCGCCTCGTCAAGGAATCCCGCGCAACAGACGTTGAAAACCGGCTTATTATGCTTGCGCGAACCGGCCAGATCCGCCAGAAAGTCACGGAGGAACAGCTCAAGGAGATATTGGGAGCTGTAGCGGAGCAGCAGGATAAAGAAGAGCAGAAGATTGTGGTGAATAGGAGGGGTGGGGGATGGGATGATGACGATGAGTTGGAGGAGTTGATGAAAGAAGTTTAGATTTCGACTGCGAGGAATTACGTGCATTTTTGGCGTTTTTTTCTTCTCTCGGGAGGCGGGCATGCATCTCGTATGAGGGACATGAATCAAGGAGGTACGGGTGTGGCTAACCATGTACCATATGGTTTGTTGCATTCAACGTTGGTTGCTACGAGTTTAGCTTCTTAATCTGTTTCTTTACCCTGCCAATCTCAATCTCCTGCGTCCTCATGTCCCTTGCAATGGTAGCAAGCTGCGGAATGGGACCCTCGACCGTTTCTACAAACGTCGACTGTGCGGCTCGAAGAGCAGGTGGGACAAGGATTCCGAACCATTTGAGTGGGTCAGTAGATTTTTCAGCCTTCTTAGTCTCTTTCTCGGTCTCTTCGGAATCCGAACTTGGGCCGTTTGCGTCGGGTTTGGATTGTGGTTCTTCTCTCTCAGATTCAGCTGTTGCTGACGAAGACTCAGGTACGTCTGTCTTTGGCGTGTTTTCATCTAGGGTTTCTGTATCCGAAGGACTCGTCATGTACGTAGAGAAGTAAGGACGATCACTTGCGAGACGACCATGCTCAGAAATGTGACTATATTCGTTAGTTCTTGTACATGCACTACCAACAGCATCTGAAAGCGTGACAGACGCCTAGCTGTTACTGACAGAAGAAATGCTTACATCTTGCGTATAGCCTGCATGCGTTCGTCATAGCAGTCCTGTCCATAGCGAATCGTAGAAGATGAGTTGTAGAAATTGGCCTGGGCAAGCGACAGGTAGCCCTATCTTGATGTCAGTCATCTCTCTTCCTCACGTGAATGGTAGTAGGCTACCTCTGAAAGCTGCTGCGAAAGCTCCTTCATCACACGTTGATACTCATGCAATGTATGCAAGTACCGCTCGAGCAGTTCATCCAACTGATCCAGCAAAACATCCCTATCCTTCTTTCCCGTCACAATAGCCTGGTGTGCTGACGTTTCCAAGGTATCTGTCATGGTGGCATCAATTCTCTGATTGTGATGGAACAACGGGTGTATGAACAGTGGTGGTAATGCGAGGTCCAGGTGACATGGGTGGGTTGCGGGGACTATACCGTTTTCGAGGGGCAGACTGCGCTCGGATGTCCGAAAGGCAGACATCATTCATCCCAACTTTCGCATCGTCAAGGCATTCTGCCATCCCCACCCCCACCCCCGCCTCGCCAGCAACAACAACAACAACAACGGAGCCGCCAACACCGCAATGCCGAAACCCAATCCCTTTCTAAATCTCTTCAGGAGACATTACTCGCAGAATGCAGCGATGCTCTCTCGAACACGGCCCACACATTCACCCAGCGCCTGCGCCCGCGCACAATGCCTCCGCCTGCGCCTCGACCCACGCTTCTTCGTCGCCCGCCAGACCCGCCACGTCGGGGGCGGCCCCGGCCTCGACCCAAACTTCGTTTCGATTCTGGACCGGCCGGCGAAAATGGCGCGCGTGGGCAAACAACATGGGCCAGGCCTCATCATCCTCGCCATCATACCCGTCACGGCGTTTCTGCTCGGCTGCTGGCAGGTGCAGCGGCTAGGCTGGAAGACGGACCTGATTGCGCGGTTTGAAGACCGCTTGACGTTTCCGCCGTTGGAGTTGCCGCTCAGGATCGACCCGGACGCCATCAAGGACTTTGACTACAGAAAAGTGTATGCGACTGGCGTGCTGAGACATGATCAGGAAATGCTGATTGGGCCGCGCATGCTCGATGGCGAGGAGGGGTATACGGTTGTGACGCCGCTGGAGCGCAAAGACGCGAGGGGAAATGTGCACAAGATACTTGCGTGTCGAGGGTGGATTAAGAAGGAGGCAAGCCCGCAGTGGTTTCGCAAGAAGAATGGCGCGCTGCCAGAGGGCGAGGTCACGATTGAGGGATTGTTGAGAACACCGCCCAAGGGCAACATGTTTACGCCAAAGAATGAGCCCGACAAGGGCAAGTGGTTTTTTCCTAGTGTCGAGGAAATGGCAGAGCACACTGGGAGTCAGGCAGTTTGGGTGGAGGAGACCATGAGTAAGTGCGCCTTGTGCCAGGCGGCTGAAAAGATGCAATTGGGGTATCAAACTAATTTTCACAGCGCCGGATTTGCTCACAAACTATGAACGCGAACCAAAGGGCGTACCGATTGGTAGGGCGCCAGCAGTCAATCTGCGAAACAATCATACGCAGTACATTTTCACGTGGTACGTATCGAGCCTCCATACCCCTAAACAAAAAAAAACTAACAGGGAACAGGTACGCATTGAGTCTTGCAACTTCTGTCATGTTCTGGATGGTGGTAAAGAAGCCCGCGTCAGGTACCCAACGGCGAGTACGCCACAGCGTGGACTGGTCGTGAGGTATGATGCAGCCGCCTCAGGCGTCCTCGTCATCTTCCTGTATAGGATCTAATCGCTTCCGCTTTTGACCTCTTAGCTTGACGGGAGGCTCCATGCGTAACTGCTGGAGTAGCTCTCTAGGAAGCATTTTCTGCGCCAGCGAAAAAGACGTGCTGCTACCGCTCGTCTTGCGGGTTCTAGTGAGGGTCAGCAACGTGAGCTAGCCAGTTGTACAAGTGTACAGTAGATGAGATGTAAATACCTCTTCATGAGTGCGATGACGTCGCTCTCGTCAATCATTTTTCGCCCAGCATGCTGTGCATACGCAGCGAGGTCGATGCTGATTTGCTCAAAAAAGTCATTGGTTGTTTGGACAAGAGCATCCAGAGTATCCTTGTTAAGTTTGGCTTTGCCCCCCTGTGACTTGATGAAACCGAGAGCAAGCTTCTTGACCGGTGCGGCAGGAAACGAAGGAAGGCCGATCCCGTGCTGCGACACCAAGTATTCTTTAGACTTTCGGGCACCCCTGGGCTGTTCACCAGGCAGTCGTTCCGGTGACTGTGTCTGCAGACTACGGTCTATAGCTGATTCTTCCTCTCGATATGCCGCTAGTTCGGCGTCGTCGTCTACAGGAGGGTCGGACTCCCACCCAAACATGTCACCGTCTTGATTAGGATCTTCGAGGTCCAATGCTACCGTCGTCTCTTGGTCCTGACCGTCTAGTAATTCTGTATCACCCAGCATGGTTGGAGGCTCACTATCTGGCACGTTGTCCTCTTGAATTTCTTGTTCCTCTGGCGGGTATTCTCGGGGTGGCGCGCGTATGCGATCAGGTATCATGAAGCGGAAAGTGGGCTCCTCTGTGTCGTCATCTCCGTCACCAAACACTCCCAAGTTGGCGTCGCTCGTACGTCCATCTCGTCGGCCTGTCAGTGCCTGTATGGTCGTATCGTCTTCGTCAAGGGCATCCTCAATGGCTTGGTCAAACAAACCATCTGGGCGTCTGTTGATAAAGGTTCCGTCTACCTCGAGCTCTTCCTCTACTGCGCCGAGTTCACTCAAATCCCCAAACCTCTCGCTCTGCCTGCCTCCATACATCAAGCGCGGGTCTTCACTAATGGCTCGCCTTCCAAACTCGAGAGACTGCACCGTTCCTCCATCCACGTCATCCGGTAGATCTGGTAGTATCGACTGTCGTGGTGGGGCACTGTGGATAGTATCGTCGTCGTCGTCGTCATCGTACATGTTCTCAAGCGGCATAGAGAGCCGGGGGGCTGCCATTGGCGGGCCATCGTCAACGTCTGGAAGATCGAGTGCTGAGTGCCGTGGCCGCTGAGGCAGGACTTGTGGAGAGGGTTCGACTGGCCGACTGTCGCGGGCAAGCGCTGCATTGCCATTTAGCTCGGTTGATGATCAAAGACACAGAAGCCTACCTCTGCTCAGGTCACGCAGCAAATCGCGTGGTGTTTCTCTTTGGACACGCCCACTTCTCCTCCGGTTGTTACCAGGTGTCCTGGCTGCATTGGCTCGTTCTCTCAGTGCTCTTATCGCATGAGGAGTGGTAGGTGCCGTTCGCCGCGAAGGAAGAGGCCGAGTTGCTGGCCCGCCTCGAGGCGTCCGCGCCGTTGCTGGAGTGCGCACGAGTGGTGTTCTTCTACTTCCTGGAGTGGGACCCACGCTAATGGCGCGGCGGAACGGGGTTATGGGTTGCAAAGTGGCATTGGGAATAGGCGTCCTCTGTGCATCGCTGTCTGGGGAGAGACGCTGTTTCTTGCGCGCAGAGTCGGCCATTGTGGCTGTAACACGCAACAGTGGGGGAGGGGGGGGGAGCGAGGGGAGCGTGGGAGTGTGGAGAGACGTCAGGGAAACGCGTCGCCTGGGCGCGACCTCGCGGCGTGCAGAAAGGCTAGTCCTGAATGGGCTAGGTTATCGATAACCTTATTCGGGGCTGTAACTTTTTCTGTTGCACCAACGGGACGGCTGCGCTCTTCACACAAAACACTATTTCCGCCATGTCAGATTCTGAACCAGACGGAGGCGTGCCCCTCATCGAGGCGCAGTTTGACATTGAAGCTTCTTCCAAAAAGAGGAAAAGAGAAGCAGAGTCTGGGGCTACCACGGTCGACCGGAAGGCGGCGAAGAAGGCGAAACGAAAGGAGAAGAAGAAGCAGAAGGCCAAGAAGATTGATGAAGACGACCTTGATCAGCAGCTGGGTGTGAATCACGCATTTGAGCGCATGGATGCGCAGCTGCTGGCAGACTATGTCAACGCGCGTACACGATTGTATGGAAAAGAGCTGAGCAGCGTGGAGCTTGAGGACAGGTTCATTTCTGGTGAGTTTGAGCAACTATGCCGAGTTTTTTTGGGGGGGAGAGCTGTGTTGACAAGAAGTTTTTGTTTAAGCGCGTACTGTGCAAGACAGCACGAGCTGGAGCGAGCCACGGACTACAGAGAATCTATCTGCTTTTCTCAAGAAGCAGGCGGGTGGGCTTGAGCCAACGCCTTCGAAGCCGGCTGGGGCACCGCACACGATTGTGGTGACTGTATCTGGGATTCGGGCAGCCGATGTATGCCGATCGCTCAAGACAGGGCTACCGAAACAGGGAATACAGAAGGCCAGCGTGGCCAAGCTGTTTGCAAAGCACCTCAAGCTGGCCGAGCAGGTGGCGCATCTGAAGAAGACCAAGTAGGTGGGCTGCAAGCTTTGTGGGCGTGCGACAGCACACTAACCAGGTTGGACAGGATTGACTATGGGGTCGGGACGCCGGATCGGCTGGTAGCGCTGCTGGAAGAAGGGGCGCTTTCAACGGCAAACCTGAAGCGAGTGGTGATTGATGTTTCGTACATTGACCAGAAGAAGCGCGGGATTCTCGACATGAAGGAGCTTCACGAGGCGGCGATCAAGCTGCTGCTGCGCAAGGAGTTTGTGGGCGGGGACAAGCAGGGCGGGGACGGGCTGTTTCTTTTCTACTGAGGGAGTGGGAGAGAGCAAGAGAGGGCGGAGTGGACAAGCATGGTGAGATGTCGAGCAGAGATAGCCAACGAAGACAGCACGCCAAGCAGCGGGGAGGGTGTCGGTGTGATGTTTAGGAGATGGCGGCAGCGGCAAGCGTATTGTTGGCGGGGATCGGGAAAGGCTGGCTAATGGTAGCGGATGCATGTCGATGGATTGGCTGGGCGACACGTGCGCGCAGAGGAGCCAGCACTAGCACTGGCGCTATCACTGGCACTAGGCCGGATCTGGCCTCCAAGTCGTGTTTGCGCGTGGTTTACGCTGGGCCCCGGCTAATCAAGAGGCTGCGCGGGCGGCGTGGCGGGCGCAAATAGGCTCCGCGCAGGCGAATCACGACGCGTGCAGACGGCCATTTTGCGCATTATCTATGTCGCCATGGACGCATCCGTCCATGTATCTACGCATGTCCATGTACGCACGCGCACATAAGACTTGACATGTGCATGGCCCCATGCCCACCCCAGACCAGACGCGGTTGCCGACGGCAGACCTGATGCTGCTGCTGCTGCTGCTGCTGCTGTGCACGTGACGGGCCCATGCCATCAACGCTCCATGGCATTCTGCATCTGCATGTGCATCCAGGCGTGCGTGATGGGTGCTGGCATCTTGGCCGAGCCGTGCACCCTCCCCACGCCGTAGAAGCGTCTTGAGCAGCGTGTCGCAAATCCGTTTCAAAGCCCATACGCGCCTGCTGTCTCTTGCCAAATATACCACACATTACTCTTCTGTCGCTCTGCGTGTCTCGCCGTCTCGCACTCCTTCATCCCTCGCCCTCGCCCTCTCCTCGCCCTCTCCCTCTCCGTCTCTCCATCCCTCCATCCCTCCATCTCTCTATCCCTCCATCATCTCTTCAGCTCCATCTCCATCTCTCTCCTCTCCTCTCCATCGCCTCTCCATCGACTGTCAAGCTCCTCGCCTCACCTCGCCTCCCTCTCCCCCACCCCCGGTGCTCGCCATATCAGCTAAATAATCTCCATCCACGCATACACAAAAAAAAGTGCCGCCGTCCGGACGCCTGCACTCTCTCTCTCCCTGCTGCTGTCGCTGCTGCTGTCGCTGTCGCCGCCGCGCAATTGCCGCTATTCGACAACTCGGACCCCGCCCGTCAGTCTTCCCCCGTCGAGTGGCCCGCGCTGCTTCGACTCGCGCGCCGCCTGCATACCATCCAGCCTTCAAGCTCGCTTCTTGACCCGCCGCCTGCCAAGCGATAAAACGCCTCCCCCCCCCTACGCTGCAGATAGCTCCCGCCAGGACTAAAGCTACCCGGAAGTTGTTGAGCTGTCCCAACGGTGCGTTCTTTCCCTCTTCCCCCATCCGCGCGCCTCGACACCTTTGCCTGACCCCCCATCCCCTTTGCAGGGTCCTAGAACTCCGCCGTTCGCTTCTCGCCTTCCCGCAGCCGCCCCATTGCCTCCGCCGAGCAGGGTCGTGTCCAACTTTAATCAGACGACGACACGCATTGTACCTCGACCATGGCTGCACCCGCGACCCAATCCTTGAAGGTGCGCCTGCCCAAGACGCCCGCTGCTGACCCGCACGCCGCCTCCTGTGCTCTTGATCTTGGCCGCTGACAGCTTCGTAGTGCGTTGTGACGGGCGACGGTGCCGTGGGCAAGGTGAGTCTCGACACGCGCTGCCTTGATGGCCTTGGCTGTTGCTGTTGCTGCTGCCGCTGACGCCTCTCCTCTAGACATGTCTGCTCATCTCGTACACAACCAACGCCTTCCCGGGAGAATACATCCCCACAGTGTGCGTGCTGCTCCGACGCCACGCTGCCAACCCGAGCTAACCCGTCGCAGCTTCGACAACTACTCTGCAAATGTCATGGTAGACGGAAAGCCAATAAGCCTGGGGCTTTGGGATACCGCCGGACAGGAGGACTACGACAGACTGCGGCCGCTCTCGTACCCCCAGACCGACGTCTTCCTCATCTGCTTCTCCATCGTCAGCCCCCCGTCGTTTGACAACGTCAAGGCAAAGGTAACGCGCCCAATACACGCACTCTACCGTGCTGAATCCGTCCCTGCTGCTAACCACCCGCCCAGTGGTATCCAGAGATAGACCATCACGCGCCCAACGTCCCCATCATCCTCGTTGGCACAAAGCTCGACTTGCGGGACGACGAAGCGACCAAGGAGTCGCTGAGGCAGAAGAAGATGGCTCCCATCCAATACGAGCAGGCCGTCATGGTCGCAAAGGAAATCAAGGCGCAAAAGTACCTCGAGTGCTCTGCGCTCACACAGCGCAACCTCAAGAGTGTCTTTGACGAGGCGATCCGGTGCGTCTGCTCCTCGTTGCTGCCTGCGGGCCCTGACTAACTTTTCATGTTTTGCAGCGCCGTCCTCAGCCCCCGTCCCCAGCAGTCGGCGGCCAAGAACAAGAAGAAGTGCACCATTCTATAAAGTGGCAAACACGGGGGCGTTTGGACAAGGCTTGTTTTGGTGTAATTGCAGAAGGACAAACAGCTTGAATATGCGCGTAGATGACGTCTACGGCTTACTTCAGGATAGCGGACGGATGGGCGAGAGTGATAACATCAGGATACCAAATACGCAGGCAGGACAAGGTGGACGTGACTTTGAAACATGTCACTGACGAACAAGGAGGCGCTTGCATGCCGGCATATGCGACCATTTACACGAATAGCATTTGCTTTGCAGCATCTTTTAATACGCTGCAGTTGAATCTCAGGAGTCTAGCCATGGGCTTTTGTGCTGCATTACCCTTCTTGGGCGTGGAGGGAACCATAGGGACTGGGGGCTTAGCATCGGTAGAAGTGTTTATTGCATCAACTTTCCTTTTGACAAATTCGACTTGCGACGTGCCTGTGGCACTGGTGACACGGCGAAAGCGGGCGAAGGCGCGCAGGCCCTTTTGTCGCGACCTGTTTGCACTCGGTGCCGCCTGCGCCTGGGTAGTAGGCTGCTGCTAGGCACACATCCCGGCTGCAGCGCATCCCCGAGCTTTCCCCCCCCCACGAACACGCACCACGCACCCTACCGCCCCTCGCAAACATGTTCCATGAAGGCTCGTTACAAAGCGGCATTGCGCGTGCCATCCAGGAACAAAAGCTCGTTGCATGCTTCGTCAGAGGTACCGCCCCAGCCCTCTGTCCCCTCGGAATGTGGAGATGCGACTTGTACTAACCACCTGTACAGACAATGGCGCCACGAGCAACGAGTGGGAGCAAGAATGGCTGAAGAGTGGATGGGTGAGCCAATGTCTCTCGGAAATAGCTCGCCACACTCCTACCACGCACGCGCGCTGACGCATTGCACAGCTATCGAGTCTCCTCGCTCAAAAGGCTGTTCTCTTGCGGCTCGAGGCAGGCTCCACAGAGGCCGGTTTCCTGGCCGCCTTCTCCGACCTCGCAGAGATCCCAACCTTTGTCGTCATCCAAAACGGACAGCTCCAAGTGCAACTCAAGAGCAACGTTACCAAGAATGACTTTATCAACTCGATCCGACGAGTCCTGGGTGCCAACCCCATTCCGGGCTCCACTCCCGCACCAACTACACAAGAGCCGTCTGAGAGTCCGACGACTACAGCAGCAGCCGAAAACGATCTATACGGGGCCGACGAACCTTCACCACCTATACGAGCAGAACCAGTAGCGGTTGCGCCCACACCTTCGACGAATGCAAAAGGCAAGCAAAAGGCGACGTCTGCGCCCGCGTCAAAGCCTACTACGTCATCCGGGTCGGTCAACAAGGCACAGCAAGAAGCGCGCGAGGCTTTACGAAAGAAGAAGAGGGAAGAAGCAGAGGAACTTGCCCGTGTAAAGGCACGCATAGAAGCAGACAAGGCAGCAAGAAAGGCAGAGGCAGAGACAAGAAAAGCAGAACGAGAGAGAGAACGCAACAAGGCAGCCCAAGCACCAGCTCCACCACGGACAATAACATCATCAAGACCATCGCAGGCAAAGACGGTCAGTCTCAACGTCCGCCTGTTCGACGGGCGAACGATACGCTCGACCTTTCCACGCGAAGCCACGCTACAGGGTCAAGTACGGTCGTGGGTCGACACAGAATTCTCCAAACTCGCCCAAGATGACGAAAACATTAATCACAAGCAACTTCCCCCTTACTACTTCCGACACATTCTCGCGCCTCAGCCAAGCCGTGAGCTCTCTGCCGGCGACGAAAACCTATCCCTAGGCGACATTGATCTCGCACCCAGCGCAACACTGGTCCTCGTCCCCGTAAAGGGATACTCGGAAGCGTACTCGGTTGCAGAAGGCGGTGCTGTAGGACTTGCGACGGGTCTCATGGGCACTGCATTCAACCTTTTGGCATCAACAGTCGACTTTGTGGGCTCTGCCATAGGCTATGGCTCTAGCGCTTCGACACCAGGCCAGCAGCGTTCCAGTGGCAGTGGTCAGACAATGGCATCGAGACCTAGTCAAGATACCCAGCGTGATGCTAATGGTGATGGGGCTGCTGGCACGTCAGATAGAGCAGGCATGCGGGTACGCACATTGTCTGACCAGCGGGCTAGAGAGCCGCAGCAGTTTTACAATGGGAATCAGGTACATTCTCTCGTCTTTTTTCTTCAAATTTCTTTCTCGGTATATATCCATGCCGGTGCATAAAGCTGACGTATCCATTGCAGTTGAGCACAGAGCCCAGGCCCGAAGACAACGATAAGCGCGATTGAGACATGTTACTGGCAAATGACTACCAGGAATCCTGTACATGTGCGAGTGGTGTTGGAAATACGAGTCTTTTTCTTCTTCGTCGCTTTATTATCTTACTTTTCTCTGTTCATGAATTAGGGAAATCTGGAGTGACGGAGTATGATGCACAAAACTGCCATCTGCATTCGTACCATGCTTATGCGAAATACAAAATGCAATCTTGCAGTCATAGGAGAAAGCCGAGCCTCTCGCTTTTTTCTTTTGTCCAATGAAACTCATGGGAGAAAGTTGCTCAGACAAAAATCGGCCCCTTCCTCTCACCTCCACACACTCACTCACTCCTTCACTCACGAAGATTCCATCAGTCCCGCTGCCCTCAGTAACTCGCTATCCACCGTAGTCCCCGCAAATGGCACCTTTGCCCCTTGGACTTCTGGTCTCCACACCTGAGGCTCAGTCTGTTGCGCTGCTGCTTGAACTGCTGCTGCTGCTTCCAATGCCTTCTTCTCCTTCTCTTCCATAGCCTGCAATTGGCATTCCAGCTTTGCAATCTTCCTAGCTAGTTTCTCGCGACCACTCTCCAACTCGGGCATATCGTCCGGACACGCATTTAGCGCTTGTCGCAGTCTCATCAGTTCCTCTTTGCCCTCGCTGAGTTCTGCTTGCTCAATCGTTGTCGCTGTAGTTTTATCATCCGAGACGGAAGATGTGTTGTTCTCTGCGTCTTCAGCGAACAGTGCAAGCGGGTTGTCGGGACTGGGCTTTGGTGCTTCTTTGTACACTATGAGATTTTTGTTGCGGTAGTTCTCAGGGTCTTGAGACACTTGTTCGAAAAAGGAGAGGACGGCGTGTTGAACTGGACGATGCGTCAAGATGGATTCGCCAGATGGGCTGGGACCGCCACCGAAGGTGGGACATACGACTCTTTGGCCGGATGACCACTCTACAGTTGCTTCACCGGCTCCCGACGAGGAGGGGGCTGGCTGTGCTTGTTTTGGTGCGGTGGAGGCGAGAGAGACATGACGAAGCGTCTTTTGTATGGCTGCTATGGGACCGTTGGGAACTTCTTCGTGCCAGGCAATGTGCTTCGACATATCCAGATGATAGTCGTCATTGAAATCCTGCTCGTAGCCTTCAGGTAGGTCTGTGCAATGCAGTGGGTTAGGCGTGACATCGCTGAACTTCCATTGCCGGGCGCGCTGATGTAGGAAAGCTCGGAGTCGGGGATCCTTGATCTGTGAGTCTTCCATGAGGGAATTAATCAATGCCATTGCTGTGATGCGGGTTCCGTATTTCTCGACTAGGTACACTTGGTCAGTTGAAACAGAGAAGCGGCTTGGACAATACGCACAGTCTTCTGCAAGCAGATTCAAAACATGCTCATTACCATCTTCAATAGCAATCAAGTAGACGTCGGCATCGGCGGCGACTCGATCAGGATTGCAAATGACTTGGTCAAAAACAGTTTTGACATGTTCTTGGGCAGTTCGGTGGCCCTGCACGTGATTCTCCGTAGTGTGGATGCGGATCATGTCGTGTGCAATGGACTTGCGCAGCATAGCAGACCAGCTGCGTAGAGTCATGGCCTGGTTGTGTTTGTGAGAATAAAGGAACTGGGCTGTGTTCATGACCACCAATCCTGGTGTAAGACTGTCGTCTGCAAGCCTGTAGCCATCCTCAAAGATGTCGGCATTCTGCTCATCAGCATCATCTCTAGAGCGCTTGACCATCTCCTTGACGAAGTTGACGACGGACCCGCCATTGATGCCCAGGTCCCTTTGTAGCTCCCCATAAGATAAGATGCCGAGGTCTTGCAGGGTGCTGTTGACTAGCACAATGACACGCTTACGCTTCTTGAGCGTCTCAGGCACAGGAGCAAGAATGGGCACATGTGGTCCGTTGGGCTTTTCCAGAGTGAAGGCCGGGAGGTAGATGCGCTTGAGTCCGAGAGAAGCCAGGCGAACTTCTACTTCCATACGCTGGCAAGCTGTCATATGTTAATTGTGCATACAACTAGCCTTTCCATGGACTCACCCTGCATGGCCTCACGGCGTACCTCGTTGACGCGCTCATTGTTTGTGGCGTGATACAAGAAGGGCTTTTCCGGTGCGTTGATCATGCGGATATGGCCTGTGGTGTTGACGAAGAAGCCCAGCTTCTTGAGGTCGGCTGGGAACGAGGCATCGGGCTCCATGGTGTCTTCTATACGTCGAAACATGGTTGCAGTCTTGTGGCGAGCGGGCGATTGTGGTTGCAAGTGGCGGGTAAGTGGTTAAAGAAGATTGCCGCTTGTGTAACGGGTTGCTGGCTGTTTGTGTGTGTGTGTGTGTGTGTGTGTGTGTGCCGAAAGCGGAGAAAGCAAACAGTGAAGGCAGGAGCAATGCAGCCAGTTTGCAAGGCATACTATGGCCGTCATAATTCATGTACACTGAATGCAAGTGCGCCGCCCAATGCCAGATTGTCTTGTTGTATTATTGTACATGCCCCGCCGCCCGCTTTCCAGGCATTCTACCAACTTGCCTTCTTCACGCCCGGCAGGTTGCCCGCAAGCGCGTTCACACGGAATTGATACTGGCCAAATGTTAGCTCGAGTGCTGGCACCCACTGCAGCGTCTACGCACCCTTCCCAGCCTGAAATCGCTGAAAATACCTCGGCCCTTGCCGCCCATGATGCATCGGTTCTTGATTTGGGTGAAGCGCGTGTAGCAGTGCATCTGCGACAGCTGGAGCTGGGCCTGCGCGCGGACGCGCTGCGGGAGCGTGGTGTTGCGGATAATGTAGCGCAGCGCTTGTCTGTGTGGCCGTTTGTTAGCCACTGCATGGATGCGACGAGGGAGTTGAGATGGGCACCTCTCCGGCTCGTTCTCCGAGTAGACCTTGCGCTTGGTGTGGTCGCGAATGTTGCGGATCTTGGCAAAGCACCCGATGTCGAGCTTGGCCGCACGGAATTGAGACATGACGGCGGTGGTTGGGCTCAGCTGGCTGTCTCCATCCAAAAGTCGAGCGACTGGGGGCGGCGATGAGGTTGCGCTCCAAATTCCGATGTTCAGCCGGCCGGCCCTCGTTGTGCGCCAATCAGCGCGCGTCTACCGCGAGCCGTCCATGAATGATCGTAACACTCAAATTCCACTGCAGAAACTGCCCACGCTCGCTACTGATTCACGTCTCCTCCTGCAATAGCCAATTCGCATGCGCATAGACTGGGTTCTTCCGTCGCTTCCGCCACTAGACGAGCAAACACGACCCGCGCCAGAGCAAACCCTTCCAATCCCCTTCCTTGTTTGTCGCGCTAGACACAACCAGGCAGCGCATCTCATATGAGGTCTCTCTGAAAATCCAGCCATATCATACCAAAGATTCTTGACCAACATGTTCACTGAGCACGATGTGAAGAGCATCTTTTCCCTCTTTCCTCCCCACACTAGCGCGGATTTCATACCACAGTTTGCTATAGCATCCAGTGGTAATGGCTTCGTTACACTGCAATTCGCCCAGGCACAGTTCAGGAGCCGGGTGACAAAAGGTAGCTCTCTCGTGCTATTCTTGTTGCCCTTGACTAATCCCATCTGTAGAGACAGAACGAATCTCAGTGTCGGCATTGGCTAGCCATCTCGACATCAGCACAACACTTGTACTCCAGCTTGTTCGGAGCCACCCTAAGCTATGTCTGCTAAGTGCAGATCAAGGCAGCGTCATTCCCATCGGCGAGCGAGATTCCCTACGGGAGAAGCTCGCCATTCTGCTCACTTCAGGACTGCATTCCAAGGCTGATTTCATTGCTCAACACGACATCTGGCCCAAGAGTCTTGACGCCCTACTTACAGACCAAGATGACGAGATTATGCATTGTGACAGCTACATATGTACAAGGGCATATGAAACCATGATTGCCAATGACATGTTGAGTAAGGTCAAGCAGGCACTCAGCGAGATACAGTAAGTGCAAATGTCCCTATAAAAGGCATGTCTCTTAACATTGCTATAGAACGGCAACCATTTCCCCAGATGATCTATCCGGCAGCCCGCCAGCATGGTTCATGTTCCGCACACTAGAAAAGGCACTAGAATCTGAAGCTCTCACGTGCCAAGTCAACATCGAGCAACACCCAGACCGTGTAACCTGCACGCCCAAGCAACTCGTAGAATCAAAACGCGCCGCAATTCTCGAGAGTCTCAAATGCGGAGCGCTCGCGTACCTAGACCTCCAAAAATTTGCAACAGAGTACTCGGAGCTAGTCCCATCCTACGAAGACGCCGTATCCTACTTTCAGAACATCAAAGAGGTCGACATCATCGACGCGTTCGCCGTCTCAAAGCCGTGGGTCTCGCAAATCGAACAAGAGTCCCAACGCATACTCGAACAAGAAGGCTGCACATTGGACGTCACAGAGTACATTGGCTCGCGTCTGCCCCCTAACCTCATAGAACCTACAGTCGCCAAGATCAAGAATTCCGTCATCAGTGCATCCGCACAAAGGTCTGAACAAGAGAAAATCGTACGAGTCGGTCACCTGATACTTAGCGAAGCACGACGCAACGATGCCCTCGACGAGCTAGCCATGTATGCAAAAGCAGACGCAGACACGCAATGGCAGGCTCTTCGCAACGACCCCAACCGGACAGAAGACATCAAATTCAGCCGCGACAGAATCCGAGATGTAGTCCCCAAGGCAGGCCTTGTCCAGCGTCTGCTCACCGACGAAAAGTCCGTCGAGCGCTTGCTAGACGACACCTTCTGGACGGCCATTTCCGGCCTCGAAGCCACAAACGAATCAGACTTTGCAGTCTACTGGACCGACCGTGTCGTCGCCCGTTTCCACGTCTACAGGACGGGAGTAAGCCATGTGGGCGACCAAAAACTGCACGACCAGCTTGCAGAAGTGCTCGCTTCCTATGTACACAAAGAGGTCGTTCCGGAAACAATTGCCAAGGCACGCGCACAGGGCCTAATGCTGAGTCGCAAGACGCGGAAGAATGTGGCGAGACTGTCTAGCATCCTGGATTCGACAAAGACAATAGACATTCCGGGCATAGCGGCTGCATTGGAAAAATTCAGCAAGAAACAGGGTATTACAGCACCAGCAGACGCGAGCCTTGGGGCGGCAAAACAAAGCATGGTGCATGATATGCTGCGTCGGTTGCAGAAGCAAAAGGCTTCAGATGGCCCTGTGCTGTTCTTGATGCTGGTCATCATCTTGTTTGCAAAGCACTACGATGGCGTCGTGTATGCCACGGGCAAATTTGCGCCAAAGCTGCTGAAGCATTTGAAGGGGAACATGGAACCTGAGCAGTATGAAAAGGTGGAGAGGTGGAAGGAGGCAGCCAAGGCGAGCAGCTTGACGGCAGAGCATAGAGCGGATATGGTCAAGATGGCCGAAGCAAAGGCTGTGGTGCAAGAGTGATGAGCAGTCAGCTGGCCCACGGCATCCACGGCTATGGTACAAAAACATGCACACTTGATCAGAGGAGCAGCATATGAATCATAGAAATTACTATTCATTCAGGCTATAGTACAGCTAATGAGGTAAAAGGGTATTCGTAAATCATGTCTGGACGTGTTTTTTGCGCTCAATATCCGCCAAATTGAGCGTGAAGGGAGGAGGAGACTGCATCTAGTCCATGATGCCAGCCTTTCCGTCGCGGTCACTGTCGATCTTAGGGTCTGGTAGCAATTAGTATTTGTCTTCAGTACAGCTATTAGAGTACTTACGAAGCTTCTCCTTGAGAGTTGGCTTGCCCTCGACTCCAGTGGTACCGTGAGTAGTGGAGGTACCGTGAGTAGCGGAAGTGCCGTGAGTAGCGGAAGTGCCGTGAGTAGCGGAAGTACCATAAGTACCGTGAGTGCCGGAAGTGCCATAAGTGCCGTGGGTAGCGGAATCGTGGTGGCCTTCGCGGAGGGAAGAGTGGGGTTCAGCGTGCGACTGAGGCTCAACAAGCGCCTTGGGCAGGTCTTCCTCCTTAAGGTTGGTGCCATTGACTCCTCCTCCAACACCGGCGGTGCTGCCGTGGAGGCCAGAACCAGTGCTACCAATACCTCCGTTGGTGGTGCCAACACGGTCAGAGTCAACCCTAGGGTCAGCCTTGTTGGCCATGTGAGAGCTGTGAGGACCGGTAGGGTCGTTGTGAGAGTGACCAAGACCTCCGTTAGTGGTAGTGGTACCGTAAGTGCCGGTGCTTCCCATGTTGTCTACGCGAGGGTCGGCCTTGTTAGCCATGTGTGAGCTGTGAGGACCAGTGGGGTCGTTGTGCGAGGTACCCAGGCTTCCATGGGTGTTGGAGGTACCATATGTGCCAGCACCAGTACTTCCCATGCCGCCTACACGAGGATCGGCCTGGTTGGCCATGTGGGAGCTATGCGGGCCAGTAGGGTCGTTGTGCGAGCTACCAATGCCTCCGTGAGTCGTGCTGGTGCTTCCCATGCCGCCTACACGAGGGTCGGCCTTGTTGGCCGCGTGGGAGCTGTGAGGTCCAGTAGGGTCGTTGATGCTGGAGGTGCCGTGGCTGCCAACTCCACCAACGTTGCCAGTGGTGCCGACGCGGTCAGAGTCAACCCTCGGGTCAGCCTTGTTGGTCATGTGAGAGCTGTGAGGACCAGTGGGGTCGTTGATGTTGGATGTTCCATGGGTGCTAGTTCCAGTCATGTTGCCAGTGGTGCCGACGACACGGTCAGAGTCAACCCTAGGGTCAGCCTTGTTGGCCATGTGGGAGCTGTGAGGACCAGTGGGGTCGTTGTGGGAAGCTGATCCGTGGGTGCCAACGGTGGAAGAGCCAACACCGCTGGTGGTGCCATGAGTACCTGAGGTACCGAGACCGCTGCTTACGCCTGAGCTGTGGTTGCCGCTAGTAAGACCGTTTGAGCCCGTGTGTGTTGAAGAGGTGTTGGGGACAGATGGGTCGGCAGTGTTGGCTGCATGCGAGCTGTGGGGGCCGGTTGGGTCGTCTAGTGGGTGTCAGTGAAGGAATGCAGAAGGTAGTCACAAGGGACCTACCATGCGTCTTGTCCTTGTGCATAACGTTGTCGACCTTGGCCTTGACCTTTTCCATCATTCCTGCCATGGTTGCTGTGCTGTGTGTGGTTTGGAGTAGAAGTATGTGAAGATGGTTGTGGAAGTTGAAGTTGAAGAGTGAGCTGAGTGCTTTGTTGTGAGAGTGTGTTTGTGATGTGATGATGAGAAGTAAACGGGGGTTGATGGCGCCTTCTTATATGTGTTGCATCCCAGGGCAACAAGGCCGCGCCTACCCATACGTCATGTCTATGGCACCATGCGCAGCCGTGATACAAACGGGCAAGATGAAGAAGTGTGGCGATCCAGACGGGCAAGCCACAGCAGCGTGTGGATGCTGGTGCAAACGTCTCGATGTCGATAAGGGCCAGAAACTTGCATGGTTTGGCCAAAACCTGGCGGGTTTAGTCTCCATGTGGCAGTGATGCGGGCGTGGGCGTGTTCGCCTGCTGCTTCAATCTACTCGAGCCGTGTCATGGCTTGGTGCTGGGGCGCGCCACACGAAGTTGGCTGATGGCTACAGCGGCTGTGCCCGTTTGGTCGTGGCGGGGGGCAGCACGCGGACGGGGCTGCGTCATTGTGGCATCCGGTGCATGTGGAAATGTGGGGAGAGCTGACGGCAAAAGCTTAGCTACGACTCGAGTCCCGCTTTGGTCGTGTCTTGCACGAGATTTGCCGCCAACTTGACCAGACGACACCGCCACACAGGGGCGCAAACAGGGCACGGCAGCCAAAGTGGATACGGCGCTCGCGGCCTGGACGTCGTCCAAGCAAAGGCCAATTTGCATGTTACCTTGGAAAAATGCGAATGTGAATGCATATTCTCCAACAGGATCTGTCCCGCCCTGCCATGGGAACACCCATCGCCCTCTGCCCTGGTATGATGACAATGCCATGGGGGCTCCACCCCTGCGAACGCGTCAAGCTGGGGCGGCATGACGTACCTTGCATCGCCGCAATCTTCAATGAAGGCATCCAGCGCCCATCAATGATCTCAATTAAGTGGGCGCCTGGTCCAAACATGTCGCTGCAGTAACACGGCGAGCATGCGAGTGCGCGAGGGAGCGCGAGTGAAGTCGGAGCTTGGGCCATACTCATACGTGCCTATGACGTCGTTGCGTGCAACACCATGGCTTCACCCCCCCTCCCCCCCGCCAGCTTGGCCGTGGGAGAACGCGACCTGCGCTGCAAACCGCCTCAAACTCTTCTGCCTAGGCCCTGCTTTCCCGAGTCGCCCCGATTCCCCCCCCCCGCTGCATCATGTCTGAGTCCAGGTTGAGAGTGCCCGACAAGGTCAAGGAAGTCGCCAGGGAGGACTTTGACCAGTACAAGCAGCTTGCCTCAGACGCCGTCCGCTCGGCAGCATATCTCTATCCTTTCAAGGTGCGCACTGCGAGACGCGTGCTGTACAACCAAACTAACACAACCTCAGGGAATCGCCTACTTCTTCACGCACCGAGCACTATGGAAGCCTCTCGCTGCCAAGCTCGTCCCGACCATCTCCCTTGGGCTGGGTGTCACTGTCATGATGTTCGCCGTCACCTATGTCCCTCAAGCTGCCCTTCTCACCATCTTCAACGGCCCGCTCGCCATCCTTACCACTGTTCTGCTTGTCCTCAGCGAGTCGTCTACCATCTTCTCCGTCCTGAGCAAGAACTTTCTCATCGACGATGCCCTGATTGATACCTTTGACGGCACACTGGTCTGCCGCAACAAGACTACGCTGGTATCCAAAGAACGCCAGGTCAAATCGGGAAGCGACCCCATCGCAAAGCTGGGCAAGCTTGTCAGCTCCCCCTTTGCAAAGTTCACTCCCAAGGCCATCATCCGGTATTTCATGTACTTGCCCATCACTGCCATCCCTATTGTTGGCACGTTCATTTTTATCGTGCTTCAAGGACGCAAGTTCGGCCCAACCGCGCATGCTAGGTACTTCCAGCTCAAGCAGATGAAGAAGCAAGAGAAGCAGCAGTTCATCGAGGAGCGCAAGGCTGCATATGCTAGGTGAGTACACCAAATGTTGATTGGTGGCAGCTCTAACAAATGCTAGCTTTGGCATTCCTGCCGTCCTTCTCGAGCTGATCCCTGTCGCCGGAATCTTCTTTACCTTCACGAATACCGTTGGTGCTGCCCTCTGGGCTGCGGACATTGAGGATGGCCTACGTCCAAACGACAGTCGCGAAGGCAGCACCACTGCCCCCAGGCTGCGCCAGCAGGCTGAGATCGCCAAAGAACGGGAGTTGTGAGAAGCGCACTATCCTTCCTTGGTACGAAACGAATAGTCTCCAATCATATGCTAATGATTAGGGCCAAGGGTGTTTGGACCTTATGTGCGTCATGGGCCTGACGGGCGTTATCGGTACCCCTGGCGACCTCCGTAGGCCCGAGGGAATCTTTTGGGCTGGCCGTAATACATGAGCGGCTTTTACGAGAAACAATGGCTTTGGCGGAGACGGGCATATCACATGGAATTGTTACGATGCTGAAATAATGTATAATATCTGTATTCTTGATCCATCTTGCGTTCGTCCAACTCATGCGGCCATAATGCTGAACACCAAAGCAATGCAATGTTGCAGCAGAAACTCACTCTGGCTAAATGATATTCAATGTTTAAAGCATCCTGCACGCACATAAAAACCAAATTGCTCTGGAAACGATCCTGACATGACCTCACAAACGACGATTGATGTTGCGAATGGCAAACATGTGATTGGACGGGGGTGGCGAGGGTATGGCTTAGCGTGGACCCTGGAATTCGATGCGGCGAACTTCTTTCTTTCCCGCAGCGGGCGCGTTGCTCGTTGGACACACCCCGTGCAGTGCTATCATGTTGAAGACGAGAAGCGTTCAATCCATCTGCGCATCATGTCGTCTCAATATCGCCATCTCACGAGCCCGTAACGCACGACTACCTTTGAAAGCGCATTCGGCGCCGCTGCAACTACGATCAGCCGCTTCAAAAGCCTCCGCGCCACATCGAGCATTTTCTACAACTCTTGCGAAAAGGAGTCTCGACCAAGACGCCCGAGACAATGCTGCAGACTCACAAGACGCACCATCCTCTCCGACAGAGGCGCTGAATCATGAAGTCAATGCGCGAAAGGCAAGACAGCAGTTTGGTGATACCCTGCCGAGGGACCATCTGAACGCAGAAGAATACATTGTGTACGAGAGGCTGTACGGGCCGCCAGTGTTTGTGGACTCCGCAGAAGACATACAGGAAATCGATACTGTAGCTGAGGAAGAAATCATCCAAGAGGAGCGACCCGATGGCACCACGGTTTTGCTTAGGAGAACAAAAGATGGCGAACTGGAGGAGCTAGAGATTGTTGAGGAGACCGATGCTGCCGAGGAAGAAGATTCAGAGGGGGTTGCTTCTAGGGAGACCATGACACCAGAGGAGTGGGAGGCGCGCAGGGATGAAGAAACGCAAACATACCACGATGATGTCTACGAGCAGAGCCGGCTGCAATACGAGGAAGCAGAGGCTTGGGAAGACATGGAAGAGTCTCAAGAGGATGATTTTATACGCGCCCACCCTTTGACTATTGCTGGCCGCTTCAAGCCATCTCCCTCGACAGTTTTCCTGCCCAAGGAAACACTCGTGGACCCAACAGCTCTTCTCTTGACCCGCGCGAACCACAAGCACCTCGCTGAATCAGCGAATCGGATTTTTGGTGGACGGGGACTGCCCAACTCGGCTAGCACTGCTCCAGCGCGCCTGGGCAACGAGCAGAAACCGATTCCGCTCGATCCTTCGCAGTCTGACATGGGCAATATCGAGGCCGATGCCTACATGGCGACTGTCCAGCCTGGAACATATGCGAGTGTCATGAGCGCCATGGTCGAAGTCCGCCGACGCCTCGGGACGGGATGGCTGGAGCACCTGTTACAAGACAAAAAGGGCGGGACGCTCCTAGATGCCGGCTCGGGAGGAGTGGGTGTGCTTGCATGGCATGAGATACTCCAGGCGGAGTGGCAGCGTATGCATGATGAATCAGGGAATACCTCCCATGGCGCTACACCGCTGGGCAAAGCAACCGTCCTAACGGCGTCTGACACGCTTCGCCACCGCGCAAGCAAGCTGCTGGAAAACACGACATTTATTCCACGTCTTCCAGAAACCGTGACCGCAGCAGATGAAGCCAATACGCAGCAGCCACGCAAGTTTTACGACGTAATTATTGCACCGCACACACTCTGGCCGTTGCGGCAAGACTATCTGCGTAAGGAACAGGTCGAAAAGTACTGGTCCCTGCTGAATCCCAAGGGCGGTGTTTTGATACTCATTGAGAAGGGTTTACCACGAGGATTTGAAGTCATTGCTGGTGCTCGCTCCTATCTTTTGGACAAGCACATTGCTTCACCCGGCTCAGAAACGATTGAGCAACTGGTCGACTCTCAAGTTTCCAACCCAGATGAAGAGACCAGGTTTACGGATAAAGAGACTGGTATGATTGTTGCGCCGTGCACCAATCACAGCACCTGTCCCATGTATCAGTCTGTTGGTATTTCTCAAGGACGAAAGGACTTTTGCTTCTTTAGCCAACGCTACATTCGGCCACCGTACCTCCAACGCATTATAAATGCCAAAGACAAGAACCACGAGGATGTACAGTTCAGCTATCTCGCCGTTCAACGTGGTCGCGATCAGCGCCTTGCCCAGTACGACATCTTAGGCAAGGGTTTCGTGCAGGGAGAAGTCTCAACCGCTGCTGCTTTCGAGGGCCACGAGTGGAAAGCATCTTCCAAGCCAGACACTGAGCCTGAATCAGAAGAAGAAGTCACGTTGACATCTCCAGCCGACGTCAACCCCCTCACGTTTCCGCGGCTCATCCTGCCCGCGCTCAAACGCCGCGGCCACATCATCCTCGACGTGTGCACACCATCCGGCACGCTGGAGCGCTGGACGGTACCCCGCTCTTTCAGCAAGCAAGCCTTCCGCGATGCTCGAAAAGCGCGATGGGGCGATCTGTGGGCGCTGGGCGCAAAGACACGCATCCCACGCAATGTGCGTCTGGGGCGGCCGACGGACGAGTTTGATAAGAAGGGCAGAAAGGTCAAGAAGGCCAAGCAGGTGACGATTGAAATTGGCGTGGGTGAAAAGGACGGGCGGACCGTCGAAGAAGGGCCGGTGAGGGTGCTCGGCAAAGGGGGGCGACTGCTAGTTGGGGATCGGGACGGACGGTATACGAGTGGTCGGAAGATTCGGGGGAGCAAGGGGAGGAAAGGGAGGAAGAAGAGAGTAGGGCACGACTATGATGTCTTGGATGATGATGTGTAAGGGCGTATGAAAATATGTATGAAAACATGTATGAAAATATGTATGAAAATATGTATGAAACATGGGTATGTATGATACCTCACCACTATTGAATTCTGTCTAGTCTGCCGCGTTGTGAAAGCCGCTGCGTCGGCACGTCAAAATCACTCATAAAACAAATGAGACATGGGTGTGTAGGATGAATGTAGCACTAGTGTGTGTAACGACTGTACTTTGTTTCGACTTGAACGTCAGAGAGCGAGAGAGATACTAGTGGTGGGATATGCAGAGAAGAAGAAGAAGAAGAAAAGAAAAAATGAGCATGTAAAAACATGTCCATGTCGAGAGAGTGCAGCAAGAATTGGATGTTGCATGTGTTCAGAACAATGTGTCTCATATTGGACATATGGTCTATATACATTGCCATTGCCATTGCTGCTGCCGTCACCATGACCATCGGCATAGCCCTAGGCCATGCCCTCCCTATCTCCTCTAGTAGGACAAGAATAAAAGACCAAAAAAACGAAAAACTAGAGAGAAAAATAAAGGGCTAACTCAGCCACCCACCCAGCCGATCCTTTGGCGGACTTACCGCCCGCTTACCTAAAATGCACACAAAGGAACATAGGAAATAGACAAAGATAAAGGAAAATCGGGGGTATATCTCCTTGCTCTTTGCGAAACACGCGTGGCTTTGTATTACCACTGCCCAAAAGAGAGACCTAGATTAGCGCCTTATGCACGCAATAAGAGACGACGGTTTATATCCGTCGATTGTGTGTGTGTGTGTATGTGTGTGTGGATGTGTGTTTGTGTGTCCCGACGCCAGTGCGATGCAGTAATAATAAAGGAAAGAATAAGATTTTTCGTGGGTGTGATGGGTACGTAGTAGTAGCTTTGTTCTCATACAAGGAATCCGACATCCAGAGTGACAGGGCTGAGGCTGGCTGCGCGACTCTCGATGCTGGGCCGTCGCTTGCCCATGTCATCCAGCTGGCGTGCGCCATCTGCGTTTGGTTGACACTTTCCGGTTGGGGATGGCGGGCCTGATGGACCAGTGTCGTCGGTGTTTGTCTTTGAATTGATAGGGGCGAGGTCTTCGCCAAAGGTAATGGATGTAATGGAGTCGTCACTGATGCCACGAACAGGCGAGCTAGGCCGTTCCGGGACAATGGCTGGAGGAGTGGCTTCGTCTGGAACCACGGTAGGCGGCTCTTCGCTTGTGCTGATTCGGACAGAGCGCCTAGACTTGGAAAAGCCATGTGCATCGTACCGAGGCGGGTGGGCGGCGTACTCAACCAGCATGTGTGCCTTGACGCTGATACGGAACCGCTGTCCCTTTGCAAAGACTACGTCACTTACACGTGGCGAAGAAGCGAGCAGGACCGGGGCACAGCGACGGCGATATCGCATCATCTGGCTCGACGATGGTCGGACTACAGGCGTCGACTTTGGGTCGGCCGATGCTTCGTCGTCGCCATCGGGGTGCTCGTGTGAAGAGAGGCGGTGGAGCGAGTCTCTGGCTGCTCCTGTAGGAAAGCGAACGTCTTCTGGATCAAAGTCGTCAATCTCGGCGTCGGCAGGGGGTGACTGGCGGCTTGAGCTTGGTTCACGGTTTCCGGCTAAATTAGGGTAGAGCTGGCGCATAATGTGTTCCTGTTCTGCGATGAGGCGGCGACCGGCTTCCAGACTCGATAGACCGTCGAGGTTTTCGGCGACCTGGGCGCTGTCCAAGACTCGCTGGCGCCTGCTCCGTCGGGGCAGGCTTCGATAGCGCGGCTCGCTACGGTCCTCTAGCGGCGAGCTAATGTCGATGGCAGCGCAGAAAGACTCTACCCAGTCAAGCATGCTTTCCTCGCTTGGGGGACACAGCAGAAACTGTTCAAACTCGAGGCGCAAGCGGATGACGTGCTCTCGGACGGGCTCAAAGAGCTGGGGATCCGACTCGTACAGCTTGGGTCGTGCGGCAACGGGGACGAGGTGGACAAAGGGCGACTTTGGCACCAATGCCGTCTTCTTGAAATCCGAGGCTATGCCGACTTCGGCGTGCTGCAGCGAGTACGTCTTGAGCAGTCGCCCCGGCGAGGCCTTCTTGTTCTTGCTGAGGAGGTTTGGGTTCTTGAGGCGGTAGAGGCACAGCTGGGTGCCGCGGAGCTGGGCATAGACGTCGTGCCACTCGCGGTGGCCGGCCACCTGGAAGGGCGACGAGAGTTCCTGCTTGTGGCCTAGGATGCCGGCCATTTCGACAGTGCAGGTGTAGGGCGGGGGGTGCTGGGCCTTGCGGGTGGCGTCGCGCTCTGCTCTTGCGCGGTCGTCGAGCATGCGCTGCGTCTGGGGGTCCATGGCGCGGGCATACGAGGGCGGCTCGCCGAGCGGCAGCTGGGTGTGGGTGTGGTATGTGTTGTGGTAGCCATAGGTGGTGGAGGAGCTCGAGGCGTTGGCCGCGCGCGCGCGCGAGGAGCGAGTGGGTGACATGTTGCTGGCGACAGCGTGGTCATGGAAGGAGCGAGGCGGGAGTCGGGCACAGCGTCAAGAGGGGTGGGTTTGGGTATTTCGCCGCGTCGAGGCCGGCGACGCGTGCGTGGGGCGGGCGAGGTGTTTGCAAACGACACGGCGGGACGGAGCGTGCGGGCTTTGTTTTTGAGGCACAGGCACAGGCACAGGCGCAGGCGGGCAAAAGAAAGGGCAGGCGGCGAGGGCAGCGGGACTGGGTATATCGGCGAGGCGTGACAGGGGTAGTGTTGTTGGGGTGAAATGAGTGACGCGGATGGGGCGTCAGGCGTCTGGGAGCGCCGAAGAACCAGCGCCGGCGGAGGCGGCGGTCGAGGTGGTGGTGGTGGTGGTGGTGCGGGTGCGGGAGCTGGTGGTGGTGCGGGAGCTGGTGCTGGCGAGACGGGCGGAGGGGCAGCGAGGCGGAGACATTGGCAGTTTAAAGGCGGCGCTGGAACGGGCGCCGATGGGGTTGGGGTGGCGGTGGCATGGTTGAGTTGCGTCGAGAGCAATCACTTGGGGCTATCAGCTGCCCTGCAGGCACGCGCACAGGCCCTCGTCCCGCCCCGGCCATGTTCCAGACGGCACTAGCGCCCTCAGCTCGCTGACTCAGGCTCAGCCTGCCCATGCCCTTCCCTTCCCATGCCAAACACCACAACGCCTCTCTCGCTCCACCTCCACCACTAGCCCGCCTGTCCTGCCTGTCCTGCCTGTCCTGCCTCGCCTCCAGGTAGTGTACCTGTGTGCGGCTGTACACCCACACCGACTCCCGCCGCCCTCGACACATGTCGCCATGGCTGCGCCCATCTCCACCTGTCCGTCCAAGCATAGGCATGTACGCTGGCTGACCTGCCTCCCCTTCCCTGGCCCCTCGGCCAGCCTCTACCCCGCGTCAGATGACAATGGCTGCACGTCGCCTGCTCCTCGACGCCATGCACGTTGCGACAAAGCCCATGCTGGCCCAGGCCTAGTGCGACGTGACCAGCGCCCCGACGGCCTTTCTGCTGCCTGCGGGTGACATTGCGCCCATCATCGTGCTGTAGCCACCCCGCCCTGCTCTACCACTCCGGTGCGTATACCACCCCCAATTCGCTGCATTCGGCCTTTCCGCTGCACCACAGTTGCCCGCCCGCCAAGCCTGCATATCGCAACTGTCGCTGGCTTGGGCCTGCTTGCGCGTCTAGCGCCTCGACTTGTTCAAACTTAGCTACCACAAGACACTTGCCCCAAAGACGCCCGCCCACTACCACTCCGTCTCAACCAATTTGCCAGAAGACAAACTTTGGTCTCGATGAAAAGGCCCGAAGCATCACAGCTGGTCCGCCTGTGTACAGGTGGCGTCATCGAGTGCTGCGACTGCGACGGCTAGTTGCATAAAAGAGCGTTTGCAGGCAAATGAGCTCATATGTTTTCTTTTGCCCGTGCAAGGAACCTTGCTTGGTGAGCTGGGAGCATCATATTCTCCGCACCCTTTCTTCTCCTCTGTATGCTGCACGATTGCACTCTTGCTCTAGCGCCATCAACAATGCAGAAAATCCCAGAGTGACAGTTGGACCTGTGCCAGCACTACATTCAGCCTGATTGGCAGACCCTGAACAAGGGGGAGGAGCCTACATCCATCCGAAATAAGCTTGCCACATATGTAGCACAAAAGAAAAGGCGCCATACAAATGGTTGACATGGCTCATAAGCACCCCATTCGGCATTCGTCGTGGAAAAGAGTCTATATATGGAGCGGTGGCGAGGCTGAGGGTGTCGTGCGTGGCCCAGCTAACAAGTGCAAGCAGCTTCAAGCTCTAAAGCTTGACTGCACGAGACCACGTCGGTTGGTAGCAGCCCATCCGCACAATGAACCATGGCTGCTCCACCTGTCCCTTCTGCAAGCAAGGGTTCCGAACAGCTTCATGCCCAGATACATACTCCATGGACGGCCGTGCGCAATCGCTGCTGCGGGCGCGCGAGGTTCTCGATGCTTTCTCGCCCCACCCCAACAAAAATACCATCTGTTCACCCGCTCCGTAGGTATCGCAAAGTGGAAACGGTTAAAACCTGCATATCAAAAGACCCACCAAAGGACGGCAGACCCAGCCATCTGTCCCACTGTTCCTGCACCTGGTTCCCCATGACACTTTCGAATTTCCAACAACAACACTTTGCGTATCGCATGCGTCAGATTGGCTTTTTTTTTCGCTGCATCCACCACACGGTCGAGAATGCGGCTCTGCAGGATCTGCAGCGCCTTTGCCCTCAACCAGATTGAAATGCCCCGAGGCAAAAAGAAAAACGATAAAAGAAATTTATCTCGGACTTGTCATCTCCCGGCCAGGCGCTTGACCAGGTGCTCGAAAAGTCAATTTGCGCACAGGACGTATAATGCTCCCCAGTCTTCTTCCCTCTTCCCCATCAACCACACGGCATCCACGGAAACATCGATCTGATCCGTGGTATCAGAACAGGAGCATCGCTTGGTGCCGTGCCGTCATGGACTGCTGTCATCAATCACGCTGCCGCTGTTCGTGATGACTGAGCTGATCATTTGCCCAGCTTATCGTCGCTTAGTACACCGTCAACACAAGGTTTAATCTTACCTTGCACAGGCACTAAATTGCATCTTCCGACAAGCAACCACTTGGAGGAATTACAAATATACCCTTGCAGCGCGACACCACTAAGCATATGCGCCTTCTACCATCTTGCACCATTTTTCAAGCTAGCCTCGTCACTTCTTTCTATTGCACATGTCTACACCTAGTCCACAGGTGCTAGATTGAAGATCACTCACCCAAAATGACCTTTTTTCCGTCAATTGAAACAAAGACACACGTCAAAATGCGAAAGAGCAATACAATGAACATTACACTTGACCTTAGCGCCGCAAATCCTGCACTATGCAACTTGATCCTCACAATTCACTACAAGCACGACCACCCACGACCCAACCCTCACCCATTACTATGCAACACGCGAGCCGTCACGGCAACCGTTTTTTTTACTTCCTCGTCTCACCAAATCGCTTCACTCTCTCCTTTTTTCCCCTTGCATTCGAAAAAAGTAAACAACAATAACGAGCCAGCATGCCACATATGTCATCGTACCATTAAGCTATTCTAGCCTGACTTGAACAAAGTCCAGTCTATGTATATGACGAAGACGCCACTGGTGCCTAGGAGGTCCTTACCGGAATAGTACTAGCTCTGTTGACTACAGCTACTTCCACCCGGAGCTTTACTCAATCACACCGTTTCCATCTCTTCAATCCAACTTACCTCCTTGAAGACCACGGCAAACCTGGGTTTTTCAACCTACATACACAATAGACAGATACCAAGTATTATTCACATCTCATCCCAATATTTCCCTTGAAAGCATCAGCAAACATAGTGATTACTTACATCAACCAACACAATCACCTAGCACCCTCACGCTCTCTATTCATTATCAAAGGGTCTCTCTCCCCTTAGAAAAACGAAGATAAATAGTTAAGCTTGCCATAAAGCAAAAAAAGCGTCCACAGTGAGCCCAACAAAGGCAAATAACTAATCGACAGCACACGTGCTTGGAAACAAACGAACAAGGAAAAGAAAGGCACGCAACATCATGACTCGAAAGCAAGCCATGACAGGGGCTAAAAAAAGGCAGAAGAAGACATGGGCAAGTGTAAAAAGAAATACAAAAAGAAAGGGCCCGACCGGAATCGAACCGGTGACCTTGGGAAAGCGGTTTCAGGAGAACTGCAGTCCCACGCTCTACCATTAAGCCACGAGCCCCTTGACACTGATTGGATAGAAAGCAGTCATGCTCGAGAATGGATCTTGATTGGTTGAAACCGATTTTGATGAGGTTCTAGGAATTCGTGTTGCTTATGTCTTGAGGAAAATATCAGCGACTAATAGAGGCTATCTGTCCTCATTACAATATGCCTAGTTAGTCTCGACCAACTACGATAATTTGTCTATGCGTATAGTGTGCTATGACCCGCTTATTATACCAGCTGCAGCAACCATGGCTTATTACCCACATGGTCTTCTCACTATGTGGGCTTACCCATGCACTGACAATTCATCATGACATGCACCAACTCACTGGTTACGACCAAGCAGTTTAGAGTGCACCATCCTGCAAACTAGCCAAGGAACATATTCATGACTGCTAAACACATGATTGTACAGTAGTATACATAGTTCATCTACGAGTATGATACAAGTTTTCCGTCACTGTATTCGTACATCGTCCCTTTTCCACTCTAGCTACGCCCACCGAGATTCCTTCTTGAGCGGCTTTTCCCAGTCCTTGATGTGGTCGGAAATGACCTTTGCGGCTTGGTCAGCCGTAAAGTTTCGGCCAATAGCCTCTACAAAATCACCCTCCGGGTCTGGGTACGGTGTTAGCCAAACTTGTCACGCCCTGATTTCATCCCAAACAACATACCCATCAGGTAAAAGTAGATGCTGTGATCTACCAGGTAGTCCTGTCCAGGCTTGACATTGTTTGGTGTGCTAAAGTACACCCGATATGCCTTGCACGTGCTCTTGATTTGCTCGTACTCGCCCGTCAGGCCAATAAAATCGGGATGAAACTCAGCCAAGTATTCCTTCAGAACCTTGGGGTTGTCGCGCGCCGGATCGCACGTGATCATGATGGGCAGGAGAACGTTGCCGCATTCAGCCTTGACCTTGTCGTACATGAGGGCCATTTTGTCCAGTTCGTCGGGGCAAATGTCGGGACAATGAGTGAAGCCAAAGTAGACCTGCAGTACCCCAAGTCAGTATGCTGCCGCCATCAGAGACAATCTTGTTCACGGACCAGCGAGTATTTGCCTAGCATATCCTCATTGCTGAACGGATTCCCATTGTGATCCACGAGCTGGAACGGTCCCCCGACCTTGGGCTTGCCTATGCCTTTGGTCTGCTCCGCTATCCGCTTCCGTGCAAGGCGCTCCTTCTCGTATGTGAAATACGCCCATAGTCCTCCACCAGCGGCGACAAAGAGAATGGCAGCTGTCAGGTTGAATGGCTGCACATCATGTCAGCAATTGACTCGCTGAACAAGTATTTGTCCAAGTATGACACGTACCCCGCCCTTGTTTCTTGCCTTGATTTGATCAATTGTCTTGAGCTTGTTTCGCGATGCGGACTGCGAGAACATCCGTGAAGGCCCGCGGCAGCTCGCAGTCTTCCCAGCCCCATTTTGTGCTCTTTTCAATTCCCTCAGACATGTTGTGTTTAGCGCTGTGGGATTCCGGGATGCGGCGAGCGGGTTCGATGTGCTAGAGGCAAAGGCGCGGCGCGAGACAATCGATGTATTCTTGAGGCTTTTGGCGGCCGTGGCCAGACATCTACCTGGGGTGGGCATTGTCATCGCAGCGTTGAACAGGCTATAGTGATGTGGTGCGACGAACTGACGGTGCGGGATACTTTTCTTGCGATGCGAGATCAACTTCAGTGCACGGGCCAGTCTCGAATGACATCGCGGTCCGCAACTCGCCTAGCATTATGATTGGTCAATCCCGCAAGCACCTCAAGTATGATGCTTCCATGTCCTTTGCAAGACGAGTGCTTAGAAGATAGGTGTAATCCTTCTGCGATAGTAATTACCGATATCCAACGTATGACAAGCTAATGGATGATATTTCAAGGGTGATGTAAATAGCCTGGATAATTTACATATTGGATATATTTATAGACAGATAAAACCCGAGTGATGCAGGGTACAGGGTATGGTGCCTCATTGGTACCTTCTGTTATGTGCCTTTTTGCATTGCAAAATTCGCTGCGTTAGCATATTGGAACCATTGCTACAACATACAATCAACTTGTATACAGCTAGGATTTGCTGTTGACGGTTCCACTCGAAGAAGCTTCATTTGAGACGGTTACAGAGATAGAAACACTGGGCACTATGCACGTCTGATGATCCTAATCTAAAGGACTGCGCTGTACGTTGAACATCGAGTCAGTCGAATGGATACATGTCCAACACACACTGTGTCTGACAATGGTTCTGAGGGAGCTATCGCCGGAATGCACTTCGGCCGCATACTTGTATATCAAACAAAAGAGGTATCTCTCTCCCTAGCAACGGCGGAAGGTGGTACAAGGCGCTAAGCGATTCATCTCAGATACTCATCTCTGACATGAGTTGTACCTGTCTCTAACAAGGAATATTCGCGAAGTTGAGGGTTGTTACATTGACATCTTGGCATTGACGACGTTCCTGTGTCGAGATGATCAGCCAAGTCCTTGGCAGGTCAAAACACATAATCCGGCCGACATTTTGACGGCGTAGTGGATTCGCGGACGGATAAAGCGGTAATGATTTCGGGCCGTTGGTGCCCGGCACATATGTACTAGATGATTGCGATACACATGTAGTCAAGAGCAATCCGAATCTCTCCAGGACGCTGTTGTGAGTGGGCAGACGGCGTGACTTGACCGATTTGTTGGTGTCTGCAACAACAATGATGGCTCTATTTGATACCAACGGCTTTGAGAAACTCGTCTTTCTGCACCTTGCCGGCATGGCCTGGTGCCTCAACACCCTTGACAATGTCGCTCATACTTTCCATTTCCTTGACGCCTGTGCCATGTGCAAAAGTCCAAAGTTTGTCTTCTTCATACCGCACTTGGAAAGCTTGCCAGTTCTGGGCCTTGAGCAGATTGACATGCTCTGTGACAGCCGAGGATGGGCCCGAGTAGACGAGGACGCCTGGGTATCCGGGCTTGGTAAGACCTGACACGGGGGGCAGTGAAGGCGGAGGCGAAAGAGCCAGCTTTCGTTTGTTGGTGTTGAGCAGGTGATGTAGCCATACAATGATTGCTTTGGGGGTTTCTGGACTAGCCGTGGCAGCAGCTGTTGAGAGACTGTTTTGCTTTGTCGTGCTTGACTGGCAAAAAGCCGACGCGGCGAGTTGCTCAAAGGCAGCAATGATGGCATCGAGCACTTCTTCCCCTTGCATTAGGCCCAGCTCTCTGACGGCGTCTCTGAATGGCTCGCGCAGGTCGTTCTTGGCTGCATCTGTGGCCGAGATGATGTCTGGAAAGCCTGAGAGCGGGTACGTCTCGGGTAAGCGAAGAAGAAACGAGGCGTGGGTGTCACTAGCAAACTTGCACTCGCGTGAGTTGGGGTTGTAGTGCGTCTGATGGGGGTACATGGCCTCGAGCAGCTCCAGCTCCGTTTCAAGGCGGGTGGGTCCATGGTCGGACATGACGGCGGCGGGCGGGCGCAGCGGAAAGGCCTAGTGTGGACGTGGTGCCGTCGAGATCAGGGGGACGGACAGGTGCTGGAGAGGGGCGGTCCTTTTTCTCGGCTTCTCGTGCAAACCGCGAGCCAATGGGTGGGATGTGTGTCGTTGGCCTGGCTGTGCTGGACTCGGCCGCGTCGTGGTCGCGCAGGAGACCTGACGCGATCCCGATCCTGGGGGCCCGTGCGCCGGCAGCTCTTGGAGGCGATGGCTGCCAAAACGACGGGGCGGCAGTGGTGGTGGTGGTGGTGGTGGTGGTGCATGCCGCATAATTGATGAGGAATATATGTACACCCAGACGACAGTACATACAGTAGGGTGCATAAGTGGCGCGGCACAAAGGTTCGTATCGCGCTCGTGTCTCATCTTCAGCTTATTGTGGCCGGGGGGCGGGACGATGGGGCGTCATTGGAGCATGGCAACGGCATGCGCAGCTGGGCACACGATGGCGACGACGACGGGCGGCGGGCAGCAGGCGCTGGGGCGCTGGCGAGGTTGTTTTTATGCGTGTAGAGAAGGCCGTCGCTGGTGTAGACAGCAAGGGAGGGTGTGGTGCCGGGCCCGTACTGCGTGAAACCAGGCAATGAGGGTTCCCAAGGCGGCTAGCGGGCGACGCGGAACGTTCGCGCTTCCAGGTTCGTGTGCAGGCGGCTTAGAGAGACATGGAGCCAGCCAACCAGCCAGCCCAGCCCAGCCCAGCCAACCAGCCAGGGCCCATGAATTCCCTCCACGACCACCGACCTGCCTACCCTACCGACCGACCTCTGCTGATCTGCACTGGCACCGTGATAAAGAAAACACTGCTCCCGCGCCCAGCCTCTCCTCCACCATCGCGCCTGGGGCAAACCGCCATTGATTGCCCTTGCCCTTGCCCGTGGCCTCCCCCAACAGGGCCCGCTCTGCCTAGCAACACCACCACCTCCCCCCCATAATCTGACACTGTCGGCGAGCAAGCGCCCTGGACCTCTCGCCCTCGCCCGCCCGCCAGACGCCCGCCGCCCGCCGTACGCCCACGCTCTCTGCACAGATCCGGCCCATGAGCCGCATATCCTGATCCACCATGAAGGCTGCTCCGCTGCTGGTGTCCTGGCACAACGAGAATGCCCCGATATACTCTGCTCACTTTGAACCCCACGCCAAGGGCCGCCTGGCAACCGCAGGCGGAGACAACAACGTTCGGGTGTGTTGCTGTGCGCCCTGCTTCGACCACGACTTCCGCTGACGGGTCCAACAGCTCTGGAGCGTCGAGACGCACGGCGAGGAGCGCAAGGTCACGTACCTGTCCACGCTCGTCAAGCACACGCAGGCCGTCAATGTAGTGCGCTGGTGTCCACGTGGTGCGTGAAGCCGACTCTTGCACGCGAGCGGCGCGGCTAACAGCGACAGGCGAAATGCTCGCGAGCGCGGGCGACGACGGCAACGTCCTGCTCTGGGTCCCCGCCGAGAACCAGACGACGCACACAAACTTCGAAGAAGGCCTCGAGGACAAGGAGACGTGGCGCGTCAAGGCCATGTGCAGGTCCATAGGCTCCGAGATCTACGACCTCGCATGGTCGCCAGACGGCGTCTTCTTCATCACGGGCAGCATGGACAACATTGCCCGCATCTACAATGCTCAGACTGGTACGACGCCTGCCCTGGTGCCACTGCCCCTGCAATTGCTCAACCCCCTCTAGGAAGCATCGTGCGGCAGATTGCCGAGCACAACCACTACGTTCAGGGCGTTGCCTGGGATCCAATGAACGAATACATTGCCACGCAGTCATCCGACCGATCCGTCCACATTTACACGCTAAAGAACAAGGACGGCCAATTCTCCTTGGCCCAGCACAGCAAGGTCACCAAGATGGATTTGCCTGCCCGACGCGTATCCTCCAACAGCCCTGCACCCCCCGACTTTGGCGGCCGCGCATCCTTTGTAGGAGATTGCAGCCTGGCAATTGGCTCGCCCGTCCCATCCATGCCTGGCACGCCGCAGTCACTTGCCCTGCCTACGATGCACCCCCCACCCACTTCGCACAGCCGCCGCTCCTCGTTTGGCTCCTCACCCTCCATGCGCCGCTCTGCTTCGCCGGCTCCGTCGATGCCCCTGCCGGCAGTCATGCCCAACTCCCCCAGCATCGGCAGTATCGGCACCATGGGCGTCCGCAACGCACCAATCTACTTTAATGAAACCCTCACATCCTTCTTTCGACGTCTCACATTTGCGCCCGATGGCAGCTTGCTATTCACACCAGCCGGCCAATACAAGGCACTGCATCCGTCTGTTGGTGACGCGAAACCGGCAGAAGATATTACCAACACCGTCTACATCTACACTCGGGCTGGCCTGAACAAGCCTCCAGTGGCTTATCTGCCGGGCCACAAGAAGCCTTCTGTCGCAGTTCGCTGTTCGCCAGTGTACTACACCCTGCGCCAGACGGCTCCTCCTCCAACGAGACAAATCACCATTGACACTTCGAATATGGATGACGAGATTCCCTCTCTGCCAGAGCCGTTTATGCCCTCGAAGCCTCCTACATCACATTCGTCCATGGACCCCCCGCCCATCACGAGTGCGCCGTCCCCGTCACCAAGCGTATCGGCACCCTCACCCAAGCCTGCGGACAGCGAGACATCTAGTCAAACCGGGGTGCCTGTTGGACCTGTGGCCGCATTCACCCTCCCTTACCGTATGATATATGCTGTTGCGACACAGGACGCCATCCACATATATGACACGCAACAGCAGAAGCCATTGTGTATAGTTAGTAATTTGCACTTTGCGACCTTTACAGACATTACCTGGTAAGAGCAACACAGCCGCTTTGGCTTTTGACAATGCTTACTTTTATAGGTCCAACGATGGTTCCATGCTGCTCATGACATCGTCTGATGGATTCTGCTCCTCAATCACATTCGCCCCTGGAGAGCTGGGCGAAAAATACACAGGTCCTTTGGCTGTTCACAGCAGACCACAGCCGCTGGCAGCCATCAACACGACAGGAGGCCAGACATCGAATCACTCTACCCCAACACCAACGCCGACAACTGGAAGCATGTCCGGTACCGCAGCAGCTACTGCGCCCCCAATGCAAAGACAGCCATCCGCAGGCTTTCCCGCCTCGCCTAGCTCCTTTGTTCCCGCAAGACCTGGCAGCCCAACAAGAAGTAACTCGGTATCCAGCATAGCTACAGCCTCGTCCTTTGCCCCTGGAGGAGGCGATCAAAGCAACATGAACGCCCCAACGCCAGTCATGTCGTCAGTACCGAGTATAGCAGCAGCCAACTCGGGGCCCGTTCCCATGTGGACACCACCTCTTACCCCGGCCCACGGCCAGGGCAGCTCGCACAGCGCAAGCAGCTCCGTCAGTGGAATCCCAAACATGGGCCAGGTTGGACGTAGAGAGAGTGAAAGAAGCGAATCTGACCGTGATGACACTGGATCCAAGAAACGCGAACTCAATAGCGTGCCCGAGGCCGAGGGAGAACAAGGCCGAGAGAACAAGCGGCGGAGGATTGCGCCCACGCCTGTTGCCTTGACGACCGAGGGCGATGATGCCATTGATAGCACCGAGGATCATGGCCAGCAATAACTGATTTCCCTTGTTCATGTTTGTTTTACCGAGCTTCAGTATTACTCCGAGCGTTTTTCTAGCATGGCGTTTCGGATATAGGCCTGGATGGCTCGCACCTCTACGGTCGCGCTGGCTTTGAGCAATGTGCCCAGGGCTTTCCTTTCGGCGTTGTCTCGGTCAACCATGGTCGTTGATTATCCGGAGTTTTCACCGTACAAAAGGTACGCATGTCCATATTGAAAACGATAGTTTGAATCAAAAACAGATGGCTATTAGTCGAAGAGTTTTCTTTCTTTTTTCTTTCTCCAAGGCTGCATGATGCGGATATTGTCTGGGCAGTAGGAAGGATTCGTGTGCATACATGGCCGTTGCTAAGGCCGACATCCGGTTGTCACATGGTGTTGTTTACGTGTTAGTAGGCACTAGTACTTTTTTTTGCGCTGGTATCGCGTGGGTTCCAATAGTTCCAAGAGCGATCGGCCTTAGTGTCTAGCCTCACAGAGATACGCTTTCTCGTCCCAGCCAATCACGGCCCGACTGCAAGGTTTGAGGCCGGGCTCCCTGGTTGCTATGGTTGTGGTTGTTGAAGCGAAAGTGGGGGAGACGCAGGCATTGCGTTGAATGTGATACGAATGACTACATGTAGACCTACCCTTTTCCAGTCATGCAGCTGTCATGGGTTAGCAAAGTACACTAACGTAAGAATAGGCGCAGACGGTCGATCATGGCCGTGGGAAGAGGAGCTCATGAGACAAAGGGTGCTCGCGCCGTATCAACTATGTTTGCGGCAAGGCAGGCTCCTAGAGCTGGTAATGTGACTTGGTTGGTAGAATTGATATCCTTTTCTCTATGAGAGATGATGGTTGGTGTGGGTTGGGATATAGTTACTGTTTTATCGCTAACATGAAGAGATGGACCGTCTCAAGTCATGTCTAGAAGGCCGGCGATAGACATTTGTCGAGATGTGATATCGACCATGGATGATCAGAGCTCTTTGATACTGTCTCCTGGATGATTTGTGAATGGCATGATGATCTGGCGCTGTAAGTACTCATAGTATATATAGTACCTTGCAAACTCACCCGCTAGCAAATATCCAAACTCACAAACACATACTCTTCACACTCGGTCGATTTACATAGAAGCCAATGCTTGGCACATCAGTGGCTGTAGAAATGTCCACGAACAGACCGAGATGAAATATTTCGCCTCACCAAGTACGCGTCAACGCAGAAGCCTCAACATCTTCCATGCGTCGGCAAGTAACCTTCTCTTCACAAGTGAACGCTGCATGCATGATCGCTGACGGATCGTATAGCCAAATCACCCTCACGTCGGCATGCAGATACACGCCATACACGCCTGCGGCTACGCGACTGACTAGACGTATGCGCTTCAGAGGCGTCACCGGACTCGGACTTAACAAGCGAGACATGTGAAAAACAAAAAAGCAAGGTGATTATCAACGCCAAGTGGCGGAAAAGGCGGGGTCAAGACGAAAGCCAGTGCCAATAGTAGAATGGAAGCTTTGCACATGCCTGGTGTTTGGTATGCGTATTTGCTGATGCCTTACTTCTTCTCTGCAAGACAGAAAAGAGAGGGTAGAGAATGATTGGATCGTTTTGTTATGCCTATTTTATTGATTCGCTTCATTCGGCTTCAAGTTTCGAGATACGCCGTTTCGTAAAAAAAATAGTTGATAGATAGTAGTAAGGCTTGCTTGGCTTTGGGTCGAGTGGGGTCGAAGAGGAGCAGGAGGAAGAGGGGCACGTAGGCGTAGGGTGATGCCAATATGCAGGGCTCAGAGGGAGCGCCACAAAAAGCATGGTGCTGACGGTAGGTACGTGTACGCTCTACTTTGTCATGTAGTGGTGTCCAAGGGTCCAGACGAAGCGCCACTTGTGTATTGTCTGAATAGGGAGGGATCCTTGGAGAAACTGGCAATGTGATTGAGCGAGTGAGACAGTCCAACCAGCTTGACACGTACGCTACGTTCGAGTCAAGCACATCCGGCACGTGCAGATGCCGGTGTTCAAATGAAGCGAGTTGGTGTGGGGTTGATGCGTTGCCCGTCTGTCGGCGTTGGTATACCTTTCTGCTTTGCTGCACTTGGGACCCGAGTAACGGGCTTGGACTTGGCCATGTATTGGCTCTTGGAATGGCGAAGAAGCTGGCCACGAGTGACTTGCTTGTTCGTTCTGGACGATGCCTTATTCCCATTAGCTGACCTTTGGCCTGCAGCTTAGCATGCAGACGTGGGTAAGCGGGCTGCTGGGTCGTTTACCGGATGCAAAAACTTTGGTACCGGTATTAGTTTGGGCCGGGAATTAAAACCGGCTATTCGTCCAGCGTGCGCAAAGTTACTCTAATGACTTGCTCAGCCAAAACCCTATGCTAAGAGACAGTGACGTGCAACTTGCCGTCTAAGCTTCGGCGCGGTTCCCAGTTGGGTCGGCGGAAAAACCGTCCGGGTTGACTACCGCGTTGCTCATACCGACGTGCAGATGGGTTGACACGGCAATTCCAAATTCCCATGGTGGCATTGTGTATGTTGGTGTAGGCTCGGCTGAGGCATGGTCCCGGCGGAGTGAAGACCCTGGTATGGAAGATAGGAATGCGATGGCAAGCCACGGACATGGCTCAGAGATGGGATTGCATGAAGCGAGGTATTATCATGAGCCCAAGCGGGGATAGTAGGGTAACACGAGCGGGAAGAAGCATGGCAAAGCTGCAGGTTGAAAGATTTGCACCATTTGGCCATGCCGCTCCCCTGGCGGTCCTACGTACCCACTAGGCTATTAGGCTGTTGAGCAGGATCTGGCGGGAGTGCGGGGGTGGGAAAGCGATGGCTGAGAAACGAGGACCTGTAGTCGGAGGTTTTGGGTCGGACGGATAGGGTTGCAGACAGACTGGCCGAAGCAATAGTGGGGTGTAGTATAGGTGTGCGGTACGCAGGAAGCGCAGCCGTATATGTCGCCCCCTAGGGCTGAGGAGGCGCCGGGAGGGTTTAGGCTCAAGACATGATGTTCGGAGCGGAGCGGAGCGGAGTTAAACACGAGTTCCCCGGAGATTAGCGCGGGGGCCACGCGCGCATGCTGCGATGGTGCATCCATCCTCTTTTTGCGTCGACGGCAAAACAGACGTCGGGCAAAGACGAGTCTGTGTGATTCGCGTGCACACGTACAGTGCACTGGCTTTGGAACCGTGTGTGGCTTGAAGTTATGCCTAGTGCTGACAGCATTGATCGACGGGCTTCTAGACGTTCTGCCTGTATTGCCATGGCGACTGATTCAGCTTGCACGCACCGGATGCAAGCGTTGCTGATGGTCAGGCCCAAGTCAGGATGCCGTAAGCTCAATGGGGTGTAGCCTTTGAGTCAAGCTTCGCAGGGCCGACGAGCGAGCGTGGGCGGGCTGCGTGATGGATGGGCAGCTCGAGGCTATCGCGGAAGCTGGACCATGGGGGCTGCAGCGGTTGCGGAGCCGCAGCCAGCAGAGCGTGTGCCAGCCAGGCGCCGTTTGAGGTGGCTGAGGGCGGTGGTGGTGGTGGCGGCGATGGAGATGGGTTTTCAGAAGGGCTGCATCAGCATCGACGGCAAACGGGATTTTGCTGGTGGGCTGGAAGTGTGAGTGGGGGGGGGGAGGGGGCGTGAGGAGTGAGATGCATGCGCGCTACCGGTTGTGGGCTGAAGAGGGTGCGCAGGCGTGAGCACCTCTAAGCTCGCCGCTTACCCACTTACCCACTTACCGGCGTGCTGGAATATAAGTAAGATGGCGATCTTCAGCTATGCGTTGCGACCACCGTCGAGCCCGCACGCTCCGCTCCAGCCTGCATTGATTCATCTGCTGGTCGCTCTGCCTGGCAAGCCGGCAACTCAGGCGGTTTTTCCGTAGCAAGCATCCGCAGACGGCGGGGGCCTGACATTCCTACCCATATACCACCACATACATACATACATACATATATACGTACATATACTGTGCTCTCGGCACTCGCCCCTCGCCCGCCATGGACTACAAATACTACGGAGCGCCGCAGCCACAGTACAGCAGCAACAGCCACTTTGTGGGCGGCAGCGGGCACTCGCACGCGTTTGCATCGACGGGGCCGGAGCGGGACTCGACACGCAGCATAGTAAGTCCAGTCCAGTCCAGTCCAGTCCAGTCCGGTCCAGCGAGCCCTTTGCCAGCGCGTGGGCCGGCGCAGCCACGGCGGTGAATGTGATGGAGGCGGTGATGACTAAGCTAAACTGTCCGGCGTGCACCTCCAGGAACCGCTCGACGCCATCCTCTTCCCCTCGGCCTACGATGCCATTGGCTTCACCAACGGCCTGCCCACCCCCCACCAGGGCTCTCCCGACAACGCAGCAGCACACACGCCCATGCCGGTAGGCAGCGTAGATTCGGGCATTGGCGCGGAATTCGATGAGGGCCGGAACAGCCGGACGAGGAGCAGCAGCGAGGAGAAGGACACGCTGACGCCTGCCCAGAGCAGGCGCAAGGCACAGAACCGCGCTGCGTAAGGCCTTTTCCCACCATTCCTCCTCCTCCTCCTCTTCTTCTTCCCAGCTAACCGCTTTGTGCCGCCAGCCAGCGTGCCTTTCGCGAGCGCAAGGAGCGCCATGTCAAGGAGCTCGAGACCAAGCTCTCCGCTCTCGAGTCCAGCACCCACTCGCTCCAGTCGGATAACGAGCGTCTGAAGGCCGCCCTGCACCGCGCCCGTACTGAGAACGAGGTTCTGCGTGCCAGCAGCGGCCACGCCTCCGCCTCGCCCCCGCCCCCCGTGTCGGCCAGCTATCCCTCGCCCGGCGCCCATATGCTCCTGGAAGAGGACGAGAAAGACGACGCCTACACGGTCCAGTCGCTGAACAATGGCAGCGTCATCAATGCCCCCGACAAGGAGCACTCCCGTCCCCAGAACCAGGGCAAGCAGGTCCCCGCTGCCCAGGCCTGGGACCTGATCCAGTCGCACACGCTCGTCAAGCAAGGCCTCGTCGACGTGGCCGATGTGTGCGACCGCCTGCGAGGCTCTGCCAGGTGCGATGGCCACGGCCCCGTCTTCGAAGAGACCGCCATCTGGCAAGCCGTCGAGGAGTCGCGGCGCTGTGGAGGCGACGAACTCATCTAACCCTCCCCCTCGCCTACACCTGCTGACCGCTTTGCTTCTCACAATACCCATTTCTGACTTTTCTTCGCCATTGGAGCTGTAGGCTTACAGCACCGTTCGGTCGCTTCTGGCGTTTGGCGCGTCCGGCACATGGTATGGTTGGTTGTTTGATTTACTGTCTGCTGAACTGGCCCACAAAATTGGCTTTGTGTACCATGGAAAAAGACTTTTTTTTTGCGTGACTTGGTCATGCTACGGCAAGCAACAGTGACAGACTTGGTGCTTGGGGTTTCTGCATACACTCACCGCAATCAAACAAGTCGATATAACCTGATGGGTACATTCATGTCGCTCTTCGTTCAGTCACAGACACGTGTCGCAATGTGACTGCCATTATGGCTTTTGAGTCCCTCGTAGGGCGCTGCAGGGACTTCTGACCAGCCCAGACTTGCTCGACGCATGGCTTGGACGATGAGCGAAAAGACTGCGCAACCTGACCTGGAGCCAACAGTGTTGAGCGCATGGGCACGCCATGGTCCCCTATCACATCTAATACATGATTTTCCAAGCATGGGAATACCGCTTTTCAAGGCGTTGATCACTGATCGTCACCCGGTTGAACTCTCAAATGCCTCATTCCAGGCAGCATAGGGCAAGACGGAGCACAGCTACGCACTCTCTAATCATCTGTCATCTCGCACCTCTATCCCTAAACGGCACTTAAAACACTAAGACGTTTCACGCTGGCCGGCTTACATGTGCTCAAGTGCCGACAGAATGGTGTTTTTGCCGGCCTTTCAAAGTCCGCCCGGTACACGAACCAAGTCTCACTTTGTCACGAATGATTCGGCGTGCGAAGCAAGCCATCACTCCGACGGCGCATCCAGTAAGGGCACCAAGTTAGTTTGTGCCGCTTCAGTAAGCGGGCCGACTCGCCTACAGGTAGCTGCTTGAAAAAGGAAATAATGATAGGTGTCACTGCCGATGACGGGCTAGCTAATTGCACGTCAAGGAGCGCGCAGCATAGACTGAACGACTATTTGGTACGTCTGGAGTATGGTCGCTAGTACCGCCTCCTTGGGTCTGATAACTATGCTACTGCCGCCTATAGCACACCAACAAAACTCTCCGGAAACTTGGGTCGTGGAGACGTCGCAAACAAACATTCTCCGTATCGAATGCACGCATATATCTCGTCCAAGTTTGCTCATTCCCAGGGCAAAGGACGAAACGTCTTCTTTGGCAACCCCCACCATGCTGATAGTGATACTGCAACAAGACTGATCGGGCAATGGGCACAGAAGAGAGAGCAAAAAAAAACGGGAGATCTACCCGCATACACAATCCACCAATGGTGTCTCGCACCCAAACAAGCCTCCTATCAACAGGCACCAGGAAAAGTACCCTGCACTCCAAAAAAGCTTACCGTGGAATTTAAAATTAATCACCCCAAGCGACTTTATACCCCGCTCGCACATCATCTCCCCCTCCCTGCCTCTCAACCAGTCCCCATCAACGACCCAATCTGCAGCATACAATCGACTAGACCAGATATGCAAGCCACAGACACACATACACACACACCGACACTACGCATCACATTCTCTCCCTCGCACTTCTATCTGTCTCACTCGCTCGCTTGCTGGCTCTCGTATATGCATGCACCTCTTACCCCATCCCTGTAAATCTTTTCCCCCCATCATCGGTGAGCGTGTTTGTACGTAGTCTTTAGCCTGCACACGGAAACGGCACAGCAGGAAAAAAAAAGAGCTCAGGTCAGCACGGCACACGCATGTGGTCGACATGTCAGCACAGCGACGGCGCCCTACACAGCGTGACATAAGCCGAGGTTGTGACAGGGGCCTTGCTGACTTGCCGATCTTTTGCATGTATCCATGCATGCATCGATGTAGCCTAACAAGGGTGTTGCTAAGTAACGTATAATGCACTTCACCTACATATATGTGTGCATATGTGCGTGTCGGTGTGGGCATGGTAACATCAGGCATTCAGTGTACATACATACGTGTGGGTTGATTGCATGGGGGGAGTTGGGGCTAGGCGAGATGCAGACCCTATGGCATATGGGTGGTGGTGAAGAGTATGCATGCATGCTAGAACTTGGAACTTGTCCAATAGCTGGGACGGGGCTTGCTCTCGACAAGAAATAATCGTATGTGCTTTGCAGCACCCGAGACACGGGCACGTGTATGTAGGAAAACGGAGGGACGAACAACGCAACTTGCATGTGGCAATGGGGGTATGTGAGAAAACATGGTGTCATTGATACGTGGCTTTCCAAAGGGGAAGGGGGATCGACGAGGAATAGCATTTTAAAGGGAAAGGGAAATTGTCATGGCCAAGTAAGACGAAGCAAAGAAGGGGGGGGGGGGGCAGTGGCACTCACTTACTCACTCACTCACATGTATGTATGTATGCATGTAGCCATGATACGATGTTTGGGGGAAAAAAATCCCCATCACCTCAAACATCCATGCACCCCTAGTCTTGACTCTGAATCCCCAATTGTGGGGGCTTGGCTGCCTGAAGAATAAGAAGCCCCAAAAGGGCCAACAGGCATTCATGCGCACCGCTCAGTGGAGATACATGATCTAGTGTCTAGTGCTTTCTTTATTTCTTTTTGCATTGCATCTGCATAGCCGTACCTCGCAACATATCTCTTTGTCTAGAGTAGTATTCCGAATGGCCCAACCGAGACTGGGTGCGGCATGCTTGCATGTATACATGCATGCATGTATCTAATCGCCCGGGGAATTGGCTCCGTGGCACCATTCTCAATCCCAATCGCTGTCATCGTCTTCGACCGTAGCGGTGCCTTTTCTTATCTTGTTTGAACTTTCGTCTTCATCGTCTTCCTTCTTGCGCCGGAGACGCGAGTCCCCGAGCTTGACTGCGCCGACGTCTACCAGCACTTTTTCTAGGTCTGCGGTACCTTTGTTAGCCCACTTCTCTTCCATTCTACAACAATCCCCACCCGACTCACCTTGTGCACTTGTCCGCGGCCCAGCCAATTGCATCAGCGTCACAATCTGCCTCTTGATGTCTCCATCCTTGTAGACTAGAACCGTCGGCGTGTTCTTATCCGGATATCCCTCGATACACAGGTCTGCCCTCATCTGGCAAAACTTGACGTCTCCGAACCTCTTAGCCAAGTCCCTCCAGTGCTCAATCATGATCCGACTCTCTGTGTTTGTGCCCGTTGAGCTCGTCAGCAGAACCAGCACATATGCGTCCTTGCTAGCCTCGGTCACATCACGCGAGTAGTCGGGTTTTTGCAAGTGGTACACTTGGTTGTAGACGGAAGCCGTGTTTATCGACGAGAGCTCTGCCATGCGCTTCTTGCGGTACGAGTCGAGAAAGTCTTCGTCTTCTTCGTCTTCGAGTTCAGCGAGCTCGTCCAGGTCTTTGCCTTCTAACCGGTTCTCGTGCGCCAGTTCGCGTGCCTGCTCGAGCGCTTCTTGGATCATGGGGGTGGGCGATGGAGGCTTCTCGGGAATGACGCCATGTTTGCGGAGAATATCGTTCCTATCCCAGGTGCGTCAGAATCCATGGCCGCAAGCCCAAAAGGTACGAGGGAGACTGGCTCACCATTCCGTGTCGGCGTTGGGGTCGTCGACTGGGACATTTACGGGCATATCCGGCATCTGCATGGTTGCGGTTCAAAGAGTACAACCGACCAGGACTTTCCGAGTGATTAAAACCAGAGAGACAGAGTGTCGTACTGGTAATGGCTGGTAGATTTGTAGAATGCTGGTGCCTGCCAAAACTTTCGAGCAACGCGAAGCTTCGTCATGAACCCTGTCGATCTGCCCCGCCCCCACTTCATCTCCGCGCGACGCCAATCAATCCGCCTCCATGCATTTGCCTACAGAGCATCACCAACATCAAGGGGTTTAAAAATAAACGAATGTTCGATTTTTGGTACGCTCGGAGTACTACATGTTTCTCTTCCCTTGTCCGCGTCTGTTAACCCCGCACAACATCATCAGAACTTTTCCTTTCATCTAAGCTCGCTGAATGATGCCCCCTCTAGATGACGATCGAGTTGCTGTTTGCATGCCCTCAAAAGAATGTTCCCTTATGGCCAGCCTGAACACTACTGTTCTCAATCACAGCGTCATGGTCGTCAAACGCACCAGGCCTATCAATAGGTTGTGGAATAGGCCGGTCGAAAGCGTCAAAGCGACGGCCCTGGACCCTGGCTCTGACCCAAAGGAAGCCGATACGAAGACCACAGGCGCCAAAGGCCCAGAGAAGACCACCGACTGGTGCCGCTACGAAGGCGCCTACATGCCGATTAGAAGATGCGTTGAACACAACCAGCCGGAAAAACTTACCAAAAGCGCTCCAGTCATTTCCGTAGAGTCCACCCTCAAGCAAGAGCAATTTTCCGGCAAGGGTAACATCGCCATCGTAGTAAACGAGGCCAAACAGGAAGATTGTAAAGATGCCTCCCAGCCCACCGACCACAAAGTCGAAACCACGGTACCAGTAAAACCTGTCGCTCAGGCCAATGACTAGGCAAGGAACAACAGCTGCACTAACTAGATCGCTAATCAAGAAGATCTGCAAGATGTCCGGGCTGCGCAGTGCGACAACGACGACGGGGAAGATGAGGGCGACGACACAAGCGCGGATTACCCAAATATTCAGCTTGTTGCGGAAAAAGTCGTTGCTTCCCGTGCTAATCATAGCCGACTGGAAGGAGTCGAATGCGGCGCATGAAAGGGAGATGGTCATAACGAGAACCACACCCACGACCCACGAGGGCAACTGATTGAGGAGAAGAAAGAGAGCAAGTGAGCCAGTGGCTGCGTCACCAATCTTGTAGGCACCAGACCATGCGGCGAGCATACCAGCGACACCAAGAAGCGTCAGAATGATGAGTATGCCCATGCTTGCGAGTGAAACTCCGATCCAGAGGTCCTTGTCTGTACGAGAAGCAAAGGTGCGCATCCAGAATCCCGACAGGAAGAAGTCGTTGGTAAGAACAGCTACAGGGAGAATGTAGATGAGTTGCCAGCCGAGCAGACTGGGCTCGAGGTAGCCGGATTTATCAATCAGCGAGCGGTCGATATGGGTTTCTACTCCCACAGCAATGACTCCCATGATGATAAGACCAATGACCATAACACCCTGGATGTTGTCCGTTACGAAGGAGACTTTGAAGCCGCCAAGCGCTGTAATCGTCAGTTGCCAATGCTCTTGTTTTGATACTGAGTGTCTTACAGGTGTAAATGGTAGTGACGGCGCACTCAACAATGACTACAGGAAGCCCTTTCAAGCCGGTTAGAAGCGTGACAATCTGCTGCAGCGCCGAAAGCTCAGCAACCATGTACAGAAACATGGTGATGAGCGTGCAGGCACTGAGAAATATGCCTGCGACCACTCCGTAACGCTGCCTGGTCCATTCGGTCAAGACGAAGCCTTCTGGACATTTGCGCCTGATGATGGGACCCAGCGCGCCAAAGACCAGAAGCGGCAGAGCCGAAGCCAGTGCATACACTAGCAGGCCTTGCACACCAGCAATGGTGGCAATCTGGGGGTAGGTGAATAGAATACCAGATCCGAGAGCTGCAAGTTAAGGGAGCCTAGGTCAGCTTGGTGCATCAACGAAAGGGGGAGTAGGTAAGGGAGAGTAGCGGCAGCACGTTCCTCACGCAAGTATTATCTTGATCGAGTTCTTACGGTACTTCTCAGCTTCACCTTGGCCAGTCAACACACCCCAGACATGCAGTCTTTGATGTACAGATGCAGCCTCGGTTCCGCGCCCGTAGTGTAGCCGCACAAAAGACTGGCCCCCCATGTCATCGCGTACGAGTCGCAACGACTCTTGAGTACAGCGATGGTGAGGCCAGCTTCTGTGAGAGATCTCAATACGAACCTAGAGGATTTCAAGTTCTCTCGCGCGAGAACACGCACTCTGGCGCCGACGACATTGTCGTGTTGGCGCTTCAAAGTCGCAATGATGGTGAACACCGATACTGCCGCTGCTCTTCATGTGCAAAGCACAGGTGCACGAATGCACTCACCCGATGCGATGAAGTTGAAGGCGAGCGGGACGCCTAAGTACGAGTTAGCCGGGTCGCCATGGATGGGGGCAAAGAGGCGTCTTTTGCGCGGTTGCGCAAAGTCCAGGACGTTGCTGGCACTATGCAACCGTGCTTGAACGTGTGTGCTGACCCTTTTGTGTACGATTGCTGGACAGCCACTCGGTCTTGGACTGGTGTCGCAGTCGCCATGCGATGAAGCATCCCAGGACCCTGGTTTGTACATGAGCATGCTGGAGGCGCGCAAACGTCGTGGTTACTCACAAGAAAGCACCCAGAGTAAGGTAGATGATGGCGTTGGACGCCGGCTGCGATGGCATGCCCATGATGAAGAACGAATAGTACGTGCGAGACGGTGATCAGAGCCAAAACTGGGGCCTTCAAGATGGGGTAGGGAACATGCAAGAGTTAAGGCATGGGCAGTAGTCGGGCCCAAAAACTTTTTGCTGTTACTAAACCCCGCGCCTTGCTTGTTGCATCACTAGCGCTGCACGGAGAAATTGACGGCTGATGTCAACTGAGCACTTGCACTTGCTTCTGGCCGGCCATCTCCGTGCCCACGGACATGGCGTGCTTGGTGGGCGTGGGGGGGTTGAGCTTGTCTTGAGTCCTTTGAGACTGATACACTCTATATACCTCGTGAGGCATTTTTCACGCAAGCATCATCGTGGAAATTTTGGCATTCTCCGACTATCGCTCATATTCTTCCGTTGCTCCAAGTGAAGTAGGAAACAGTTCTCCCGAACGCCTCATCGCTCCATAACGCAGAAAATGCGGCAAACCGAAAACAGTACTTTCTCCGCCGCTGCCCAGCTCCAAAGTCACCAATCGTAATATTCTGTTGCTAATCACCTGCTCCGACCCATTTACCAAGCATGCCTATCCCAGTTTGGATCTGCCCCATGTCAGCCACGGCAGGCTTGCACTCTTGGTATTGACTCACCCTGCACGAATGCCGCAAGCACCTTGCTGCCCGTTTGCAGCAGCGGATGTCCAACGACTATCTGCAGAAACCGCTGGAGCCCTTCTCGCCGGTGCTCAATAACGTCATCGGAAAAGCGATTCGTGAGGACTTTACCCGGAAGCGGTGGGATGGTGACGCGCGCCGACTCTCGCTCGAGGATATCGCGGAACGCTTCGAATTCGCTGTATCGGCGGCGGACCGTCGACGACTTGAGCTTGAAGGCGGGGATGTTGGTGCGCATGACGATTTCGTACGTTGTGTACATGCCACGGCCGACGCCTCGACGGGCGTCAGTATGGCTTTGTGCAGGCCCGGGGCTTCTCACGTACCGTGTGTCATGGGGTTCCTAACCTGTGCACGCGACAAATGTGAGCAAGGCTGCAGGGCACTCGAGGGCAAGGGAGCTCCAGATCAGCCTACCTCGATCTCCAGGAAGTTCTCGGGAGGGCCGTACAGCTCCTCGAAGCTCTGCGACCGCGCATCTGGTAGCGACTGCATCGTGGGCGTGTATGTGAAGGTAGAGAGGCTGGACGGAGAAGGTGGGTTGCGCGATAGTTGGACATCAATGGCGGGGCTATCGCGAACTAATGGCCCGGCGCACTGGGTGCTATTGGCTTGATGCACGTGCATGCAACCCGCCCTGCATGAACACCAGTCAAACCTTTCGCCTAGGTGATGCAATGCGTCTAAACACTTCCACCGTGTCAGTGTCGCTACGCTACAGAGACGGTGCTGATCTCGGCCGCTGCTCTGCCCAGTGGTGCCGAATCTGCTAGAATGCGGGTTGCTGCTCTCATTCGCACACAAGTACGTGTACCATTGTATCATCACGCCATCAAGCCTGCCATACCTTACATACACATACAGTATCCCCCATTGACATGCTTGCTTACGAAACACCATATCATGTCAGCGATGACTCGTTCGTAGCCACCGCTTCGACAGCAGTGTCTCCAAAGCATCAGACAAGAGATCAAACCATGTCCCGTCAGCCGAGTCCTAGACGTCAATCCCCCACTCACAACCTGTCTACGTGAACCCCCATCAATGCCAGGTGTCAGAGCCTCGAAGAAGAAGAATCGAAAATGCATTCAATCACCAAACTATCCACCGTGGGCGCAGGTTCGTTACCGCTCACTCGGAAGAAGACGAAGCACAAACTCCCTCCCTATGCCATCATATTCGTCCTGACCCCGCCCGTGACCAGTCGTCAATCATAGCGAGAGTAGAAACAAAACGAACGCCTAACCTTTTACTCTCCTCTTCCTCTACTGGCGATCCCTCAAGTGACGGGGCACATACTTGCCCGTGGATGCAGCTGGAGCCTGGGCAGCAGGCCTCGACTCCGATTCGCCTTCGCCCTCACGAGCTGCGGCATCACGGCGTGCACCAGGAGGAACATAGCCACCAGTCGTGGCAGGAGATGCCTTCCTGTCTCCCCATCGGTCTCCACCCCGAGCAGCCTCAAAACGACCACTACCGCTGCCGCCGCCGCTAGCCTCGCGCTCTCGCCATCCACCTCCAGGAGCACCGCCTTGGCGCAACGCCGGTGGCACATAGCCGCCTCTCTTGGGTGCTTCCGCCTCGGCAGCCGGAGAAGCAGCTGCAGGCGCAGGAGGAGTACTGGCAGCTGGAGGAGTCTGACCAGCGGCCTTCATGGCCTCACGCTCACGCCAGCTGGGCTTGCCACCAGGAAGCTGGATCTTTGGCGGTCCACTGGACGAAGGAGTATCAGCAGCTGGTTCGCGAGAAAAGGGTCGGCTACCGCTGGCAGCAGCCTTTCGCTTAGCCATGGCCTCTTCTTCACGCTGTGCCTGGAGACGAGCCTTCTCAGCAAGAGCACTGTGACATGTTAGTTATGTGGCTATGCAATGGGAGGGACGATACTGACTTTCGCTCTTCTTCTCTCTTGGCCTTCTCTTCGGCCAGTCGTGCGCGCCTCTCCTCTTCAGCCTTGGCCTTGGCCTCGGCTTCCGCCCTCTCGCGCTCTTCCTCTTCGCGCTGGCGGCGTTCGGCCTCCTCACGCTCCCTCTTCTCCCGAGCAAAGCGCTCCTTGACCTCCTTGACACGTGCAGCCTTCTTGCTCTCGAGCTCCTTCTGTGCAATCTTTTGGCGCTTCTCAAACTCGGCTTTGCGCTGCTGCTTGACAGTAGAAACAAATTGCTGGTAAGGGGACACCAGCCTGGACAAACGGTGCTTGAGTGCAACGTCCTCTTTGTGCTTTTCTTCGGCTTCCCTGAGCTCCTCGGCCTTTGCCTTTTCGTAGGCTGCGAGATCAGCCTCCTGTTGCTTCTCGTAGTCGGTCTTGAGGTGCTTGATCTCCTCCTTGCGGTAGGCTCGCTCCAAGTGATCAATACGCTTGCCGCTAATGCGGAGCTGTTCACCCAGCTGGTTCTTCTCCCTCTCAAGAGCTTGAAGCTTGAGGATGCGGATTCTCTGCGAGTCGAGATCGTCGAGGTCTTCGGGAAGCTCAATGTCGACCTTGGTCGTGGCCTTGAGTTCCTTGATCTGCTTCTCCATTTCCTCGCGCTGAATACGCTTCTGCTCAGCCTTGATGCGCTGCTCGGCACGCTGCTTCTGCTCTTCTGCGAGGCGCCTAGCCTCCTCATCCTTGAGCTGTTGCTGGCGGATGAGCCTCTTGGTCTGCTCTTCATTCTCCTTGGCCTGCTGAGCCTTCAAGGCGGCTTCCTTCTTTTGCGAGATGATGTCGCGGCGGCTGAGAACCTCCTGGTGCTCCTTGTCGGCGCCTTCCTTGGCTCGTGCCAGCGCAGCCTCCTTGGCACGTAGACGGTCGGCATTGAATGACGGGTCAACATATTGACAGGTGACGAAGAGAGACTTGGCAAGGCGAGTGAGCTGAGATCGTACAATCTCGGCGGGGGTGCTCTGCAGGCGCTGGACGGAGCGAGACTCGCTCTCGGCTGATCCCGCACCAGAACCAGGGTGCATGGCCTTGGCTGATGAAAAGACATCAGAATCAAAAGTAAGGACGCCGGTGGCGTGGTCGGTGCGGATGGCGAGGTCACCCTTCTTGCAGCCGTTCATGATGAACTTCTCAATTGTGCCAGCGCTGACGTGGAAAGGCTCAGGGAACTGTGCGAGGCCAAGCACGAACTTGATCTCAACAGAGTCGTACACTTGAGACAACTGCTGGAAGAGACGGGTGAGGATGACCTGCTGGAGCGGGCCGACGTACTTTTGCATGTCCTCATCAGCGCCGATTTGGGACAGGATCGGAGAGATCTTCTTGCAAATGGAGAGCGGGTGGAAGTCGACCTCGAGAATGTTGTAGAGATCGCGAATCTCGGGACGGACACGCTTGAGCAGACCCTTGCTGAGGGCATCCTTGAACAGGATAGCACGTGTGGGGGCCTGGGACATGCCGAGCAGGTTGGTAAGACGCGAGTTCTTGTTCTTCCTGGCCTCGTCCACGTCGACAAGGGCACCTCGCGAGCGGGAAGTGCTGATGACAGGGATAGCAAGGGCCGAGAGCAAGACAAATGAGGCAGCCTTGGTCATGTCGGCTTCAGTGACGGCCGGGTTGTCCTTCTTGGGGCTCTGTCCGGAAGCCACGGCGGCCGCTGACTGGCGGAGCAGGTTATAGTAGCGGCTGTAAGCAGCGGCATGGAAAAGGTAGTTTTCGCTAACGAGGAAGATGCGGGTAAGCTTCTCAAAGTAGTTGGCCATCATGATGTTCTTGGCGGGCCGCTTGCTCAAGCTGAGCAGCGTGTGGATGTCCTCGACGCTGCGGAAAGCCTCTTGCCAGAGCTCGAGCTCGACGGCCACGTTCAGCTGCTGGAAGCGGGTGTCGAGGTGGCGCTGCAGGGTGTCGGGGTCCGACAGGTTGATGGCGTGCATCTGCGAGGAGAACTTGGCGGCATTCTGGAGATGGTTGCGGAGCAGCTCGCAAAGACGGCGGAACTCGGTCTTGCGGGCATACTTTGAGCAGAACTGGAAGGCCTGGTGGGCGGTCGACTGGTACATGAGCTCCAGGCGGGCGTTGTTCTTAAAAATATCCAGGACGGTGCGGTACGTCTCCCACAGGAACTTGAGCCACGGAGTAACAATGGCACGGTCGGTGCGGTCGCGCGACTGCTCGCCGGAGACGGTGGACAGGAGGATCGATTCGGGCGTCTCGGTGGCCTCGAGATCGTCGACATTCTTCTCGTCGGCGGGCTCGAGCGACGACTGGACCTCGTCGGCCTTGGCCTGGGCCTCGGTGACCTTTTGCTCGGCGAGCTCAATGAAGCGCTTGAAGACAGTCTGGGGGCGGTCAGTGGGGGGGCTGTCGACACAAGACTCTCGACACTGCGTACCTCGATGGTGCCGACGTTTGTGTTCTGGGCCGTGTTCTTGTACTGGTACAGGCCGTCCTTTGCGAGCTTGCCCTTGCGCAGATCAACGCAGAGTTCGACAAAGAGAATCATGACGGGCTCGAGCGAGGTGATGGGGCTGTTGCGGGTGCGCTTGGAGGTGACATGTTCGTGGAGCAGCTGGAGGGCAGCCTGCTGCTGGTCGACTCCGATGAGTTCCTGGGCACGTTTTCTGGGGCGTGTTGTGTTAGTAGGCGGTGGGCGTGAGGGTGAGGCGGGGCGGCGCACAGAGTGTTCTCCGGCTTGGAGTGGGGAGGAGGCGCCATGCTGGGCAGGTCGAGGTCGCAGATCCAACTGCACGAGTTGGATGGGCTTTACAGCAAGCAGGCGACGCAGCCGGGAGGGGCTTTGGGGGGGTTGAGATGGCGGTTGCGGGTCTCGCAGGCTGTGACGGACTTTGCGTGCACTTGTTGCAAAATGGTTGTGGTAGGCTGAGGTAAGCGAGCCTAGCAGTGCCGGCACTGGACTGGCACTGGACTGGCACTGGACTGGCACTGGACTGGCACTGGACTGGCACTGGCACTGGCAGCACAGCGCAGCGCAGCGTCTCTCTGCAGCAGCTTGGCCGCCGCCGCCGCCGCCATTCCCCGCACACAGGCATGCCAGGCCAGGCGACTGCAGCGAGGGGGGTTGATGATGGACAGGACATGGATAGCGGCGGCGTTGCTGTCGCTGTGTGTCGCTCGGGTTCTCTCTCGGGTTCTAGTAGTACTACATGACAGCTAGCCGTTGGGCCACTGGATTGCAGGCACAGGCGCACCAGCGGCCTCATCTGCCACGCCCAGCAGCAGCAGCAGCAGCAACGCCAGACAATGCATGCGGAGCCGCAGGGCGGATGCGTGCGTACGTGTGTACACGGACAGTATGCATGCACTCGACACAGTTTTACATGGTGGGCAACGCGTCGGTGGGTGGGTGAGAGGGAGGGGAGGGTGCCAATGCCATGCCAATGCAGGCCAGGGCGGCGCTCTAGGCGCAGCCGAAGCCAATCCCCATGGCGCTAAGCCGCAACCGACGGCGCCCGACTGCGACGGACACACGCCCATCCCCTTGATGTGCGGCCCATCTTCCAACCACCTCCTCCTGGCTCCCGTGCTCTACCTGTCGCCCATCGCTGCCATCACCCCAACACCATCACCGTCGCAGCTGCACCTCGAGCCCTTGCGCTGATATCTGGCGGCAGGCTTACCCGGCTGGCCGTCCTCGCTCCTTACCCCCCCGCCCCTTTACCTGCTCTCACCCGTGTCGTCGCCGCACGCCGACGCCGACGCCGCACCCCAACAGCTCCCGTGTCGCCATAATACCAATCACCGCCACCGCACCCACACGGCACCACACCACACGGCACCACAACGACGACGACGACGACGACAGCAACCGCGACGACTGCCCGCCGCCCTAATAGCCACGCACGCGCACCATGCCCGCCACGTCCGCCATGATGACGGCCGCGCCCTACGAGATACGGACGGGCGGCGACGGCAAGACCAAGAAGCAGAGCATGGCCGAGCTCAAGCTGCGACGCCTGACGGAGCTCAACCAGCGCCTGCGCGAGGACCTGGAGCGACGCAGGATACCCGTGTCCGAGGCCGCACTCGAGTATGTGGAGCGACGGCGCATACAAGCTGGCAGCTAACGGAGCATTGCAGTCTCATTGCATTCACGGACAAGGAGCCCAAGGACTGGATGGTGCCGTCACGATGGGGAACGGTACGTTTGCACCCGGGCGCGCGCGCATTGTGCGTCGCTGCTGCGGCGGCGGGCCTGTCTTTTTTGTCTGGCCACGATGCTAATGTGTTTCTGTGCGTGTGCAGATCGACAAGCGCGACGATCCCTACGCGCCACAACAGAGCAACGGCTGCTGTGTCGTCATGTAGACAACGAGCAAGATGCAGATGGTCATGTCCATTAACGGCGTTTCTGCGGGGGGTGGGTTTACGGCAGAGTGATTTGTTTTTGCTTGTTCTCGAGGAGGTTGATAATACCCAACGGACCCAAAGTCTTGACACTGTTAGTCGTCGTGGGAAGCGGAACTATCGGACGGGTCTCATGTTCCTTTCGCCCAACGTGTACATTAAAACTCGAATGCGGAGCTCGCTGCTGGGGCTGCTGCGTGTTTCCTTTTTTTCTCTCTTTTTATTTTTTTTTCTCATGGTAGGGGGATTTTTACTTGGTGTCCATGACGAGATAAAAGCGCTCGCATAATTAGCCCGACGGTCATTTTCGTCTGTCACGTATTTGGAATTGGCATTGCTCGCAGTTGAACAAATATAGGACCACGTTGCTCCAAGTGCAGTGCTTCCAATGCGCAGCTCCACCAGGGGCGTGAAGGGGGGATGGGGGGGGGGAGGGGGAGGTGGTGCGGCTGGCAGGTGAATGGCCCAAGGAGATTAACAGGGCGCGCACACAGCCGTAGCCCGTAGCCGTACATGATACTACACCCAGATGGTGTGGCGCGCTACCACCACCACCACCACCACCACCACGACTACGACTACCGCTACGACTACCGCCCCGCGCCCGCCACAAGTCACCTGACACGGGGCCCGCATGCGGTCACGGGGCGTGGGAGCAAGAGTGGGAGAGTGTAGAAGGGCGGGCTCGAGACGTGGGGAGGCAAAAGCAAGGGCACAGGCACAGGCACAGGCACAGGCACAGGCACAGGCACAGGCACAGGCACAGGCACAAGCAAAAAGGCAGCATAGCATGAGTGGGCTCGGGGTGCGCGCAGGCTACCCCAAAATGGCGGGCAAATACCGTGAGGGGGGAACGGGACGGGGGATGCACGGCCATTGCGCGGCGGCGCTGGGACGAGGTGGGACGGGCCCATTGGATGCATGCATCGCATCGACTACCCATTTGCGCTTACATGGACATGTACCTACTAAATACATTGGCTACCACCCAACTGGCTAACACGCCGAGGCTCGGTGCAGCTGGCATGCTATTGCTGTGTGTGTGTGTGTATGCTGCAGCCCTCACCGACTACCACAGAGCGAGTCATTTCTGAGACAACGCGGCGGCCACACACCACACATACACACACACACACACACCCAGCCCATACACTACATGCATACATACATACGCTGCGCTGCGCGACAACAACAGCCGGCGGCACTCAACAATACGCGGAGCTGGCGAACCCAGTTTTTGGGGCCGCTGCTCGACGTGATGCCGTGATGGGCGCGCACCCAGGTCCAGTCCACTCCACCTGTGCCTGCGCCCCCCCCCCCATTCTTATCAAATTCCCGTGGGGGGTCCTCCTCCCACCCGGTCTCTTCTCGTCCACCTGGACCTCGCCAAACCTGCACCTGCACCCCCCCAGACCCTCTTTGGAAACACAGACAGACACCCGCAGAGAAAGAGAAGGCTGAAGAGAAAGGACACTTCGCATCCGCACTAAAGACGTGCTTCCGTCTCGGCCTGGCACATGTAAACAACGAGGCTCCCCCCCCCCAGTCGTCGTCGTGCTAGCCCCACCCGTCTGTCTTCGCAACGCCAATTTTCTCCCTCGTCGCTACTCCCGCGGAGAAGACGACCGACATGAACAACTCGACTGCGCAGTCCTGGACTGCAGCAGACAGCTTCGACATGGACACAACGCCAGACGACTTTGCCGGCGCAGAGTTTATTGACTTTGACAATCTCGACCTGCACTTCGACATTGACGCCTACAACACCCACGGACCCGCCCCGACTGGAAACCAGCTCGCCGATCTGTCCGACTCGCTCAACGTCCACCACCTCCAAGCCCAGTTTCCCCCACAGCTGGCCCCGGATTACCAGCATGCCGCCAACGCTGCCCAAGACGCGACAGACATCGACAGCCATGCCATGTCCCAGCCCCCAAACACCAACACCAACTTGTTCGACTATGCCTTGTCGCAGCAACACACGCACGCCGCCGCCACCCCGGCCTATGCCCACGCCCCAGACCAAATATACCGCCCACACCAGGGCGTCCCCCCAACCCCAAACAGCACCGAAATGCATGGCGACCCTACCCGCTACCTCCAGCACCTGGATCAGCAGCACGCCCTCTTTGACCAGAGGTACCCCATGCGCAAAGATGATGCCGTATGCTGCACCTGCGAACCCGCCGTGACCCTCGCCCGCTGACGCTGTACAGACATTTACCCCGCTCGTATCGCCCGCCGTCACTCCCCACGACACGCGCTTCCAGATTCCCGACTTCACCATGTCTGCATCCTACTTTAGCCCTCTGACCTCACCCGCCCTGAATGCGCAAACCCACCAACATGCCCACCACCCATCGCAGAACACCACCTCGGGAAGCTCGACCGGCCACTCGCCCATTGACGTGGACATGGACCTGCTCGGCGAGCCGGCCATGGTAGCACAAGAGCACGGCAGAAGGCCATTGAGGAATACAAGCAAACGAGCCATGCCGCGCACCAACGGGACCTCCCGCGTACGACAGTCGCCCATTGTAAAACCAAACCGGCGGAAGGCAACTGTTTCCTCACTGATTCCGCCAAAGGACGTCACAGACCTAATGGAGGAGGCGCGTTCGCAATGCCCTTCTTCCAGTGGCTTGGATGCGCTCCGCACTCGCGAAAGCTCAGAGACCGATTCCATCTCTCCGGAGCCCATGTTGTCAGAAATGCGACCACCGCCCAAGCCTCGCTCCTCGACGGCTTCTCCTGCCGTCGCGGCCCAGCGCAGCAGTCAGCACGGCACTCCAGCGACCCCCGCGTCTCTGATGCGCATACAGCCATCACCTGACTTCAATGGTTCTGAACAAGCTCCGCTCGTACTTGAAGATCTTACGCTTCCGGAAGCATCTCTTGACCGACCGAGCCTGTCAAGATCAGACACGGCAATTCGCGACCAAGACGGTGATACGCCTCGCCTGGCTGCACGAAAGACACCAAAACTGAACCCTTTGAGCACACCCGGCGCATCCATGTCTGGCCGGCCCAGCCCAATGCTGGATGCCATGTCCACTCCAACAAGCCCAGCCTACTCCATGACGAATGGCAGAAAGGACACAAAGGCTGCCCGCAACCCGAAAAAGAGAAACAGCGTCAGCTCAAGTCTTGTCAGCCCTGCTCTAAGACCCAAAATCTCTCCAAGCATAAAACCCCTACTTCCAGACGCAGGAAATGGTAAGTTCATTCCCCCATTTTACAACACGGCCTTATCTGACATTGAATAGGTGCTGCCGACAATACCCATGCTCTTCTGCTTGCGTCCAAGTCCAACTATCAGAACATCCTCGACGGCACCACCGTCCCCGGCGTCGTCTATCCTACGTCCCTTTCGACAAACCTTACCTCAAAACGCACTTCGCATAAGATTGCTGAGCAAGGTCGCAGAAACCGCATCAATACCGCTCTCCAGGAGATGCAGGCTCTACTTCCCTCATCACGATTTGGTGCTGTATCCGACGCCAAAAGTCCAGAGACAAACGCACAGAATTCCAATAATTCAAAAGCAGCCAAGGTGGAAAGTGCGATTGAATACATCAAGCAACTCAAACAGGAGGTTTCTGAACGGGATGAACTACTTAGCAAAAAGGAAACTGAGATGGATGCGCTGAAGAAGGAACTGGCTGAATTGAAACAACGAAACTCTCAGAGTGCCGCACCCGAGGCGGAACCCCAGCCAAAGACTGAGCCTTCACCTAGTCCGAACACTGAAAACGAAACTTGAAGAGACGGTGAGATGGGCGAGACTTGATCTTTGTACCTGACATTACTCTGTTGGAAAAAACCGCGGCATACATAACCTGCAGGCTTGCAGCACACGCTTCGAGTGGTCGCACTCAGCGCCAAGCCCCCGCTCCCAGCGCCGCGGAAATGCGGGCAACCCATGCGTCTTGCTCGCCAAGTTCCGCACCACCTTGCACATTTGGTCTTGGCCATATCTGCAGAAGCTCACTCTGGAACCTGCTGTTGCATTAACGAATCAATCATGCTACGCATTCGAAATGTGGTCATCGATGGAACTGCCTAGCCAAAGGGATGAAACAAGGAAAATATTCATGGGATATGTATGCATTATGCCACAGCAGAAGACCTCCCACCATTACATGCGCTCACAGCTATCTGCCCAAGTGAGAGTTGTTACACTTCTTTATCCTAATATAATTTTTTGTCTCTACATCTCCCTTTATAGCCCTCTTAGTGTTCTTATCACTTAGCTTAGCTGATCTCTTTCTCAAGTACACTTAAGACTAGATAGAGTTGGGTCTAAGTGTTAGTTAGCCTCCCCCCTAGGCTAGGCTTTGTAAGCTACATAGATAGCTTGAAATATGATAATAATTAGTATATTGATGTTCTATTACACCAACAAAGTTGACTAGTGGTGATACTTTTTTTTTGAAATTGTTTCATTGGTCAAAGTGCAAGGGTGAAGTGAAGGAGAAAAAAAACATAATAACGCTACACACTCTTTGTTAAGTACTAATCGAATACTATATAATTAAAGTGTATAAGTCCATAGTTTTCAGATGTGAATCACACTGTACTGCAGTATAGCATAGCCCGTATTGAGCGACAAGCCACTCAATGGTATGGATAATAGAGAGACTATTACCACAGGCAGGCAGTATCCCCTGATCCACGCTTCAAACACCTATCCGCCGCCTAAATAACGCGTCCTCTTTGGCATGCATACTAAGTGAGTTTAGCATGAGTATATTCTTCCTAGCTTAGGTTATAAACATTAGTCAAGTAAGCTAACTATCAGCTGGTTTATAAGATGTAGAAACCATGATTCTGCAGTAGGGATGACAATCGAATTCAGAACGTGCGAACGATACAACTCTCTATTAAAACTATAGAACTATGATGTAGTATACGCAAATAGTACACTCGTTGAGTACTTGACTTGGCCGAGTCTAACCAAACCCCTATTAAATCAAGTCTCCTAACCTTGTCCTTCCCCTACATTCATAACGCCCTGATCGCCTCTAACGGCCTATTCAATTTCGCAGGCAATATAAACGTCCCTGGCTTGATTCTTCTTACTAGCTTCTCTTTGTATGCTCGTCACTGGAATAAAAGATGCATTTCAGCCAGTCCTGCTATAGTCTTGTTGGAGGAACCTTGAGTATAATACATGGACACCAGTACAAGTGTAAGTCAAGTTGTGTAGCTGTATCTTACAAGTACATTTTCTCATATACCATCTAGTGCTTTGGGTAAGGTATACATGGAAAGGGTTAGAATTATTGCTGCAAGAATGCTTATACAAAGGATTCCTATTGCTTCTAGTCTTGGGTCTTATCTCTAAGACATCTTGTACTATTTCATCATGGTAATCATAATGTAGCAGACTTGATCGTCAAGAAGGCTTCAGATGGCTCATCTTTCTGACAACAAAGCTAATTTTTGCCATCTTGCCTGTAAATGTAGTGTCCCACTACCTAAAAGTAATATCTATCTCCAAATAGCTATGGTAAAGACACTTGTGTTCACATCAAGATGTCCTAACACCGATGGATACTGACCGTAGTACTCGCAGTTGACAGATGGCGCTTGGTATAGCAACCAAACATACCCCATCTTGTCAGTGGACATTCAAGATTAGCGTGACTAAGGGAAACTAGAACTTGCCTACTACATTCTTGCCATGGAAGAAGATGACAATATACTCTAGCACAGGCCAATCTGGTCTGAATGGAGTCGACGTCGCGAGTAAGATGCAATAACCGAGATAATGATGTCAGCATCGACTGAGCAAACTGATGGCAATAGCACCAACAATGATCCAGGTTCAAAGGCGAGGAGAGGCTTTAGAAACCGTAAAAAGACTAAGCTAGCCTGAAATAGGACCACATGGCCACAAACAGACTAGAAGGACGAGAAATGATGCTAACTGACTCAATAAATATACACAAAAACTCAGAACAATCAGGTGTATCAAACATAACATGCTCAACTAATTATAAAGACTAATGCAAACATCAAATCTTACCGAGAGTCGAGCAACAACGCGGTGTAGAGGGTGTATCAATGAATCAAAGCCAACCATGCACCAATGTATATTCCCAACCATACCAGAAGCAATGATTCCGGCCCTACAATGGCCGTAATATTCAACAAACTTAGCCAGGTCTTGATGACATGAATGCAACTGTAACATTACAGTCGAACAGAAAGGCCCTGGTGAGTTGCGAATCCCAACCAAACATTCTCTCCGCAATGCTGGCAAAGCAGCATGTTTCGTCTCATCAAACCCTTGTCTGGTAGAATTGCAACAGCCTTGGATGGGCCTGCCTTTTCCATAGTGGCAACACAGAACTACAATTACCATGTATCTTGGCTATTCTTGCTGATGTGGCATCTTGTGAGAAGTTGAGTGTGGTGCAGGACATACACAATAACAGACATGATATTGGTGTGTGTCAAACGCTGTTTGTACTACTCAATGTATTGTCCACCCAACTAGACTAATCCCCCCTTTACACATTTCGAAACAAGAGGATTACTGAATGCACGTTCGTATACTCTCTACACTTGTTCCAAAATATCGTACATGTACTCACAGCAGAGAATGAAACCGCAAACTATAGCAACTTGAAGATGGCGGCGGGGTGGTGTTTTAAAAAGGGCATTGATGACAATTCAGCAGCTCCCCATGTCAAACGTCAGAAATTGATTTCTCTCTCTCATGTCATACAAAAAAGGGCCTTTTATCCCTTCCCACCACCCCCCCCCCCCCTTCCCCCCTTCCCCCCTTCCATGGCGAAGAACAGCGTTGAAACCCTGTGATGTCATCAAGAAGCCTGTCCCTCGTTTGAGGTGAGCACAACATGACTCGAAATGGGTCAAGGCTGACACCACGCTCCCCTGCAACTGCTAGGCGCACCCTACACGTAGTGTTGTATCAATCTGTCAACATATACATGTACGGGGAATCCTATACTTGTACATAATATCCACTCCCTATATATAGATGGTGCGTTTCCCCGCAGCATCCTTTCTGTTTATGTGGAACCTACATATCACCTAGACGTTCGCATATAGTACATTAGGTATGCATATTATTAATGCCACTACTTCAAAGCCGGTTTCTGATTAAACAGTAGCATTCAAATGAAGACATTTGTGAGACTCCTGGTTGCGGCAAGTATAGTGTCGGCTTTGTCAGTTGAGCACAACCACCACGCACGAAGGTAAGGGGCATCTCTTTGCTTGAATTGAATACTACTACTACTACTACTACTACTTTGTGAGTTGGTGCTAAAACGGCATCCAGTCAAGTCAAAATCCCAGACGTATATCACTTCCGGCGCGAGGACATTCTATCTCACCATGATGCGGACACAGCTCCAGACCATAACAGTACTATTGATTTACCAGCTATCGGCGCAGCCACAGTAGCACTCACATTTCCAACTGCCACGGTCACTTTTACTCGATATGTCACTGAACGACTGCACGTTGAGATCCAAGCTACGACCGATACTGCTGTCGATGCTTTACTCACTACCTGGTGGGGGCTGAAACATGCTGCCTACGTGCAAGGAGCCGGATTCCACGACTTTGACATTCCCATTGAACCGACATGGGCTGGTCGAATCAAGGTTGAAATTGATTGAGCATATACAACAATGCTACGTACAGCAAAATTGAAACACAACATAGACTAGCGATGCTGAACTTTGTTCTGCCGAATCCATCGCCACTGGTCTTGGTAACGAAATCATGGGCGAGGCCGAGAATCTTTGGAGTAGAGGGACTGGGAAAAAGCGTGTTTTTTTTTCAAATCATGGCTGTATGCAACTGTAATCCACTCCTGTAAGCAATTTAGAGGTCACAACTGGATATATTTTTTTTTACAAGTGTTATTACGATGAGTGTTATGGTTCGGTTACTATCGGAGACTACAAGGTGCCAAAGGCCATTGCGTTACTTAATAGTCAGAGGAGGGACGGAACCTCTTATATGCTTATGGTATCCGTCTCTAGTTCTACACTGCTTAAGAATAAGCGCAACCCAATCTTTACAATCAGCCTAATTCATAGATAAGCCTCAAGATACTATGATTGGTTTCTATTTTTAACTTTGGTAGAGTGTAATACGGGGCTGACTAGGCCGAGTGTACAACTCAATTCACGATTTCTGTGCTAAAAAAGTGTTGTACAAGACTATCACTAATGCAGTTTATTTTGCTTGTTGTAGGATTAAGCTCGTACGCGATCCATTGACCGCTTTTGAGCCCAGCCTATCAATATCCCCGCCCAGAAAGACGCTCGTTAATTGTACTTGCAGCTCCCTTTTGGAGCCTTATCTCTGTACTAATTATAGGTCAAAGCCTGCTCTCTGTATTTCTTTTGTGATGCGGCCCCTATCGCTGCTTCAATGAACATACATGGGCTGCTCACATCTCCTCCTTTTTTCGAGTTAGTGTAGATATCCAAAAATTTCACCCATGTGGAGATATCTCTCGTATCCGATTCAGACCTTGCAGCAGTTAATTTGATAAGAGCTGCACATTGAAATAGCGCAAAGTCTTAGTCACAACACACACCAGAATTACATGCGTGAACAAGCATCACAACAACTCATCTTTGCAAGCCGCATGCGTGATTAAGGAAAGTCTGTATTTCTAAAGCAAAGCAAAGTACAAAACCGCAATCACTGCTTCCACCCGTCCCCTTTCCCATCTCCAAGAGCAATGGCAGCATGCTACGCCTTCTTCTCCCTCGTCGCCGGAAGCTGTCTTCCTAACAAAGATCCACGCACTGTAGCCGCCCACCAATTGCACCCCTTCGAGTCTACCAGCCAAGCTTCAGCTATACATTCTCCCCGTAATACAATTTAGCGTCGTCCCCTTGTTAAGCTTTACCTCCCCACAAGCTGGCAGCCAAATCCGAAGGGGGGATACTCAAGGAAATTTAGTGAAGAAAAAAAAACCATACAAAAAGACTAGGGGCAGGGAGGGGGGAGTAATGAATGCGAAGTGAAAAGCAAACAGAAGATCATCGATCAGCCGGAGAGCTGCCCAGTGACGTTAGCTGCGCAAGACGTTTCGCATAACTTGATGGCTCCAATCGGCCAAAAAGCGTTTGAAATATATCGTCTGCGAGCTGAAGTGCTGTGCCAATTTGAGATGACGTGTGGGTCAAGCCTCCAGAGATATGAGATGTCCGACAGGAACCCGTGGCCATAGTAGGAGATGCATCAAGTGCCTCTCCAGGTCCGTACCAGGTGCTTGACGAATGAATCCCATCAACTGATCAAGGAGCGACGCCGTCCCAAATGTTGCCAGGACGGCGGTGCCGCATTTCCCATTCGTTGTGCGTGCGAAGACAAAACCAAAGAGGCAGTCCCGCAAGAGTTAAGATGACGAATCGAGAGCCGCATCAAGAATCAGTAACCGGATGCATACTGGTCCCCGCCACGCTTATTGGCCGAACGAAGCTGCCTGAAACAAAGAACAAGGTTAGTAAGATCTGCTTCTGATATCCCCCACGCTAAGCGTTATCACACCAAACGCAAAGGAGAGGGTCCCTTACGAGGATCAGATATATCGAACTCACATTCCGGTGCCCTCCTGGCGTGCGTTGACCGGTCCGCGCTTGGTGCCAGCAGCGGTACCGGCATTGGCAGCAGCCGTGGTTGTGACGTGACGTCCGCGACCCTTGTCGTCTTCATCGCCCTGGCCCTGGTTGGCAGCCTGGGCGATGGCTTGGGCATTCTTCTGGTACTTGTACACGGTCCAGTCGAACACGTAGTCGTACTGGAAGCCCTCACGAACAAAGAGATCGCGGAAGATCTTGCGGAGGTACGAGTAGTCCGGCTTGTCGTCAAAACGCAGCGAGCGAGTGTAGTTGAGGTAGATGGCAAACTCGTTGGGGAAGCCACGGCAGAGAACCTCGGTGGGAGTCGTCATCTTCTTCTCCATGATGCGATCGTATTTCTGCTTCTTGGTGGCCGCCTTAAGACCCTGCCAGGGAAGGGAACCGCGGCAGAAGTAAAGCATGACATAGCCAAGCGACTCCATGTCATCACGGCGGGATTGTTCTGCGGAAACGTTAGCTTTGACCTCTCAAGGCGGACAGGCGTCTACTACGTACCGACACCCAAGTGGGTGTTGATGCTGGCATAACGGGCGGTACCAGTCAAGTTCTTGTTCTCACGGTAAGGAATGTGGAAGTGAGTCTTGGGGTCGCGGTACTTCTTGGCGAGACCAAAGTCAATGACGTTGACCTGGTTTCCACGCTTGCCAATGCCCATGAGGAAGTTGTCGGGCTTGATATCACGGTGGATAAAAGACTTGGCGTGGATGTACTCGATGCGGGAGATGAGCTGGTCCGCGAGCAGCAGCACCGTCTTCAGCGAGAACTTGCGGTTGCAGAAGTTGAAGAGATCTTCCAGCGAAGGGCCGAGCAGGTCCAGGACCATGGCGTTGTAGTCACACTCGGTTCCGAACCAGCGGACAAAGGGAATACCGACGCCGCCAGCAAGCGACTTGTAGACGCGGGCCTCATATTCGAGCTGAGGGTGCTTTGCCTTGACGCTCTCGAGCTTAATGGCAATCTCCTCGCCAGAGATGATGTTGGTACCTGTACTTGTTAGCAAGGCTGAGGCGAGGCGAGCTGAGCTGATATCACGCTCAGGCGAGAGAGGCTTCTGCTGCGTACCAAGGTAAATATCACCGAAACTGCCGCTGCCAATTTTGCGGCCGATTCTGTATTTATTGCCGACGCGAAGATCCTACAGCTGTCAGCCTGGTGATGGACAGAGAGGCGCCCGGGCGCCAAGGGCGGCGGGCGGCGAGGGGGGCGCAAGCATACCATGGTCGTCATGTTGGCAAGAGGTTCAACCTTGAGGAGGTTGGCCTGCTAATAGAGTTGGAGTGGTGGGTGGGTCGAAGGTTGTGATGATGGGCGTGGGTGGTGTTTTGAGGATCAGCGTGCTGCGGACAGACCGGTCAGTATGAGGCTTTTGCCTGCAAAGGCGGTGAGTAAGCGGGGAGTGGGCAGCCGAGACGCTAGAGGGTGCAGTCAGGCGCGGCGAGAAGGAGAGAGGGAGCGGAAGAAGGATCGGGGGGGAATCGGGGGGTGAAGGTGATATTGGTGCGTTGGGAGGGGGGGGCAGGCAGAGGGAGGGCAGGGTGCGGTGCAGAGGGCGGAGCCGACTGATGAGCTGGGCAGGACGTACGATAGGGCGTGAGCGAGCCCAACAGCGGAAAACAGCAGCGGGCAGCCTTTGTGGGGGCGGGCTCGAGGCAGGCAGGCGGGCGGGCTCGGGCGGTGGAGCGACAGCAGAGACAGCGAGGCAGCTGCAGGCCGGGAGAACAGCAGTGAAGCCTCGAGGAACAAGCACACGGCGGGCGTGGTGCTGTGAAGACGCGGATGGAGAGGGTGCAGAGGGCGCACCACGGCACCTAGGGCAGGCTGGCGGCCGGCTGGGCTGGGCAGCCGGTCACGTGACGCGCCAGGTGGCGACCTCTTTCACTGCGGGTGCGGCGGCGGCGAGGGCGCATCGCGCCTGTGCCTGTGCCGGTGCCTGTCGCGGCCGATCGCCGCCGGAGCGGACGACTCGCGACCCAGAGCAGCTTGCTTCTGCCCATGGCCGCGCTGAACATGGCATGCGGCGTTTCAAATGCCGCACACTGACGCTTGTAACGTGCGACAGCTGCCCTCGGCGGCGCAGCCTGCCCATGGCCGCCCCTTTATGCGTCACGCTGAGGCGAACAGCTGCGCTGTTCTGGCCTTGGCTGAGAAGCGCCTGCGGACGCCACCCGACATTCTGGAAGTCCCCCGGCCCGATTGAGCGTCGCTGCACCTCTCGACTATGCTTACATGTACATGTACGTACGTACATGTAAGTACTTACACCTGTGCCTGTGCCTGTGCCTGTGCCTGTGCCCGTGCAGCCTGCCTCTGTTGGGCGCCGTGCCGCTGCACTGGCTCTGCCGAGGGCACAGCTGGCAGCTGCTGCGCCAGGTACCCATGGATGCATGTCCTCTTGCAGACGTCAGTGCAACACGGCCACGGCCTTGGACACGCTTCCTGTCGACGTCATGTATCAGCACCCGTTTGACGGCGAGTAGGTACGCCAGCTCTCCGGGCACATGCAGCACGCCCAGCTCGACAATGTGTGCCACCATGCGCGCGGCGGTGCGCCTCCGCCCATGGCCGCGCTGGAAAATACCGCTGCCACTGTCACCTGGCCGGCTGTCTGCACGACTAAACATCCTAGCCACATGCCCGACCTTCCCTAGGCGCACCACACAAATCCAGCGTGACACGCTAACCCAAGCCATCACGTGCCCAAGCGGCTCCCTGCTAGCCACGCCCGCTGACCGCCATCACCACACGATGCATTACATGCCACTCCAGTGTTGCCCCGGCAATTGCGGGCCCAACTGCCCACACTTGTACAGCTTCACGACACAAACAGCACTTGACCCAGTCTGAACCAAACCAAACACGGGTGCTTGTTTCCAGAGCCCTTGGCAGCGCATGCCCCAGCTCCAACTATGCCTCTCGCAATCTCGCCGGCAACATGCCTTTGCTACATGGACCGTGACCTGTTCTCAGCGCATTGCAGTCCGCACCGAGGGCAAAAGAGGCTCGAGCGAGTTGTTGACCGGGATCGATTGGGCAAAATCTATATGGCCGTCTCCATGCGACATTTCCATTGCTTTCCCATCGCCAGCTACTGTACATTGCCTCTGAGAGCCTTCACCTGTTCACAGCCTGCTCCCGCATCACACAGATCCAGGCTTAGTGGTTTGCTGACTGGTTCTTGAGCGCGGGGTTTCGCGGGTCGTTCTTGTACTCGTCGGCTGTCCTGTGTCAGCTTGCGAACACGGGAAACCGGTGGGCCATTTGAGGCTCCCCAACATGGGCTACGCACCCTGAGCCATGGCGTTCGCGGCAGAGTTGACACCGTAGAGGATGACAAGGCCTAGTGACTTTGGTTAACCCAGCACTCCCCACACTTCTCCCTTCTCCATGCACTTTAAAATCACCCAATCCATCTCTTGCAAGCCTGCAGGCTTCTGCTTCGTGTTGGAGCCCGATTGCGCAACGTACCGGAGACGTAGAAAGGCCACATGGGCTTGGCTGTAATTCCTGCGTTAGTAACTGTTCGAGCTTCGCTGCTTGCGTTTGGCGCTATCCAAGGCCACATACCAATTTGCGCCGGGAACTTCCTTCCGAGAAGAGGCATTTTGACGTGTGTTGGAGGGGCAATGGGTTGGTTGGCAATTGCGATGAGGATGGGCGGTGGTGGTGTTGAGCTCCGGTCGTTCGGCTTTGCAGAACTGCGATATGCTTGGCGTCGGCGCGCGGAAAGCCCGACCAATAAACAGTACACCCAGAGAACAACAACCCCGCGACAGCCCAACTCCCTGGCGACCTGGAACTCTGCACGCCGAAAGCGGTCGGATATTTCACTGCCATCATGGCGTCACCGCTGGAAGCATGTGTCGCCTCGTTGCGCAACAGCATGCAGCTACTCGATTCGTCCATCAACATACTGGACGACGGCGTCAGTGACCTTCCCCGACTGGCAAAAGTGCTCCAGACGACACGAGTATGCATACATGCCCCCAGGCCCTACGCTGGACGTTCAAGCAACTGACATGTCCCGCAGCACTTTGAGCTCATTTCCGAGTCGGACCTTCAGACCGCGCAAGCAGGTCTCCTCTCCGAAATCCGCCCAGAAATCGACAATCTACTTAAGCGCGTAGAGAACTACGTAGATAAACTTGAGCGCCGCGAACAGTCCCTTATTGCAAAGTGCGACCTGAACGACGGCCGACTTGGGCGCGACAGCACTGGCGGCTCAGGCTCGAGGCTAGCGAGCAGGAGTACGCAGAGAAACGGAGGCAAGACTATTAGTGCACAGCAGGAACTCAAGTTCAAGGCATTAAAAGCGAAGAAAGACAGGCTGAGTTATGCTGTAGAGACGCTGGAGCTCCAGGCGAAGCAACGAGAGAGACAGCTGAGGATGAGCATGGCGGCGCCGCAGCAGTTTTACGACGATTGAAAGCGCATAAGCTTTTGTGTGCAATGCTGGGCCGGGCTGCCATATACTAGTGTGCGGATGCAGACAGCATCATGGTCTTTGGATAGGCGTTTTGCAATTGAGATACCCCCGGCGTGTATGGACGGACAACATGCAGCCTACACCCGCCTGAGCATCCCTGCGAACTCTGAAAACTACATTGCACCGTGAATTTGGTCCATTGCCGCTCAGGGCTCATGCAACGTGTGGGGGGTGGTGGGGAGAAGCAGTGATATTGCGCTAGCCGTTTTGACGGTACCTCATCGGCTAATCCCGAGAAGCGCAGAACTCGGCTTCGCAGAATCACCACCAGCTCCGGTAGACCAGCAATTGCATCTTCCCCACAACTCCGTCCATCATGAACTCCCTCCGCGTCGCTAGAGCCGCCCTCCGCGCTAGGCCCGCTGCCATCGCCCGCCCCCTCCAGCGAAGAGGCTACGCCGAGGTCGCCAATGACAAGATCAAGCTCTCTCTAGCTCTCCCGCATCAGGTACGCAACACCGCCCGTCATGCTTCGTCGAATTGGGGGCTGTCAATGCATGTGTAATTGAGAGGCATGGGCTAACGATTGTCTGCAGTCCATCTACAAGTCTCAGGATGTGTACGTCTCCAAGTCCCGGCCGATACCGCAAAACGATTACGCGATTACTGACTTGGATTGCCGTACAGTGTCCAGGTTAACCTCCCCGCAGAGACTGGTGAGATGGGTGTTTTGGCCAACCACGTTGCCTCTATTGAGCAGCTGAAGCCCGGTCTGGTTGAGATCATTGAGGAGCAGGGTGGCAGCAAGCAGTTCTTCCTGTCCGGTGGTTTCGCCGTTGTGCAGCCAAACTCTGTTCTCAGCATCAACGCCGTCGAGGGCTACCCACTGGAGGACTTCAGCGCCGAGGTATGGACGAATATGAGAAACCAAGGATCCCGCGGCTGATATAGGAATAGGCTGTCAGGAACCAGATTGCTGAGGCACAGAAGATTGCCAGCGGCAGCGGCAGCGAGGCTGACATCGCCGAGGCCAAGATTGAGCTCGAGGTAGGCTCCGTGCGTCTGGCCAAGGAGAAGTTGCTGACAAGTTCAAGGTTCTCGAGAGTCTGCAGGCTGCGATGAAGTAAATGCGTAAATAGCGTTCCTCGAGACGGCATGGGTGGTATGTATAGTAACTGGTGCCGCGTGCTTTCCGTGCGCAAAGGATAGAAGGAACTCTAACGAGACGGCCACAACATTCAAACTTCTTGCACTCTTGCTTCTCATCCGTATTATTCCACTACCTGATCCTAGTGCACTCACATCTGCGCCCAGCCCTACACAGCACGCTTTGGTTCCGATCCCTATCACTCTACTCATTGCATTCTTTTTCACCGTCTTACCAAATACTATTGCCGCAAATCACAATCATTGCTTAGCGCTCTTCACCCCCGCCATTCGCGGACAAATCAATTCGTACCAATTGGCAATCCCGCATGTCGCCAGGCTATGACAAACCCACAACGAGCTCCACATCTCGCGTGATTAACACAGGATCTCGCGAGCAGACCTATCCTCCGACTGTACAAAAAAGACGGAACCGATTCGAATCCCCTACTCAAGTGACGTCTCCAGAGGAAACGAAGCATGCACAGCCAATATCTTCCGCAGCTGACCATTCTGGCTCACCAGCATTGATCAACCAGGAACAGCCAATCGAGCATCACAAGCCGCCTCATACAGACCGCAAGCATCCTGGTTATCTGCAGGGCAAAAACCCGTATGGCCAAGTCCTGGACCGAATCGAACACCCTTATCGTGAGCCTAGAACAACTGTGACCGAGGACAAAAAAATTACTCCGACTATCTCGGAACTTGGCAGTCTTCCAGACACACACAGTGTATCTGAGCCCAGACCGCAAGCATCACTGCCAGCGCATAAGCCGATAGATGAGCAACCGCATCAACAGTCTCGACAGGTACCTTTCAATACGAAAGGGCCAGTTTCAGTGCGATCAGCCAAAGACTTCTTCGAAACGAGATCCTCGCAACACTCACAATGCCCTCCTTTCCCGCCTTCGGTGCCTGCTCCTAGCGCCAAACCTTCCACACGCATACAAGAGTCGGTTCAACCCTCCAATGAAGGAGACATTCATGTTCCTAGTGCAGAAGTTATACATGACGCAGCAAAAGAAGCCCCTGATAAAGAGCCACCGCCGCCCCGCCCGACAGAGTCCTCTGACATCGTCGAGTTAGTAGAGCCCACGTCCTCTAGCTTAGGAGACGAGACGCACGGGTCTGCCACCGACGTTCCAGCAAGGAACACCCCGTCTCCACCCCAAGTGTTGGTATCCGACTATGGGCACAGCGAGTCAGGAATACAAAAAGATAGTATAGGCCGCAGAAAGTCGACAAATGTTTTTGTAGACCCACCACGTGGCGCTCAATTTCTCGGTTCTGAACGAGTTGCAAAGAAGGGTTCTGAGCAAGTCGCAGCCTCGCCTGCGCCGCCTAGTTCTGAGAAAACAACAAAGTCAACCGCTCAATCACGGACATCTGACAAAATTGTGAGGCGTCCAACTGCATGTAAATCGATAGCAGCTGCTGAGACTAGTGAAGGCGGAATCTCGAGGTCCTCTCCGCCCCAGACAGAAGGCCGACGTGCGAAGTCTTGTCGCGATGTTCGAAAAGCTTTCGAAGAACACAGATACACCGACCAAACACCGCGCAAATATTGCAGATTATGCGGCGCTGCTCTGACTAGAAACAAGTCTAACAAACCAACCGATCATCGTAGAAGGGCTGAGGATGTTGTGTCACCAGGTCTTAGCCACGACGGAGCCAGTTCTCCTACTCGTCGATCTAACCCCGCGTCCTACCCAGTCACTACTGCCAACATTGGCATCGAAGCACAATATGAGGATATCGAGGTTCCCGAGCACGTGGACAATCGCCAAGGATATGGACGGCGTGTCACACAAGACTTTGGCTTCCCAGGTGCACGTATCCGGCGCCATGATTCAACAAAAAAGAGACCGCTTCAAGATCCTGGCAAATGGGTTAAGCGAATGTGTGGCCATTTCTCTTACATGGGCCGTGATGAGCTTCGCGAGCAAGCTCAGGCGAGGAACTGTCAACAGTGCTTGGCTCGACCATCTTCTCATCAATCACAGTCCGGTTGTCTAAGACATGCACGAGAACAAGGGACATCCAGGTCTTCCACCTATCATTCCCCAGAGAAAAAGTCATTAAATATTGATAGCCGCAACCCAAGTTTTCATCAGCGTGGAAAGCAAGGTCTACCAACAGACCACTGTGGAGACATGTTTGCAAAAGACCTGGGTAAGATTATTGACCGTATTCTCGAAGAGCATGCAAGTACACTACAGGATGTCATCAACAAAATCAAGCTCAGCCAACCCTGTTTCGGAAGTGGTAAAAGAATGTCGGATGATCTCGATGAGCAATGCCAAACCAACAATGTCGGCCTTGACCCTGTGCGTGTAGTGCATCTATCAGACATGAACCGATTTTTGGCTTTCCCTATGTTCCCACCCAAGGCTGCTGAGAAGCTCAACGTTGGAGCTCACGGTCAACTGGGTCCTAATCTCAACGATTATCATTCCCAGTTGCGCCATTCTATAAAGACTTTATCAGACCTAGTGCACCTGGTCAATTCTGCAGCTGATGATTTTGGTCTCGACCTTGAGCAGGGACCAACACAAGAAGACGAAGAAAAGTTTCACAATGCGCCATACGAAGCAATTCCCTGCGTTCCCATCTCAACACATCCGACAATGTCTAGAGGGAGTGGAGAAGAGACATCAAGTAGTAGTTCTTACAGTGAGGATCCTTGGGTGCAACAAACACCCAGACATCGGACACTCCTTTCTGGTGCGCGTGAACAATACCTCAAAAAACTGGATTCAATTGCTGGAAGTACGAGTCTTCAGTCTCGAGGCGATGGAGATTTTGAGTGTTTTTCCGAAAATACACATCGTAACTCCATTGGGCCATCGAGAAACTCTACGCAGCTGGATGGCGATTCTTTTAGTGCTGCTACCGAGGAGGTACCTAGAATGAGCGAAGAGATGATGGGAGGAAGAACCGGTCGTCCAATCATGCGAACCTCTACCCCCTCAACATCTTCCACTGCCAGCGAATGTCTGCCGGGTTTCGAGGACACATTACCCGGGGAGATCTAGGAATGGCTTCAAACGACACAACCCGGGCTTCCATTCACCCTCGCCTCTGCCATTACTGTTTTCGAGATGCAACCACCCATGGAAACTAGTCCTACCGAACATGGTAGGGTATCAGCAGTGCTTGAGCAATCTTCCAATCCTATAGAAGGAAGGCAATGCCAACAACACTCCGTGGAACGCAGCAATTCAGAGATGGAAACGTATTACGAACAATTCAATCAACAGCATGAGCAAATTATGTATAAGACACACAATGAGAAGCATCCAAACTGTTCGGACGTTTCCTACATTGCACCGGTCAAAAGCCTTTATCAGTATATAGACGATTTCGAGGGTCTGACTACACAGGAGCTGCCAAATGACATATTGAATGAGGATGGGGAAAGCCCTCCTTCAGGTAACAGTACTTCTACACAGTTACAATCACCCGTTAAACAGAACAAAGAGGAGGAGCATGGCTGGTCAGACGGTGAAGCAATCGCACGTGAGCATTCAATGGTGAGACGGTCAATACTTCAAAGAGGTGAAACGGAAAGCACTACATCTACAAGTTGCAACGAGAGCAATGTGGTTGATGGTGAGCTATTGGAAACTGGGGGAAATGTGGATAATACTTCCTACTTTGACTATTGCCCTCGGTCACCATCAGTCTCTCGTCAGCAGACGTGGAGTTGTACCCCATCCAGCCTCGGATCCCCACCCTTAAGCTCACCGGAAGGGTCTGTTTTGCAAATGCGAGAAAGACTTCACCAGACCAACATCAGACCATGGTTACGCCAGCATCCAACTCTGTCAAGCGAATCACCCACAACCTTGTCGGCATCGGCTGACCCTGGACTGACTTGGGAACTTACAAGGAAGCTGACCACGATACGCTCGCGACAACCGACTACAAAAGAGCCAGTGCGTGATTCAATCCCTGTGGTGCTGCCCCGAGAGGATGAGGCTCAATTACCACTGTGTGAGAAGCAACTTGGGGAGTGCGCATCATCTTCACCAACGTCAGCCTCATCAGACCTTGAGGGATTGCATGCTACAGGTTTTGGGACACCTAGTTTCATGACACCAAGGAGACTGAGCATTGAAAAACTTCAGAGTTACTGGACTCGAGAGGCTGGAGATGACGCAGAAACGTTACTCACCTGCTCTGCAGCACCTTCACTACAGCCATCCATGCCACACTTGAACGGAGAAAGCACTACCCAAAATTTGGAATTAGAGCAAGAGGCCTCAGGAAACTGCTCCTCGCCGCCTACTATAACAGAAGCACTTGATCACGAACCAAACGGAGCTAGCGAGCTGGGCGATCCTAACTGGAAACCTCACACAAAAACCACACAGTGTCTCGTCCAAGATAAATCTAACATACCAACCACCGAAACATGTAGGGAAAAGCCTGATGACAACAGCGCAGCACCAAGTCCAAGTTTGACAACAGCCCCAGATTCTACAGGACCCCCCGGCCAAAATCCAAATACCAATACACGATCCGACGAAGGTGTCCACGCCTCGAGAAAAAACCACGACTTGGACCCAGCAGCAGCAAAGCAGCGCCCAAAGCAAATCACGCTACCCCCCAGAGTACCTCTCACACAGGCCCGCCGACCACGCATCGCCACACCAGGCATCATGGCACCCCGTCTGCCAACCATCCAAGAGAACCTAGCTAGGCCTGTCCTCCTGCCGCCTGCTGCTGCAAAGAAACATGGGAAAATAGTAAATTACCCCCCGCACAAACAATACCCCCCCGCTCCTGCGTACCCGCAACGCGACACGCCGGCTTGGGCTCGACCAGACACGCAGATGCCGCCACGACGTGTGAAGTCGACATCGACATCGAGACCGAGTAGTGTGGTGCAGACGCAGACGCAGACGCAGAAGCAGACGCAGATGTGGTGTACAGGGTCATGCAGAGAAATAATACAGCATGTTTTGCGTCGATGTAGGTGCACGACGCCAGATTCAGATTCAGATTCAGATTCAGATTCAGATGCAGATGCAGAAGGGGAAGTGGAAGTTGCAGTGCGAGGAGGGACAAAGGGGAGAGGGGATATACCCGATGAGATGCTTGGAGTTGTAAATAGGAAAGAGGTACGGGGGTTAGAACGTGGAGAGGGTGAGAAACACGTGGTGGGTAGGCGTTGGGAATCGTGTTTGGGGCTGTGGGGATGCGCGGATGGACATGGGCGGAGGTGAGGTGAGGTGAGGTGAGGTGTGGATGTGGAATGTGTCGTGAGTCTGTGGATACGGGAAATAAGGGGAGCAGACAGATGGGCAGTGTGTGAAGGCATGGGAGGTCTTTGGTAAGGCAAACAGTGAGCTTGATGGGTAAAAAGGCAGTCAACCTAGATATGCATATCGATCCTACCAACAAAACAAACAAGAGTATCATTTTATTTTAAAAGGCCTTACAAAAAGTGTGCAAAATCTACCTCTTTGCATCCAAGCCCTGCAGCCCCATGGCCTCCTTGGTCTCATCCGCCTTCTCCGCCTCACCCTTTTCCCTCAGCGCCACCTTCTCGACATCGTCAAACGCCTTGAGCGCCTCGCCATACTGCTCAAACACGCCCTTTCGGTAGCCCTCGCAAATCTTCTTGACGAAGCCCTCCTCGTTCCACCGCGCCTCGAGGAAATCTTCAAATTTCTCCGTGGCCGACGAGCGCTGTACGCCCCATGCAGCTTTGTACGCGGCTCCCAGGGCGCAGGCGTTGCCTCCGATTTCCAGCTTGTAGACGCCGTCGGAGCCGCCGAGGACCTGGCCGGCGAGTTCAGCGATGGCGGGATTGACGGCTCCGCCGCCGACCATGTAGATGCGGCGGGGTTGGGCGGGGAGGTTTCCTTGAGGCGAGACGAGGGATTGCGAGCGTAGGCGTAGAGAGAGGAACTGGGATTCGAGGATGGCGCGGGCGTCGGCTTGGGGAATCGGCCACGCCTTGTCTTCTGTCTTGGCCTGGGCGGCTTCTGGGGCAACGGGCGACAGCTTGTTGTCCTTTGCAAGGAAGCGCCATGTGCCTGCCTTGACATTTGGAACAATTTCCGGACGAGGGAAGAAGAGGCCCAGACGCATGGGGTCCGAGGGCTGTGCTTGGCCCAGAGCAGGCGTAGTGAGGGCTGTTTCGTTGAACTTGTCCCAGGACTTGTCAGAGGAGCCAGCGGCTTCGTTGATGGCATCGCGGATGTGCTCGCGGGCTAGACCACCGTTCTTGTAGCACAACATGAACATGTAGAGTCCAGCCGTCGTGGGATGGTTCATGAAGTGGTATGCAGGATCAGGCCTGTACTGTGGAGTCGACATGAGGAAGGTTGTCGACGTGCCGAGTGAGACAATGGCGTCCGAGGCGCGGAGGGGGAGAGCCAGGATGGTCGATGGGTTGTCTCCAGTGAAGGCAATGATCTGGGCCGACGACGGGAATCCGAAGCGCTTGCTAAAGTACGGCGATACGGTACCGAAGCTGGATCCACCATCTTCATACACATTACCCAGCTTCTTCCTCAGCTCTTCGATACCCTCGGAGCCTCCAGCAGCGAGGGCAAGCAGGTCTTCATGCCAGCGGCCGTTCTTGATATCCCACAAATTTGCGCCAGTCACGTCCGAGATATCCATGGGGGCCACCTTGCCTAGGAAGATGGATGCGAGGAATGAGGATACCAGAGAAATGCGTGCAGTCTCTTTGTAGGCCTTGGAGTACTTCTCGCGGAAGCGGAAGATCTGAGGACCGCTGAAGCGCTGTTGGAAGAGGTTAACGGCACGCCATTCGACAAGAGCATTCAATCCTTACGTGATGAGCACTGCTGCCAGTTGCCAGTGCCAGGTTCGTAGGGTCTTGCAGTGCCTTATCAAAGGCTTCGCACTGCTTCTGCGTACTCGCATCTTGCCAGTTGGGACTGAATGGGTGGCTGAATGCACCCTTCCTCTCGCCCTTTGCGCCGCCCTCTAGCTGCTCAAGCAATGTCTTGCCGGCATCCAGACTGGCCAGCAGCGTCTCTGCGTCATGGCTCCAGAAGACGGTGCCGTGCTGCATGCCGGCGCCCGAGATACCCTGGACCTTTGAAAAGTCGGCGCCCTGGTCTTTCAATCGCTGCAGCACCAGTTCAATGGCCTCGAGCCATAGAGCGACGGGTGCAAACACCTCGCCCTCGTCATGGTTGGTGAGGACGCCTTTCTCAATGCCGTACTTTGACAGGTCGGCGTCAAAGTCGACCTTGGTCTCGTGGATCAGCTTGAGATCTGAGCCGACAATGATTCCTAAAAGGCCGCGACGGCGTTAACCAGAGCAAAGGGCGGTGGGGTAGCTTCGGCGGGGTAGCAGTGGACGCACCTTTGAGCTGCTGGGTGCTCAGGTCAAAGCCCAAGAATTGATCAGCCATGGTCAGAGTGCGTCGAGTGTGTGCTGGTCGGGGATGGCGGGACTTTGGGTGTTGTGACTTGACCGGGCATTGCTAAATAAGCACAAGAGTCTTGTTGGTGTTGAGGACCCTCCCCCGTGCCCACGATACGGCACACTTACGCAAGACCCACATTGACGGACAAGCTACATCACAGCATTTTGCCGGCGGTGCCTGCAGAAGGGCCAGTCCATCATTGGCGGCGGATAAATAGCGGCTGAGCTATCGTGACTACACATGTACTTTTCGTGGGTGGCACGTCGGCCAAACGCCGAGGGCAGCTCGAGAAAAGGCTTTGTTAGCGCAATGGTCGTGGTCTAGAACTAGGCGCCGTCACATGCGATGCTAGATTCGATAATATCTGTACATGTCCAAGTGCAAAATGCCTGATATATTCCGCCGGGTAGTCGGCGTGTACCCAACTCCAGAACGCCCGCCCATGCTTGTCTACAAGTATACACAGCTCATTTCCTTCGCCTTGCGCTGCTGTCGGTAGCGCTGTGCTTGTCGTTGTGGTCGTGGTCGTGGTCGTGACTGTTGTCATGGCTGTGGTCATGCTCTGATTCTGCCGTTGCCGCGCTATCAGCGGGTATGAACTCGTCCAAGAAATCTGGCTCCTGTGCGGTGTTGCTCACAAACCGGACGCGGACCTTTTTCACTCCGCGCACTTGAGCACCGATGCGTTCGCGGACCACGTCCTCGACGCGGCGTGTCTGGTCAACCGTCCAGGCGCCGGCCACACCAAGTTCGACGTCCATGAGATAGTTCTGGCCAGCCTTGACACCCTGGATAGCGCGGACATTTACTGGCTCGGCTGACGTGGTGATTTCCTGAACAGCCTTGGCGGCCGCCTTGCGCACATTGTCCTTCATCTCCTGGTCTACGCCCACGTCTGCCAGTTCCAGCAGTGCTTGCTTCGTGTTGCCCCAGCCAGCCTGAACGACCATGAGGGAAATGACGAGACCACCCACAGGGTCGAGCCATTGCGCGTTGTTGAACACATTTGAGCCGGCAATCAGGAGGAGGGCAACAAAGGCGGTGAGCGAGTCCACGCGGTGGTGGTAGGCGTTGGAAGCGAGGACGGTGGACTTGCGCTCTTCAGCGATTTTGAGTGCTACGAGACGTTGTTAGCCAATTTGGCCTCGCGAGGGCGGTGTGGATTACGTACTCGCTCGGTACAGCCATTCCTTGATGACAATGGAGCCAGCCGCCAGCCAGATGGCATTGATGTTGGGGCCCAAGCCGTCAACGCCGTGATGGTGGTGGTGGTGGTGATGTGGCAGGAGACCCCAGTGTTCGGCGACCTCGGCAGCGCCGGGAAAGAATTGCTGGCAGAGGGCAATGAGGGCGGTCCAGCCCATGAAGAAGCCTCCGCCGAGCAGGATGCCGCTGACGCCCAGCGACCCCAGGCTCTCGACCTTTCCGTAGCCGGTGGGGAAGCGCTGCGTGGGGGGCTTGAGGGACCAGCCGACGGTGGCGAGCGTCATGATGTCGCTGACGAGGTCGGTAAGGCTGTGAATGGCGTCGGCGACGAGAGCTGGTGCAGCGTGTCAGTAGAGGCCACGGGGAGCTGGCTGTGCATGTCCATCTCACCCTGGCTGTTGAAGACGTATCCGCCAAAGCCCTTGCTGATGGCCATGCCCAGGTTGACATAGAGGCCGACGCGGGTGATGCGCACGCCGGCGTCGTTCTTGTTCTTGGACAGCAGGAAGGTGTTGTCGTGGTGGTGGTGGCAGTGGCCGGCATGCTGGTGCCGGGTCGGGGTGGAGGTTGTCATGGCGGCAGCGGAAGGGGGCAGGTTGCGGTGAAGGGCAGAGGACAGGTTGGGCAGGCGGGCGGCGTGGTGGGAGCGGCCAAAGGCGTGGGCGTGGGCGTGGGCGTGGGCGGCCGCCGTCGTCTTCGTGTGGGTGCAGTGGACACGCGACGTGGAGCGGATAAACTGCGTGTAAGCGTAGTATGGCAGCGCGCGCGGTCGCACTGAGGCCTGGGTCGAGTAATCCAGCGGCAGCGACTGAGCGCTCTGCATGGGCTGGGGCGAGGGCCAGACACGCATGCCATTTCCATGTCTGCAGACGGTGCGCCGCAACATGGGACGTGGTGGCCGAGGGCGCGCGTCGAGATGTTGGGGAGAAGCCCAAATGCGACTGCGACGGCCGTCTGCAGGGTCAATTTTGAGCCTCTTGGGCGGTTGCGGTCGGCTCTGTTTCCTGCCATGACGCCTTTTGCGTCAACGAGCCCCGTGTGTGGGGCGCTCGACAGGGCTGGCCGGGGGGCAGCCAGGCCGCCTTTGCATCACGATGCACTGCACACATAGTACGGACGGTGTACTTTATGGATTGCCTGCACAGCAAAGGAATTCTCGCTCTCCATGGCCGTCGTTCATTGCCCATGCCTATGCCCATGCCCTCGCCATGCCATGGCTATACATAGAAGCACGCATGCAGGGGCCCGGCCGTGTCCCAACAACGCGGACCATGGCTGCATACATACTTACTTACTACGTCCATGGACACGCCGCGCCCTACATATATAGTAGCATACCACGCCCGGATAGCCCACCGTTACTACACACACTCGATGCCGCACGCTGCAAAAGCTTCAACGTCGCCTTACAGCCTTGGCTTTGCGCCATCAGCTCCATCGCGGTCCGTGCACCGCGCCAGGATCCACTTCACCACGTCGTCGCAGAACGTTTCCTTATCGGGACTAGGCTCGTCGTGGACTGCCCACCACTGTCAGTATCGCGTGCCATGTTGGCGAGAGGGGAGATTCTGCCTACGGCGGTGGTAGTAGCCGGCATACGACCTGAACTCCTTGTCCTGGACCGGCAGCGCGTCGAACAGCCGCCTCGACGCCGCGTAGCTGGTGATGCCGTCCTTGTCGCCGTGGGCAATCCAGATCCTCGTCACCCCGCCCTCGCCAGCACCCTCAGGAATGACAATCTTGCCGCTTGCAAGCGCATTGGTGCGGTCGAGCATGCCTGCAAGCCCTTCGAGCGTGCCCGTGTCGTGGCACAGCGGGTCTTGCTCGAGGCGCTTGCATGCCTCGGCGTCGCGTGAGAGCAGAGCGGCATTCAGCTTGTTGGTCAACTGGCGCTTCCCCGCCAGCTTGCCCGCCAGCCGGCCCAGGAACACCGTCACGGCCGACGGCTTCGACTTGGGGTCAAAGTCGACAAACGGCGACTCGAGCAGATAGCCGCGAATGTGCTTGCGCACCTCGGCCGGGCCCTGCGCCGCGTAGCACAGCGTCTGCCCGCCGCCCATCGAGTGGCCCATGAGGAAAAGGGGCGCTGGGCTCGCCATGGCGATGACAGCCTGGAGAAAGGACGTCATGTCATCCAGCACCTGTGCAGTCGGCCCCGTGTCGCCTCGCTCCGACGGCTTTGACACGGAGCGGCCCCATCCTCTGCCCTGGGCTTCAGCAGGCCGCCGGTGTGGGAAGGGAAGCGATGCACACGCGTACGCACCTCTGGTCAAAAGTATACACCTCGATGCCTCTGGCCGCTAGCGCGGGGAAGAAGTCGCCATAGGTGTGCACTGGGGGCGCGGCGCCGTGTCAGCCGTCGACTGTGTCTCGGCAGCAGTAGGCCCGCATAGTCTCACCGTGCTACGACCTGGTTGTCAATACACACGACCTCTCTCGACGCGTTAATCCCAAGGGTAGGCAGGCATACATCAGAAAAGCCATGGATGAAGACGAGTCGCGCCTTGGCTGGCCCCTCGGTCTGCTCAATAGATTAATGTCGATCCTCATGGCGCTGGGCCGGGGCTCCACCGTACCCTGAACGTCTTGGTGTACAGCTGCTTGCCGTCGGCGAGGCTATGCGTGCCTTGGTCAACCGACATGGTGGGTGGATACAGCAGGCGAGGGTTAGTTGGGGGGGAAGGGTAGATCAGAGTGAGAATATGGGCTAGCGACGACAGAAACTACTGCAGGGGCTGGGACAACGGGCAGCCGACGACTGCGGCCGCTTGGTGGTGGTGGTAGTAATGGTAGCAGTAATGGTAGTAGTCGTGGTGGTGGTGGTGGTGGTGGTGGTGCTGTTGTAGTGGTGTTGCTGTGCTGGCCGTGGGCCGAAGACAGCCGTGGCCGTGCGCGGCGCCCCGATGCGTCATAGCTTGCGTGCTTGGTCGGATGCCCATTCGACAGTCGCCCAGCAGCACCACGACGGCGGCCATGGGCATGCGACGGCGACGGCGGCGGCAACTCGTCGTCCGCTGCATGCATACAGCACTCGGGCGGGCAGCAGCAGCAGCAGGTGCCGGCCTATAATTAGAGGCGCGACCAGCTGCTGCCGGCCGACAGCGACACAGCTGCTGCAGAGCTACTTAGCAGCACGTAGGTAGATAGCACGCCTACTCCTGGTAATAGCAGCACACGGCGGCCGTCCAAGCTCCCGCGCGATGGATCATGCTGCATACGCATTGGACCCCTCTGCCTGGCGTCCCCACCCACATTTTGCTCGTCTCGTGCTAAGATACTTTCTCGCTCCCACTCCCGACATGTTATGAGCTGCCTTGCCCGCCGCCTCCTGTCCCATCACCCCCCCTCGCCCTCGCCCTCGCCCTCGCGCCTCGTCAGCCTGCCGCCTCGAAGCATGCTGGGCAGCATGCCGCAGACACGCTCCGCCAAAGCCATCCTGAGCCACCAAGAGCGCACCGCCCACGAGCCCCGCGACAAGGACCTGCACACGGCCACGCTCGCCCGAGTGACGCACGTCAACGGGCGCATCAAGCGCTACAGATTCGACATCAAGGACAAGAACGGCTTCAACGTATGCCGGCCTCCATCTCGCTCGCAGCCTGCGCTGATGGACCAGTCAGTTCCTCCCTGGCCAATGGCTCGACGTCTTTGTGCCCGGCGTCGACAAGGCGGGCGGCTTCACCATCACGTCGTCGCCCTCGGAGGCCCTGCCGCGCTCCGACCCCGACCACACGCCCTACTTTGAGCTGGCGGTGCAGAAGAGCCCCGCCAACCCCGCCGCCGCCTGGCTGTGGCGGCCCGCCGAGGACATTGTGGGCCAAGACGTCTCGGTGCGCGTCGGCGGCAGCTTCGTGTGGCCGCCGCCGTGCCTGGACATGAAGAAGATTAAGCGCGCCATCTTCATTGCCGGCGGCGTCGGCATCAAGTGAGTGGGCCTTGTTTCCTGCCCCGCCCTGCCCTGCCCTGCCCTGCCCTGCCCTGCCCTGCCCTGCCCTGGCCACTGTGTGTTTGCGGCGACTAATTCTCTCGACAAAGCCCCATGATGTCCATGATGACGTACATCAACCAGAACTACCCCAACCTCGAGGTGCGCTTCCTCTACTCGACAAGGGTGCCGTCGCGCGAAACCGACCCCAGCGAAGTGCTCTTCCTGCAAGAAGTGCTCGACCTCTTCCGCATACCGCGCTTCAAGGTGACCAAGGACCGCCTCGAGCTCTTCTTCACGGGCACCTGGGACGGCTCGGAAATGGGCACCACCGAGGGCGACCTCATACACCCGCTCATGTCGCTGACGCTGCCGCAAATCGACTCGGCGACCGAGGTGCCCGTGTGTGCGTGGACGCACCGCATCGACGACATTGCCCTGTCGAGCGCCGTGGGCAACCGCAAGGAGGCGCAGTCGACCGTGTTTTACGTGTGCGGGCCGCCGGCCATGGCCGACGACATGGTCAAGTTTATCAAGGAGCAGGAGAATGTGGCGCCGCAGCGGGTGCTGTGCGAGAAGTGGTGGTAGTGTGGACTGACGGTAGACTGACGGTAGACTGACGGAGACTGACGGTAGACTGAAGCGGGCGCGCGAGAGCGGCAGTAACAGCACAAGATATCGGGAGGACAGGCGACGAGGACGGCAAATTGGACACTGGCAGTTTGTTTGGTCGCAAGCGCTATTGTATGTACCATGCTCACACGATTAACTCTATTTTACGCGCCCACAAAGGCCGCAAAATGCACTCGGCTCGTGATGGTCGGGCACCCCCGCTGCATCTCCACCCTCGACTCCCGTCTCCCAGCTCCTGCACACACACACACAGCAGCGTGGGCAGAGGCGCGGCACAGCCTGCAGTGCCACCCCGGCCGGGCTGCAACAGCAGTTCACCCGTCCTGTCATGGCCAAGAGCGGTATTGGAACGTCCCAAAGCGTCGCTATTAACGCACAATGCGCGGTACGAGCAGCAGGGGCCGCGCAGGGGCCGCGCAGGGGCCTCGCCGCCTAGCTCCCGCGTGCACCGTCCGCCTGCAGCTGTGATTGGCTGCCGCCGTCTACACGCTGTGTGATGGCGCAGCGTGCGTGTGCCACTCAGCGCCTGCAACGCCAGTTTCGCCCCTCTCTGCCCGCCTGCAATGCCGCCTTGCACGCCTGTTAAGACCTTCCAACGCCCCAGCGCCCTGGGTGCTCAAGGCTTGATCGTGCGCCCCCAACCTCGACGACCGCCAAACCCCCCGTACCACCACCGCGACGCTGCCCCCCTCCCCCCCCCCCCCCGCCCATGGCCTTTTTTATATCGCCAACATGGCGGCTGCCCAAGGTCGTGTGGTTCCTCATCGTCTTCGAGCTGCCCTTCACCGTCGCCAATCTCGCCCTCTTCGGCATCGCCTCGCCAAACCTCTACCGCACCATCCTGTGGCGCATCGGCGGCGAGATGGGCTTCAATTCCCAGCCCAGCACCGTCCTGTACGCCTACGCCAACTATCGCCCCGTCAAGATTCCGCTGGTATGGAGCAACTTGTGAGTACCACCCACTCCAGCCCCCCGCGATTCCCTCTTGGGCAAGGCCGGCAAGCGCTGACCCCCCCAAAAGCAACACCCAGTACCATCTCGTCATCGGAGTCGTGTGCACCTTTTTCTGGCTCGTCAAGGTGACGCTGTGGCTCCTCAAAGTCCTCTACCCAGTCCTGTCGCTCCCCCTCCACATTGCCCTCATGTGTCTGTGGGCTTACGGCATCCATGTCCAAACCGCCCCCGACACCATTGACCCAGACCACATGAACAAGGGCGCACCATGGTACATCACCAAAAACTGCAACATTGTGCAAGACGACAGAATCAGAGGCTACTGCATGCAAGCTAAGAGCAGCTTTGCCGTTAGCGTCATCATGCTGTATGTGCCGCGCGCCTGCAAATCAACACACCCAAGCTAACGGCCCATCAGTTCCATTTACGCTGTCTTTGTCATCATGTCAATCTACTCTCTCATTCCTACAGCTGCCCAGAAGGAGGCCCATGCTGCCAGGAAAGCCGAAAAGAAGGCTGAAAAAGAAAAGTGGGCATCTTCGCCCTACGACAATGAAATGACTGCCGAAGAACAATGGCAGCACATGTGGGAACTGCAACAACTACCCCGTACGCCCGGCACCATGGGTGGCATCAAGTCACCAATGACGCCGCGCACATTAGCTTTCAACAGTCTGGGTGGTGAAGAGGCGGGCCAGGGCGGTTACTATGTGCCGGCCGGAGGAAATGGATGGTATGCTCCACCCCAGCACGGCGGCGTGCCAACGCAAACTGTGAGTCCCATCATGGAGCAGGATGATTACCAGTACAACCATGAAGGCAAGGGAAAGACAATGGGATGGAACGGGAACGCATATTAAACCTCGTCGAGGTATCTTCTTGTGTTTAATTTGGGATTTGGCGTTTTAGCGTTGTGACATTTCGAGATACCACCTGGGACTAGGTCTTCACTCATTACTGGAATATGAGGGCAACAGGCAAAGGAGCGTAGGACACTGAAATTCCGAACATCGTTCCTTTGGATATACTTCATTCAATAGTAGTGCTACCATTGATTGTTGTATATGTCTATTGTCACAACCTTGGAAAACATGTGATTTGGCGCAACCGCGCATCGTGGGCGCGCGACCTGACGCAATGCTCCACCTACCAAGTTCGTCACGTCTTTCAGAGATGCCATCACCCCCCATCACACTATCAATCACTCATACCCCCGTCCATGTCTGCTACTCCAGAAAACCACATTGTATGTGTTGGCGCCGTCTACATCGATACCATCCTGACGTAAGCACCCACTTCTCTAACCCGGCTCCCAGCACTTTTCTAAACACGCATAGACAGTGTCCCGCATTTCCCTATTGAAGATGAAAAACTGCGGGCAAAGAGCATCACGCGACGAAGAGGCGGCAACACAGCAAATAGCCTAGAGGTCCTATCACAACTGCTAGAGCACGATCAACCACAATCTCCTGCCGTGACAAACCTGCACTTGCTGGCGGTGCTTCCGAGCGAGCAATCCGCCGCCTCGCACTTTATCCGCGAGTCTCTCCCGGCCGTCAATATCGCTGGCCTGAGCCTGTTTCGGGAAGACCACCAGGACGCGGCGTCGAGCTACATTATCCAGAGTGCCGTCAGCCGGTCCCGCACCATTGTTAGTATCAACGAGCTAGCCGAGATGCAAGCGTCAGAGTTCTGCACGCAAATTCGCCGCTCAGCCCCGGCCTGGGACAGGGCATGGATCCATTTCGAAGGCCGCATCCCAGACGTCACGCATGCGTGCGTGGCCTTTCTGCGCAGCGAGTTCCCGCGCTTCGGCCTCAGCGTCGAGTGCGAGAAGCCCGAGCGCACGCACATGGCCGACGTTGCTACGCTCGCGGATGCTGTGTTTTACTCGAAGCTGTGGGCGGAGAAAAATGGGTTCCGCGATCCGAGGAGCTTCCTTGAGGCCCAGATCCGTGATAAACGAGAGAATGCATTGCTGTGCTGCACATGGGGATCTGGGGGCGCCGTGGCAGTCAAGAAAGACGGCGTTGAAGCGACGTGGGCGCAGGTAAAAGCGTGGCAGAGTGCCGAGTCAACGGGAGTCGTTGATACGATTGGTGCTGGGGATACGTTTATTGCAGGCATGCTGTTTGCGCTTAACAACCATGCTGAATGGCCGTTGCAGCGGAAACTCGAGTTTGCGAATGAGCTGGCTGGGCGCAAGGTGCTGCAGGAAGGCTTTGGCAATCTGGGTGCCAAGATGTGGTAGTCTATACTGGCACTTGCATCCAAGTTTGGGCTTTACCAGCATGCCTTTCTCTGTCAGATTTGCATGGCCTGAGTGATGATGCAGTCTGAGACCAAGACAGGGTCAATATGCTAAATGACATTCTTTCGCAGTGGTGATTTTAAATCAACTTGTTTGAGCCGAGACCAGGTCCAAGAAAATTGAGGTTCGAGAAGTTTGAGGTGCGAGAATATGTGGAGCGGAGAGCTGGGGAAGTGCCTTGTTAGGAAGAAGCCAAGACTCTGTGTCAAGATGCTGCCAATGCGATTGACGTGTAACAATGCAGTTTACAATCATACCATCCCTTTGGGTTAACAGATGGTCAGCTTTTTCCTCTTCTTCTTGTCTTCTATTTGTACAAGTAATAACTGTACTTGGTAAAACAAGCCATCTCTCTTTAGTGCTACTGTCCCCCGCACGTTCACGCATCCAAGAATAGCACAAAACATTTGCATGAACTGACTCTCTTTCTCTCTCTCTCTCTCTCACTCTTCTGAAAAACGTGGCCATGGGTACTATACTGCTGCACACCAGAAACACGCCCCAGTCTCACAACTACAAGCGCCACGCCGCCGTTTTGGGATCTCCTTCTCTTTTCCCTCAGTACTAAACGGCGGCTCCCCGCACCGGCGCACACGCAAACACAACCAGAACAAACTTTTCCGCGCTCCAAGCTTTTCTTCTCTTTTCTCCATCATTGTACCTGTGTATGTGTGTTGTTGTTACGATAGGTACAGTAGTGTGGGATCGTCATCTGCACGCAGAAAAAGAAAGAAAGAAATCCGGGAAACAAGAGAAAAAAGAAACTTTATGCCGATAAAATAAATTCCCGAGATTCGTTCTTAATATGTCGAGTAAGTGCTCTGATCTATTACACTTTTGCGACTGCGAAGAGAAAGGAAAAATAAAATGCGGTTGTTTTATAGACGCTTTGTGGCTTCGTTACTGATATGCATAGCAACAACCGTCCTTCACCAGTGCCCGGCTCACGCAGCAGCAACAACCACACGCCTAACGCCAAAACAAGACGAGGTATTTACACACATATCAACACAAACCAGCCTCTCGGCCAGCCCGTCCCGTCTCGTCCACTTTCTCTCATTATTTCCGCAAACTAACCTCATCTTACCCAGCATCACCACGACCCCACTATATATCCCTTCCCACAGCCCTACCCCGTCGCCTTCAGCGACACCCAAGTGCGCAAAAACGAGATTTGGAGCCGCATCCAGCGCGAGGCGCATGCCGATGGAATCGATCTGACTGTGCTGCCGTTTGCGAAAAATGCTATTGCAAGTATAGTGGCGCTTGAGGGCGACAAGGTGGATGTAAATGCGCTTGGGTTTGCGGAGAGTGGGAGGGAGATGAGGAGGGTGGATGTGCATACGCAGTGAGTTTTTTTTCTTGTCTTTTCTCTCTGTTCATGTATGAGATGTTGAAGGGACGTGTTAAAAATGAAGGAGGCAAGAAAGGAAAAGATTGCTAATATCAAAACCCCGTCCAGCCCCATCCCAGATTGGTTCCGAGCACTGGAGCTCAACGCCGCAGGTCGGGAGACGCCGTCTTGGAGCGCCGAGGGCCATCTGAAGTTTATGGCGGAGCACCAAATTGCGCATTCGGTGCTGTGTATTTCCACGCCCCAGGCAAATGCGTTTTCCAATGAGACGGACGTGGAGTTGAGGAGGAAAAAGACGATCGCGCTCGCGCGGCTACTCAACTGCTTTACCGCGGAGCTGTGCAGAATATATCCCGAACAGTTCAGCTGGATGGCTATCATGCCGCTGCCGCATGTGGATGAGTCGATTGCAGAGTTGAGGGCTGTGTTGGGGCTGCAGGATGGACATGGACAGCGGCCGGTGGGTGTGGGCGTGCTGACCAACCACGAGGGATTGTATCCTGGCGATGCAACGTTCGATCCGATATGGCAGTTTTTGCAAGAAAGAGCGGGAGAAGGGGGAAAGGAAGTCGTGTTTATCCATCCGACCGAGCCCATTATCAGACTTGACGATGGACGCTTGATTAACTCGAGGCCGTGTAAGTTGTTCCTTTTTCTTTTGCCTCACTGACTGGCTGATGGCTAATCAACCGCCGTTCATACACAGCACCGCTTCGTTCAGGCCTGGGAGAATTCTACTTTGAAACCGCCCGCGCCATATCCAGCATCACGGCCTCTTCGACCATTCTCCGCTACCCCGGCCTCCACTGGCGCGTGTCCCACGGCGCCGGCGCCTTTCCAGATATCTCAGAGCGCTTTCTACTCGGGTTTCCCAAAATCTCCGACCAAGCAAGAGACGCCTACAAATCCCGCTTTTGGTACGATAGTGCGGGCCCCGTCTGGCCCAAGCAGATCAAAGGGTTGACGGAGGGAATGGAGATTCCAGTTAGCCAGATGGTGTTTGGGACCGACTTTCCGTACGGAATTGGCTTCTGGGACGTCGATGAGAATATCAAGGGGTTGGCGGAGGCGGAAGCCATCGGGGAGAGTGACAAGGAGAAGGTATTTTGGAGGAATGCGAGGGAGTTGTGGAGGGGGAGGATTAAGGCGTTGGAGGGGTGGGGGGAGATGTTGTAATATCATTCGGTTTATGTGGACGATTGAAGAGAGAAACGCTGTAACATTAATTTCGGTCTATCAAAAGGACTGTGGAGAGAGTTGTAAGTTGTCTTGGAGCTTGCGGTAATGTGCCAAGGATGTGAAGATTCAAGATTGGCATGATTAATGTGAATTGTGGTCGGGTTATTGTGAAGGTTGAACCGGCTATTCCAGTTAATCACCAGTACAAGTTGAACTCTATCGAGGCTGCCGAAAGTTTCCTGCAATGCTAAAGGTCTTCCCTTGCACTTTGCGCTGAGGCGGTTAGCCACGGCTAGTTAGCGTGCGGAAGCGGAAATCGTCGAGCTATAACGACCCCACCGTGACGCTCGCCACACTCACAACACCACCACGCTTTGGAACACGGTAGCAACGCTGAAGTTGCTTGCCGCGGTACCAAAGATGACATTGGCCCACTACATTACCAAGATGCGGATCGAGATCCGGCCCCCCACCAAGGTACTGCGCATGTCGTAATGCGGGGAGGGCGCAGTCAGAATGGTCAACCGCAATCATGCCGTGGCGCGGAGACAGCTGTAAGTATAGACGATTTCCACACCATGCTCCACGACTCACGGTATTGCAGGTTGATTAATCACTTCTCCGGAACCTGATGCACGTCGCGAGTCTTTATTGTGAGGCGTCGGGCGCGATGGCCCGAGACCCGTGCGAGGAGCCGGGGTAACGACTCGACTGTTACCGGACGCACATGTAAAGAGACGGTCAAGATGAAACAAAAGGGCGCACTATTGGCCCTCATGGGCTAGCGGAGTCCATAATCGACATGACCAGCGACTCGAAACCACCCGTCATGATTTCAATCTGTCGTCCTGTTCGGCACATAGGCGCCATGACGTTGATGACAAAAGCTCATGGCATCGATCGATTTCAAACCAACGAGACGGCACGAGCATAGACGACTTGGGCGCCCCAGGTCCAAGAGAGGCGTACTATCGCCGCCGGATGATTGGTGAGGCTGCCTTACCTAAGGCTGGGAGGAAGAGTTTTGCTCCACCACTGCTAGCGCGAATTGCGTGATCGCACGTCTTCACCCCCATCCATCGCACCTTGCGGAGAGGGTTACAAAGCAGTTTTGGATGGCGGCGCCAAATATAATATCCGAGCCTTGCTCGTCTCTCCTGCTCCCACATCCAGAACCCATCGCTTGATAATAGAAAATTCTTTTGGGAAAGCCGTTGTTGGACACGATACCACGAGGACATCTGCTTCTGGCTTCTCTGCACGTGCCATTACCATCCAAAAGTCCCGCCACATATCCCCTAAACATGTCGTCACCGGTTTTCAGCAGTGTCGACGCCTACAAGCCGGCATCGATCCGCGAGGAGTCTGGTTATGCCTCTGCCGAGTCGAGCCAGGAGAGCCTGCCGGAAATCTACTTCACCAGGCCTCATCTGAAGTACATCAATGCTCAGCTAGCTAAGCTCGAGCCTCAGGGTGAGTGACGGCTGTCAAGCCCTGTGGCAACCTTTCAACTAATATGGGGTCAGAGATTCTCCGATGGTGCATCACATCTCTGCCTGGTCTCTTCCAGACGACTGCCTTTGGTCTTACTGGCTTAGTCACCGTGGACATGCTCTCCAAGCTTGATGGACCCCTGAAGCACAACATCGACTTGATCTTCTTGGACACTCTTTACCACTTCGATGAAACGTATGCTCTTGTCGACCGCGTCAGGAGGCGATACGGAACCCCGGTCCATGTCTACAAGCCTGCAGGCTGCGAAAACGTCAAGGACTTTACTGCCAAGCACGGTGACAAGCTATGGGACACAAACGATGAGCTCTACGACTACGTCGCAAAGGTCGAGCCTGCCGAGCGTGCCTACTCTGAGCTGCAGGTCAAGGCTGTTTTGACTGGGCGACGTCGCAGCCAGGGTGGAAAGCGTGGTGACCTGGACATTGTCGAGGTTGACGAGGCTGGTCTCATCAAGGTCAACCCCCTGGCCAACTGGAGCTTTGCTCAAGTCAAGGAATACGTTGACGCAAACGATGTGCCGTACAACGACCTGCTCAACCGGGGCTACAAGAGCGTTGGTGACTGGCACTCGACGCAGCCCGTGGCTGCTGGCGAGGACGAGCGATCAGGACGATGGAAGGGCAAGAACAAGTCCGAGTGCGGTATCCACAACCCCAAGTCGCGGTACGCTCAATTCCTCCAAGAGCAGGAGATGAAGCGACAGAACGAGGATCTTGCCAACAAGCTGCAACAAGTGTCGTTGGCCGTCTAGCGTGTTGCACTGGAGCGTTTGCATTGCCTGGTTATTTTCTTGTTCAACTGCATTAGCATCGGCGTTTGGGTTCTGGGACGGGACATGGCATGGGGTATGAGATATGGGCTTGGGGCCTGGGGTAGACTAGTAGGAGGATGGCCTTGGGCATACGGATGACAGGTCCGTTTGTGTACAGACGACGCCGAGATACCACCGACATAGGAGCCAATGAAGCTCTGGATGAATCCAACAGAAATTAGTTGTAGTTTTCTTGTGCTGCTACTGACGCGCGACGTGGCTCGAGGAGAGGATGGGCAGGAGGGCAAAAAATAAACGTGGGGACAGACATGGGTATCGCCACACGGATACATAATGGTGGGCCCTGCAATGCTGTGCGCCAGCGGCACTCAACCTGTCATTGTGGCCCATCTGAGGCCGAAATGCCGTGGCCCTCTTTGGCTCCGCTCTCACGTCACTCCCGTTGCTACGCGTAGCCACAGGCGCGAGTGCGATAGGCTCGAGCATCGCGTGAAATTGCGCAATCGCTTCCAAGATGTGCCGGCCCATACAGAGAGGCGCTTGGTGGCCTAGTTCCTGCAGTACAAGAAAAAACCCAGAGACGCCCATGGTCAACAAACGCATCCTGGGCCTCGAGTGCCCGTAGATAAAAAGCTCATGGCGCCCCCCCGTGCCGGCTTCTGCTCTTCAGTCGCGCAGAATATTTCTTTTCGAGTGACCCGGCACGCCCCCTCCCCCTCTCTGGCTGCGAAGACGTCCGGCATACCAAGTCCTGAACGGCTCTATATCTTGCTGCATTCTTTCCCGCGCCATTTCATACCCCAGAGCCTTTTTCTCTCTCTCTCTCTCTCTCTCTCTCTCTCTCTCTCTACCCTAGACGTCTTCCGCGGAAATGGCCAACCCACCCCACGGTTAGTAGCCATGCAGACATGGCGCTGAAAAAAAAAATCTTATGAAAGATGCTAACGGGTGGCGCGACTGCAGGCGGCGTCCTCAAGGACTTGATTGCGCGTGATGCGCCCCGGCGCAAGGAGCTCTTCGACGAGGCGGAGAAGCTGCCGGCCATTGTCCTCTCGGAGAGGCAGCTGTGCGACTTGGAACTCATCCTGAACGGAGGTTTCTCGCCCTTGGAGGGTAAGTCGTCATATCGCGCAAGCGCACTAGGCGAGGGGCGGCCCCCGATGACACCCGGGAGCCCCTCGCGTTTGGCCGCTTTGCCCCGACATCGGTGCCTGACAGCATGACACAGGCTTCATGAACCAGAAGGACTACGAGGGCGTCGTGGCCAACAACCGTCTTGCGGATGGAAACCTCTTTTCCATGCCCATCTGCCTCGATGTCTCGCAGCAGACCATCGACGAGGTCGGCGTAAAGCAGGGCGCCCGCATTGCCCTCCGCGACTCGCGCGACGACCGCAACCTTGCCATCCTCACAGTCGACGATGTCTACCGCCCCGACAAGGAGAAGGAGGCCAGGGAGGTCTTTGACAAGGACGGCGACATTGCCCACCCTGCCATCAAGTACCTCTACGAGACGGTCCACGACTTTTACGTCGGCGGCAAGGTCGAGGCCATCGACCGCCTCGAGCACTACGACTATGTCGGTCTGCGCTACACGCCTGCCGAGCTGCGTCTGCACTTTGACAAGCTTGGCTGGTCCAAGGTCGTTGCGTTCCAGACGAGGAACCCCATGCACCGCGCCCACCGTGAGCTCACTGTTCGCGCTGCCCGCGCCCGCCAGGCCAACGTCCTCATCCACCCCGTTGTCGGCCTGACCAAGCCAGGTGACATTGACCACTTCACCCGTGTCCGTGTCTACCAGGCGCTCATGCCGCGCTACCCCAACGGCATGGCGGTGCTCGCTCTCCTGCCCCTTGCTATGCGCATGGCTGGTCCCCGCGAGGCCATCTGGCACGCCATCATCCGCAAGAACCACGGTGCTACCCACTTTATTGTCGGCCGTGACCACGCCGGCCCAGGCAAGAACTCCAAGGGCGTCGACTTTTACGGCCCGTACGACGCCCAGGATGCCGTCGAGAAGTACAGGGACGAGCTCGGCATCGAGGTTGTTCCCTTCCTCCAGATGACCTACCTCCCCGACTCGGACGAGTACAAGCCCAAGAACGAGGTCGACGCCGGTATCAAGACGCTTGACATTTCCGGAACTGGTATGTTTGCCTGCCTCGATTTCTGTGTGCTCCAGATACTAACCGAATTGCAGAGCTGCGCAAGCGTCTCCGAACTGGACAGGAGATCCCCGAATGGTTCTCGTACCCCGAGGTTGTCCGCGTCCTTCGCGAGTCTCACCCTCCCCGTAGCCAGCAGGGTTTCACTGTCTTCTTGACGGGTTACCAGAACTCTGGAAAGGACGCCATTGCCCGCGCCTTGAACGTTACTCTCAACCAACAGGGTGGTCGCTCCGTCTCCCTCCTCCTTGGTGAGACCATCCGCAGTGAGCTCTCCAGCGAGCTTGGCTTCAGCCGCTCCGACCGTGACAAGAACATTGCCCGCATTGCCTTTGTCGCATCCGAGCTCACCAAGGCCGGTGCCGCCGCCATTGTCGCCCCCATTGCGCCTTTTGAGGCCTCAAGAGAGGCAGCTCGCCAGATAGTCGAGAAGTACGGATCCTTCTACCTCGTCCACGTCGCCACGCCTCTCGAGCATGCCGAGAAGAACGACAAGCGCGGTATCTACGCCAAGGCACGCGCTGGTGAAATTAAGGGCTTCACTGGTGTCGATGACCCGTACGAGGTCCCCACCAAGCCTGACTTGACTGTCGACCTATCCGTCAGCAACGTCAGGACAGCAGTCCACCAGATTGTTCTTTTGCTTGAAAGCCAGGGTCTCTTGACTCAGTTGTAAAACGCATGGCTACTTCCCTTTTTGTTTCTTATCCCGTATTGGAGCTTGGAATAACCATTTCCATGACGAGCGAATGATTGTGTTTCTTTTTTCTTTTCTTTTTTTTTGCCCGCCATTTATCACGTGGTTGGATTAAATGGAAGGACTTGGGGCTTTCTTTCTTTCTTTCTTTCTTTTTTTTATGATCGAACAAAAGAAAAAGAGAGGGAATATGGTATAGAGGTGCGCTTTCCTCTGGGGTTACTGGAGGGGTTTAGATGAGAGTAAAAAAAAAGACTTGGGATTAACGATTAGAGAGTTGATGTGCATGGTAGTTTTAAAGGAAATCTGAGAGTTATCATGATTGATTGATTGATTGATTGATTTCTTGCCTTTCTTTCTTGTTCAAAGGGAGTCGCGATGCTGCATGTACAATGTGCCTGACCCTTTTTCTATTTAGATGGGTGTTCTTACGGTGAAAGGTTTGTTGGCTGCCGCCCACGGTAATGATAGGGCTTTACGTGACCGAAAAGACCATACCCATACACCTGATTTCCCACAGTTGAAAAAAAAAACACCGCAAAGGTAAGGTAAAAACGTACGAGTACTGCATCAGGCCTATGCAACTTGTTGCAAATCATGCGATGGTTCCTGGCGCTGACAGTCGCGAGCCAATAGCCGATACTCAAGTAGCCGACAGCTCAGCGCCACAAAACAACTGATCTGATGGTGCATCAAGATGCAAGTGTCAGGTATATCACGCAAAAGATTTTATTAGCTTCTTCAAAAATGCCTTGACCCTCTATTTGAAGCTCTGGAACAGGGCATTGCTAGCAGGCCACAATGACTGCCAAGTTGCTTGCCGTTGTTGAAGTCTAGTCGAAAGTGCGGTCAAACGAAATAGAACTATTTCATCTCAAGTACTCTGCCGTCAGCCGAGCCTTTGGCGCAAATCATGATATTATTCCCTTTGAATAACATGATTACTTGGCGTGCTGAGATGGGTCATGACATGGGGAACCTACCGCCATGCTATTGTTCTCATGGCCAAGAACTGTGCCGCAATCGCCCCCCCTTGCATAGGCACACGTCGTTTCGTATGGCGTGCATAGGCAGAGATCGTCTCGCATGGCATGCAGAGGTCCCACATATTTTGTCGCAGCGTATATTTGGTTCCGAATACTGAGGCAATATATATATATATGCTGAGGCTCATTGTCTATTGACGGTGCAGTATTAATCACCATAGTTTTCCTCACGACATTTCCACATGGCCGGAATCATGGCGCACAGAGACTTCAAAGTCATCATTGCTGGCGGCAGCATAGGCGGCCTCACGTTGGCTAACATGCTGGACAGGCTGGGGATAGACTTTGTTGTGCTTGAGGCCTGGGATGAAATCGCCCCTCAAGTCGGTGCTAGCATTGGATTGCTCCCCAACGGCCTTCGAATCTTGGATCAACTCGGCATGTACCCCGCTATGCGCAATCTGATTGAGCAGCCGCTTCGCCTTGCCAGTTCGATTGGCCCAGACGGCCGGTTGATCATGACGGCTGATAGAGTTGACAAGTACATGGGAGAACGGTATGGCTCAAAGCACAGAAGAGAATACGACGTGACTAACGCAACATCAGTTGGTATTATGACACGATATTTGCCGATCGCCAGATGGTCATCGAGAAGCTGTACGACCATTTACACAACAAAGAGAGGGTTCTTCTCAGCAAGAAGGTGGATTCCGTCTGCCATGACAAGAACAAGGTCAAGGTTGTGACCAAGGATGGCTCGGAATTCCTTGGTGATATCCTGATTGGAGCCGACGGCGTTCATAGCATCGTACGACAAGAAATGTGGAGGCTGGCGGATGAAGTGCAGCCGGGATTGTTTCCTGCCTCGGAGCGCACAGGTGCGTTTCGTATTGCAAATTGTGAGCCTGGCTGATCCTTCTCCAGCACTCGCAGAGCACGCCATGTATGACTGCATTTTTGGAATCTCCATCATGAAAGAGTTCACTGCGTTTACCACTCAAAGCACCTGGTACAGGGGCTCATCGGTACTTCTCCTTGCAGGACCAAAGTCAGTATTCCTGCTCCCAACACGTGAGAAATCCCTAACCTGTTTTGATAGAAACCGCGTTTACTGGTTTTTCATCAAGAAGGTGGGCAAGAAGCTGCAGGAACTTCCCCACTATACCAAAGAGGACGAGGAAAGACTTGCCAAGGAGCATGAGAACGACAAGGCTGCAGAGAACTTGACTTTCAAAGACCTTTATGCTGCAAAGATATCGTCGACGCTCACGCCACTTCCTGAATACGTCTTCAAGCGGTGGCATTTTAAGAGAATTATGACAATAGGAGATGCCGCACACAAAGTAAGCATGTACAGAGTCTCTCGTAGTCAGTACTGACACAGTTAGTTTGGACCTATCAGTGGTCAAGGAGGCAACAGCGCCATAGAAACGGCTGCTGTTCTAGTCAACAACTTAGCACGCAGTCTAAAAGAACATCCACATGGCCTGTCCGAAGCCGACTGCGACGACATCTTTTCGCAAACACAAAGAGAACGCTCCCCACGTGTTTGCAAGTTGGTTACCGCATCACACGAGCAGCAAATGTTTGAAGCTTTGGACACGCCTTTTATCGAGTTCATTGCCAAGTATGTCGTCAAGCATTTCCCACTCGATAGTACCATTACCCGGTGGACGGAGGGTGTGGAGGGCGGCCATCGCCTCGACATGTTGAGCATCCCCAAGAGGAAACGGTACGCCCCGTTTCTAGACGAGCTCGTTACGAAGCCTTTTGAAAGCTCCACCTTGATCCAGCTGGCCCTCAGTGCTGTTTTCATGCTGCTCTTCAGCGTCTCACGCAAGGCACTTACCATACAGCCCAGCATCTTCTCTCCGACGTTCGCGGACCACGACCTGAAGACGACATACACGGGTGTGTCTGCTATAGACGCAATGCTATCTCTCCTGGTTTGGGCTTTCTCAGACGGAGTCGCGGGCGAGACTACAAACCAGACGGTTCAAGCCGTATACTTTCTAGTTGCTCTCACCTGCGTGCCTCTAATATGGACGCTGGAGAGCTACAGGAACGGAAACCGGGGCTCTTTTGTCGCTCTCCCATTTCTCTTCGCCATTGCATACCAGCTCAAGGGCATCGGAAAGATTGCACCGCTGTACTACCTCATCAGCATCTATACCTCGAGCCAACACGTATACGTCCGCAACATTGGACGCCCAGTCCCCGTCTCGGTTGCAATATCGCTTCTCCCAGCGCTATGCATTGGGTACATTCTCCCGACAGCTCTGATGCTCTCCCGCTACGACGACACCGCAACGCATCAAAACATGACGGCGCTCTGGCAGCCGTCTCCCATCTTCGTGTCGGTCCTGACCTATGCCTTCTCGTCCATCCTAGCGCGCATCGACCGCAAAGACGCCTACGACGAGCTGTTCCAGCTCAAAGACGTCACTCCGCTGCGCGTCACCTACGGCGTCACATTTGCCATTACCGCGCTATCCCACGTCTACACGTTGATCTACATCTTTTCCAACGCGTCGCTCTCCCTCGCCGAAGTCTTCTTCAACCTGCCGTCTCCCGACTCCATGGCCCGCGAAGCGCACCCCATGTTCGACTTCTTCAAGTGGGACATGACGTTGTTTTTTGCCTGCACCGCGCTGTGGAGCTTGTACAGCATCTTTGAGCTCAGACGGAACGGATACATTACTACCTTGCAGGCGGTCAGCGCGGCACTCGTTGCCGCGGCGGCTCAGGTTGTCGTCGGTCCGAGTGCGGCGTACATTGGTGTTTGGGCGTGGCGTGAGGAGGCTATTATCAATGTCACGCCCATGACGCAGTTTGTGGATGTTGGCGGTGCATATTAAACCAAGCAATCGAGATTCTTTTGGACGGGACGGATGGTTGCGAGGCTCCCGAGGAGTGTGCATTTCTGGCGCATGTCAAATGGCGATGGGTGAGTGGCGTATTTACATTTGTGGTTTTGGTGGGTGGTAGCCTGTTGTGTTCATTTCTGTTGTTGCATATGTTGGCATTCGGTGTTTTATTTTTTTTATCGTATCTGGGGTAGTTTGTCTTGGACTAGTGTATACAGTATCGTGGTATGTATGGTGACTACAACGTCATGTCCCTGCCTGTCTATCATCTCCACGATGCTGTATCTAGAGCCCCAACTACACATGTCTTTCGCCATTTACACGCATCATGCTCCAAAGATTCCCGTTTTTACAACAACGCGTGTAGCACTACACCACCAATGCCAAGAATAGCAGCGTATGGAACATCTACAATAAGTAGTCAGCCGTCTTATTTTCCGCTCTTCAACCCCTACCATCTCAGACTTACCATGCGCATTCGCCACGCTCTTGCCCGTAGGCTTTGAGCTACTCGGTGTATGGACTTCGGTTACAGTCCTCGTTCCGACGAGCATCGTTTCTGAAGGGAGGGTCGTGGTGCCAACAGAACCAGTACCCTGCGATGCGGTGATAGAAGCGTTTGTTGCGCTCATCGAGGCATTAGTTGCAATTATTGCAGTGTTTGTTCCGTTGATTGAAGTTGTCATTGGGCTCAGTGAGGTCGATATAGGACTCATCACCGTACCCGTCGTACCAATCGTTGTATCTTGTGCGAAAACGGCTAGGGCGCTGAAGAGCGCGATTACCAAGTAGATAGTCGAGTAAAGCATTGTTGCGCTTTGATGCAATTGAGCAAATGCTCAGATCAGGTTGGGGTACACGGTGTGGGATACAAGACGTTAGGCAGAGTTTAAACGATAAGACGGTCAAGTAATAGGGCACAAGACAAAATTGCGATTAAGTAGAAGAACATACAATAGATTGATTATCACAAACAAGTAGAGAGCATAAAGGCTAGCTACTCTCTTCTACCAGGGGGGTGACACGTCTCTACATATATGCGAGACCATCCACGCGTGCCATGACGCAAGTACGACTACCACATGCGTCCATGCCACGATAATAACTGGGCACCTATATTCTTCTCGCCAATACCCGTGTGCTTCTCCCAGCGTAGCCACGATGGCCCCCTCACACATCTGGCTAACGCAGTAAGCTAAGCACACTCGTTTCGGCATCGTCTTGTGAGTAGCGTCCAGCCTAGAGCGACCAGCTACGGCCAGCATGACGCGGTCAGAGCCGGAACACAGTCCACGCGGTATTTCTGGAGGGGCAATCTGTTCTATCCTCCTTTGTGTGCACACGCGTTTGAGCGGGAAGCCGGGCTGCCGGGATTGTCGAAGACGAAGGTTTTGTTGGGGCTTTTTTTGTGCCGCAAGGAGGTGAGGAGGGATAGGTACGTAAGTAAGTAGCGGAGTTTCGCGCGCAACTTCTCTCTCTCTCTCTCTCTCTCTCGTATTGCAAAAGTTGTGTTTTAGGCTTGATACGGGATGAGCAGGGCTTGTTTCTTCCAGCATCGAGTCGACATGGTGCCGGATTCGTGCGGAACAAACGGCCATGTTGAGTGCCGTGTAGGGAAAGGATTCAATGTAGTCAGTATGTGCTTCAATTCAGTCATAGGAGCATAACTGACATCAATTTATCGGCGTTGTATTTGCGCTCATGCATTCTCAGTCGCATTTTCACCTCAGCTCGGGCCATACATATATCAGAGTCGAAGCAATTACCTCTCAATCCCAGAGATGGAAGAAAAACTCGTTGATTATCGCAAGTTGTTCAAGTCGCTACACTAGACATTGCTAACATCAACTCTCGTCTCCCTTTGTACATATACAGCATCCCTCACAACCTCCTCAAGCCCAGCATATCCATTTCCCCCTCTCATAGCATACAATCTGCTGCTGTTCCCAGGCTGTTCTTCTTCAAATCCACCCGCGAGCTCAGCCACGGATTCAGCATCGAGGCTTGTAAATGTCAAGGGACGATTCCGCCGTTTCTTGGGGGCACTCCCAACAGTAGGCACTGTATTTGTATTGAAGTAGGTGCTGGGAGCAGATGGCGCGCTGCCTGATCTTATACCGCTGAGGACACCGCCGCAGGAACGAAGGATGGGGCGGAGTAGGGGCAAGGAAGCTGGTGGGTAAATCAGTAATCCGGTTGCAGGAAAACGAGGAGCTTGGGTCTCTGACTGGCAAAAGATGCGAGGTTAACATCGCACACTGCCCATATCTGGTCGTCGAGCCCGTCATACGTGAGATCCTGGTTGTTTTTCCTGTCCAGTGCAGCAGTATGCACAATGGTGCCGAGTGCCGAGCCGCAAACGCTTTGCACTGATTAGGAAATGGGAGGTAACTTGTGCTGAAACCACTCACAGCAATCCAGACGCAAACATAGCTGCTACAGCAAACTGACGTGCTGTTGAAATGTGCAGCCGACAAATCTCAATGAGCGGACAGAGGAGGATGGCGATCTCAAGGATAAAGTGCGGGTATCCCTGCTCCAAACAACGACATCATCGGCGTCAGAGGACATTTCCCAGGTACGTCTCTGTTCCAGAATTTCTGGATCGGTTGGCATTGTGTCGATATAAGCGTCACCTTTGCTCGTCAGCAGATTCCTGCATATTTCATCCTCAACTGTGTACTTACTCTGACGACGATCCAGGCTGCAGAGCATACGAAGAGAACCCTGATAGGCTGTCGTGTGATGGAAAGCGAAAAGGTTCTCCAGTAGAATCCCAGTATAACAAACTTTGACAGCCCGACCGAGAACGTATAGAACCACATGTCCACCCAGAGATCGAGGAAATAGTGGTGAAAGATCTCATCCTTGGGCATATCGATGTCTTCCAGTGGTTTTCCAAGACCCCATCTCATTTCTTGTTATCGTTAGTGCTGCTCCACGTCGCTAGCGCAATGGTACCATACTGTATATGCTGATGAAAGTAAAAGCACTGCCAGTTAACTGTTTAGGCGTAAGCAGAGCGGTGTGCCATCCGTTAGGCCTACCCACAAACGCAACAACAGCCAAGTAGTCTTCCCACACGAAACCATGTCTGCTCCGATGGCGCGAAATCAATCTTAACGCCAGCGCCATAGCAGCGGCGGTATAAGGTATCAGCGCCGCAGCCCATAATTCAGGCTGCCTATTCCGACCCATGAGTAGCGAGTGCAGCAAACGACAAAGCGGAGCGTGTGCCAAAAGACAAAGTGAAAAAACAAAAAAAGCACGTTAACATGCAAAGTGGTAGGTATGCAAGACCATTTTCTCAAGCCTAGGACCGGTCGATATTATTGTGGTGGCTGAACTTGCAGACATTGCTTTTTGCAAAATACCCACATCCGTGGAATCTGCTGGCTGGCTGGTTGCAGCCAGGGACGACCCTTGCGTAGAGGAGCATACATGCGCCAACGGCTGAGGGGAAACCCGTTGGATGCACCCGATAGGCGCTGCATATGTGATTGGGTGCATGCAAATGAAATGGCATGAGGACTGCGTAAAATGGTAATTGGCACGTCTTTCTCGGATTCGGGGTTGTAAATCAATTCAATCTTTTTGCTGGCCGTTATGGCGCCAGTTTTTTTTTCTTGCTGCAGCTAATCGCGTTGTAAGCATTTAACTGATATCAGCAACCAAATGGCATTACACGCATCGTTTTATCTTCTACACTTGAACAACTTGAGCATCGTTTCCCTATAGCCACACTGTTGGTCTGGGACGTGACCTTTTTCTGAACAATACCAGAATTATGTGTCAAACGAAGCCACTGGCATCATACATCCCATTTGCGAATAATTTCCCCTATCCCGCACCCTTAAAATGAATATTCAGAGATTTACAGAAAGGCACAGCAATGACGATGACGACAGGTTTACTCCTTAGTCCTTGGAAAACAGGAGTTCACCTATAAGAACAGTGGCGTCTGCATGGAGCCCAAAGGTGCCGCATCGCGGCATGGCTGTGTACAACAACGCTATTCAGTAGCGAGAAGATGCCATTCGTTCGGGTGCACCCGCAGGGCGCTCCGAATGAAGAGAAAACTCCAACAGACTCAATTCAAGGGTCGAATATGTGAGAGTTACTTGGGCCGGTCGTGTAGACCGGTCAATACAGATGGCGTAAGTGTGGCACAGTCCATGCAAACAGGGAGGTTCTTCATTCGTGTCATATACGGCCCAACTGGTCGTCCTTTGGCGCGATCCGCGGAGAGTGATGGGTATCATGGCTTTACTGCTGATTTGGATTGCGGGTATGTCCAACCATGACTGCCTGCTACTGTTGGGCTATTGGTGGAGATAGGCTGTGGCGACTCATTTGCATGTGCATGAAAGATGTGGACGAGATTGTTTTACTGCATCAAGATCCGTGCTCTTTCCAATGCCCTTCTAACCAAGGGGAGATGGGCCCATGGTCGCAGCACCTCATACCCATTCCGGATGTGTTGTTCTTCTCTGGTCTCCGCGATGAAAGCAAGAGCTGGGTGATTATAGACTACTAGTAGGGTCGCGAAGCAAGCGAACGTACTGGAAATAGTTAGCCCGGGTTTTTCTTCGATTGGATGCAGAGATCCTACGGATAGAGTGTGAAATGAGTTCCCATTTTCCTCTCCATGAGCTGCTCGTTGGCTATACTTAGAAGCAACGCAGAGCTCTCCATACAGCTTCGCGCATGCTCTCTTGTAGTGACCATAGGTTCTTGGTCCTTGCTCACCACTTCTGCTTTGTTGTTTTCGAGGATCCTTAAGACCGACGGCCAGCCAAGGACTACGTGTAAAGCGAGATACTGGATTCTCAGGAAAGATTTTCTAGAATCGAAAAGTGGTGTAGTGTCTAATGGGAATCGTACAACCAGAGGCAGATGATCGTACCACTCTCGCACTTGCTTGCGCAGCTCACCAATGACAACGGGTGCGAATATGACTTGTCCTGTAGCTTCCGGGTTGAATAGTCAGTATGTAACAGTTGCAGGACGTGTGAAAGCTCTTACAATAGCCAACAACTTCTAGAGTCTGTGTCAAGAATTTTCTCAGACTAATCTGAGCCAGGAAGAAGTAGAAACCAGAGTCTTCTTCCTCAAATTGCGGAAGAGGAACAAGTTCATGGAAGTGACGGAGTCCAATTGGGTGCATCTTGCATGTCGCTTCAACCCTACATGGAGACATTGCATCAGCTCACTGACTAGCACCTGTAGTACCACAATTGACCTACTCATGCAAGATTGTCGAGCAAGCCCATAAGGCTCGGTTGAACGCTTCCTGGTCTACTGAGTTGAAGCGTTGCATCGTCTTTGAGCTCAAGATATGCATGCAGTCCCGCGCGGCTTGTGTGATGTAGTTCCAAGTCTGGAGAGGCCTGATGGCAAACTTGAAAAAAGAAGCCTGGAGTATTCGACACTGGAGGTGAGTGAGGTTTCCGATTCGAAATGACAAACGCTCGAGAATACGACAACCACGTGAAAAGTATTCGAGCCCTGGGGTGAAGCTGTTTGAATCACAACGCTTGTCTTCGGCTATAGCACCGAGAGCCAACATCAAAAACGCCAGGCTCGTTTGTGCATCAGAAGATGAAAATTCTTTTGACTCTGCCTGCTCGAGCGCATCTATGCAACTTTGCTGGTCGAAAATTGGAGTCCAACGAAGAACGTTTTCGACAAACGATTGCTGGAGTCTCCTACACGTGCGTCTGGATAGATCAACGGGTTGTAGGATAATAGCATCACATTGGTCAGCTAGTTGCTCGCCAGCTAGAATCTCGTCATCGTAGAACTCTGCTGTGTAGTCCCAGCTCTCCACGTTGATGTATGATGGAGCGCGAAAAGTTGTGAGACTGGGTCTAGGGGTTTTACCCTCGGTGCTTGTCTGACGGTAGGCAAATTCATATGACGCCGGTTTCGTGGGCGAAGTAATAACTATGTTGGTGTTGTTAATCATTTCAATAGCCATTTTGTTAACGGTCGAACGTCGTGGCTCAGGCTCCCGTGTTGAATGATTGTCACTGTGACTCGATGGATTTGGGGAGAAGGCAACAGATTCATGCTGCGTAGAGTCCAGCCTGGTCTCAAGCTGGGCCAGTCGTTTTTCAATGTTGGATAGCGTCGCTGATGGCACACTAGCTGGCTTGGAGCGGTCGCCAACTGACGGCTTTCGATAATTGCATTCTATGCCAAGATCGGTGCAGAATCCACAGGACTGCGGGTGTCAACGGGCAAATGCAAGAACGGGGCCCTTTTACTGACGGGTTTCTGAGCATCGCAACGTGTTTTCCGATATCTACAAACGTTGCACTAAAGCACGTTAGTGGTCATCTTGGCCTGACATAGAGAGATTGTGATGGCCCACAGCAATCGCTATACGTTTCCTTGGATAGTTTTCCGCAGCGTTCGTGCCATCCGGTGAGCTCATTGACAGTCCGCCGTCTTCTGGTGAAAGTCGGGACTGGTTGGACGGAAGTGGTGTATCGTTTTTTCTTTTCCCGATCATGGTAGCATTGAAATTGAAGAATGGTGTCGTAGGTAAACTTGAAGAGTGGCTGCTCAGCTCGGGTGCATCTCTGTGGATATACCGGCCTGAAGAGGATGTTTCGGCTTGTGGTATCCGTTCCGAGTCGAGACCCCGCATTACGCTCGCCTACCATTCCGCGCCAGGAACCCGGATGAATTACATGCAGCACAGGTAATAGACCGGCACTTTGCCCTGTATGGTGGTTATTATACAATAATATACATGGATGCTACTTCATGTGGCAGCGCGTGCCGGTTTTTCTTTGGCCTCCTTTTCTTTCTTACGCGCCTCACGTTCCGCCTTGCGCATAGCCCGTAGATCCGGTGGTTTCTCAATGCCCAGCCTGGTTCTTAGCTCGTCAATGTCTGTCTCCAGTTCCTCTTCCCAATACACGTTGATGACATCATCACTCTGTGCCCCGTTCCTGGTGGCCCATGGGCCGTAGATGTCCCAGAAGCGCCTCCATTCGGCTTTCTTCAAAGTAAATGCGCTAAAAACAGCCAAGCCAGTCATGGGCAGACCAGTGTTCGCAAACTCGAATGCCTTGAGGGCTACCTCGCCCTCGCGAAAGACGGGTAGTCCGACCAGTGCATGGTAGAAGTCGTGACACTCGCGATACCGTTGCATAACATATGCGCACTCTTCATCATCGATGAACTGAACAGCCGCTCGGGTATCAGGCGAGACACCTTCGCGATCAAGCCATGCAGCGTATGCGTATCCCACTGTGTTTGGCGGGAGTTTGCGCAGGCGCGGAATATCAAGAGAGGTTGACGTAAGTCGTGGCCGGTCGCGCAGTATCCGTCGGCCGGTAGGGTTCAACAGCATGCGATCGCGAAGTTTGTAGATGAAGTAGGGTTGTGCTGTAGCCTCACCAAAGGATGCAATAAGATCTAGCATGCGTAAGCAGCGGATCAAGCTTGCAGGCCAAAATCTCAAGTCTCACCTCCTCTCCGGGGATCCAGAAAACTGCCGAGTCCCGAACCTATGGTGAGAGCCAATCTCTCAGTGCGCGTCAACGGTATGTGGCCCTCATAGTTTGGCGGAGGACGGTTAAGGACTGAAAAGCATCGAAACGGGTGTCCACGTGATGGTGTCTGGGGAATTGAGCGCACTTTCAGCTTTGGAAGCTGTTTTATGTGCACATGTCTGGTCATTGGGAATTTTGCAGGCAAGCCGTGCCCAGTGTTGTGACAGGAGCCATGTTTGGACCTCGAGATGCATGACATGATGTATATCTTATCGATAAGTAGCGCGCCACAAACACCAGCCACAGACACCAGCCACACCAGAGCACGTTATTTATGACTCGTTTTCAACCTATCCACCAGTCACTCTTGCAAAAACCCGCCAAAAAGTATCCTTGTTTCCATCAATTCGTTTACATTCCTCTCCTTCATCAGGATATCTGCGAGAATACGTCAATCTGGCCCGAGCAACTTCCTCGCAGCAGTGCAGGAGAAACCTGGCTTCCCTCCAACCAAGCAACAAGAGCATTTCACTGGACGAAAGTGATTCGTAGCCATACTGGTATAACACACATCAATAACCCAAGCAATCTGAAAAAGCAGTATCCAACACAGTCATGACAACCGCTCTGGACCCGGGCACCAAGCACACCGACTTCGTCTCCTGGGCCAAGTCCAATGGCGTCGAGATCCACGGGATCGCTCCCGCGCGCTTCGTAGGCCGAGGAATGGGCATTGTAGCCGCTCAAGACATCAAAGTCAGTTCCCGTCTCTACTCTCTCCCTACCCTTTTCCCAATGCTAAATCATCAAGAAAGGAGATAAGCTAGTCCACGTGTCCAACAAATCCCTAGTCCACGTCGCCTTACCCAGCATCCACAGTCTCAAGCTCCAAGAGACCATCACTGTGCACGGCAAGCTCGCCTTTACGCTAGCACTCTGGTACAAAGGCCACAAGGAGCACGACTACACGCTGTGGCAAGACGTGTGGCCTACGAGTTCCGACTTCAAAGCCACCATGCCAATCTACTACCCTGCGCCTCTGCAAGCGCTCCTCCCGCCAGCCGCAAAGTCGCTATTATCCAAGCAAACTCAGAACCTTGAGCGGGACTGGGCCAGTATCGCCCCACACAACCAGGGCTTAATAGACAAACCGACGTACACTTACACCTGGCTCATTGTCAACACAAGAACCTTCTACTGGTCGTACCCAGACCTGCCCAACGCCCACGCGCGCCTGCCCAAGCGCAGACCCAAGCTCACCGCCGACGACTGCTACTGCATGTGTCCGTTTATCGACTACTTCAACCACTCGGATGCCGGCTGCGACCCCCAGCTCTCGGAGAACGGCTACACGGTGACTGCGGACCGCGCGTATGCGGCGGGCGAAGAAGTCTTCATCACATACGGGTCACACACGAACGACTTTCTGCTTACTGAATATGGCTTCATTCTTCCCGCGAGCAACAAGCATGATGCTATCCCGCTGGATGACTTGTTGCTGCCGCTGCTAGAAAAAGAGCAAGTGGATGCGCTAAAGGAAGATAGCTTCTATGCAAATTATACGCTGTATGGGAAGGAAAGGGACGAAACAGTGTGTTACCGGACACAGTCGGTGCTAAGACTGCTGGTGCTGGATGCAAAGCGGTATGCGGCGTTTGTTAGTGGAGATGATGATGGCGCGAGGGACCAGGGCCGTGTGAACAGGTATCTGGCGGGCGTGCTGACAAAGTACTCGAGGAAGATTGCCGATATCATCGAGCATGTTGAAGGGCTCGACCTTGGGCAGGATTCAGAAAAGGCTGAAAAGGGCGTGGTAGAGGGCCAGCGAGAGACTGTGCTCAAACGTTGGAAGCAGATACGAGATATGGTGAACAACGCCATCCAAACCCTCGAGTCATAGCGCCGTACAGGGACATGCCATCATTAGAGTAGCTCACTCCGTGTAACATGTTTTGAAAGAATCATCTGTTTCATCATCATCTGCTATGCAAACCAAAAAAGTCTACTAAATAGCCCCGATTGACCTTTTTACGCTGTGAATACTCGACACTAACCTTCCTCCAATACTACCTCACGATACACTACCCACGACTAGCGCTGCAACACCCTCCTCTTCACTTCTTACATCAATCTTCATCGTCACACCAGTCTTTGCACTGAACGCCATCCGTACCATAGCAGCCACCTTGCCACCTGTGATAGTCTTGCCGTACAGCTTGAGCGTATGTGTTGATGTCGAGAGAGCGACATCAGTGCCTTCCAATGGCTGAAGGGAAAGGGTCTTGGTGAGTTGTTCGGTCGCATCTGTAGAATGTTAGTTGGGAACGTTGAAAAGTGCGGAAACAACATACCCGCTATGCTCTTCATGTTAGCCAGTTGCAGAGTCTCGGTCGCCGAATCGGTGTTCGACTGCTCCCAGACATTGTCGAAGCTGCCAGCATACGCTGGCACGACATAGTCGGCACCTGTGAGATAGAGGTCCTCCACCTGATATTCGTCTGGGTAGCCGTCGCCCTCCTCCGGCTCGTTTGTGCTTGGGTCAATCTCCTTGCTTGTGAACTTGAGAACGTTGGTGAAGCTGGCGGCAATGAATTGCGACTCGGTCTCGAGACGCTTGAAAGAGACGTAGACCGTGCCTGGCTCGTTGGTGGTGAGCTTTGGTGCTGGAATGACGAATTCCTCTTCTAATTGAACATCGCCATCGTCTTCCGGAGTGACAACCATCTCGACGTCCAATAGGACTGTGTCTTCGAGTGTGTTCTTGATATCGTACTGGAGAACAACGTGGTCCTTGAAGATGTGCTTGATAGCTGTGACGACGTATTCGGTCTCCGATTCGGTAAGCTCGACGACATCGCTTGACTTGAGCACTCCTCCGTGGGCGGCCAATTCGGGAATCTTTTGCAACTCCACGGCGTACTTTTGCGCATTCGAGGCTGCATTCGCGGCGGCGTCGGCTCCCACTTTTGAGGGCTGCTTGGCAGCGCTGGGCGCCTTGAGCGTTGGAGTGGCACCTTCGGTCTTCTTGGAAAGATCGGCAGCGTCTGCTTGCTCGCGCGATACGGTAGGGATTTTGGTGATGTCGAAGGCAGTTTCGAAGGTGTCGCGAGAATCTGAGCTAACGTACATTGCCAACTGGTGCTCGAGAACCGGCAGTGAGAACATAGAGTCGTTACGGATGAAGCTGATGGCCATGTCATCATCCTCCTGATCCATCAATCGGAGGTTCAGTGCGGCGCGATCCCGGACCTCGTCGTCGACATCGTCGAGACAGCGGGTAAGGAGGACGTGGACTGACTTCTTGATCTCAGGGTCCTTTTGGCCAACGCCGAACTTGGCGAGAGCAGAGGTTGCTGCGGCTCGAACAATGGCATTCTCCAAAACGACGCGGTTATAGATGTAGCGGATGTACTTGGTGGGGTGAGGTGTTGAGGGACCCTCGCGTCCGAGAACAAACAGAATCCTAACGGCGAGCTTGGTGAACTCGCAGTCTTCGATGAACTCGCAAAGCGTTGCAAGCGCATCCTCCTTGGCCTCGGGGACAAATCGAATCAGGTCCATGATTGCCTCGACCACAGCTCTCTTGAAGTCGTAGCCACCCTCATCACGCAGAATGCCGCTGAGGAAAGCGAGGAATCCAGACTGCTTGGATTTGAACTTGAGGGCCAAAGTTCGGACAGCCTCGACAATGGTCACCTTGAACTCATCGGTGATCTCAGCCATGAAGCCAGTAATTTGCTTCATCAGCCTGTCTACCGACGACTCGTTGCCCGTCTTGAGGAGTGTTGTAATGGCGAAAGTAGCAATGCTGCGGTTCGAGTTGGTGATGAGCGACTCAATGTCCTGGTTGCACGATCGTACGGCGTCGGGCTTGAAGGAAGCCATTTGCGAGAGGATGCGGAGAGCAGCGAACTTTGTGACGGCACGAGGGGACGTGAGGAAGAGCTGGAGAACGTGGACAGCCTGCACAAGCTCGGCGTCGGTGACATCGCGCATGTCGCAAATGGCCTTTGCCGCTTCGAAGTTGACCATTTCCGACTTGTGTCGCAGCCAGCCGTCGAGGAGCTGCATCATGGGCTAGCACTATGGTCAGCAAACGCATCACACTGCACGGAAAGTATCGCACCTTTCGGAGGTTGGGGTCCTCTTCGGCCAACTTGGCTGCCAGCCTGACGAGCAAGACGGTAGCAGCAGGGCTCTTGACCACGCCTGCAGCAGAGTACTGCTGCACCATCTTGACCAGGCTCATCCTGTCGCCAGAGCGCATTTGGTACAGCAGGCCAATGGCGTGGTACTGTGTCATGTAGTTTGTGCTGGCCTGGAGCGCCGTGTGCGAGCCTCCGCCAAATCCACCCAAGAATCCACCACCCGACTTGCTTCCAGAGGCAGCCTCGGCGGCCTCGGACTGCCATCTTCGCACCACGTCCTTGGCAACGGGGAGCAGGTGGTACGAAGAGACGAGGGCGGCTGAGGCCACCGAGGGGTTCTTGTCGACAATGCACGTCTTGACCAGACGCTCAATGGCCTGGACAGTCGAGGCGTCGATGACTCGGCAGAGGGCACGGATGGCATTAGGGCGGTATACGACGTCGCTGCCGACCGATGTGTCCTTCATAATCGACGACGTGACCATGATGACATCGTCGGCGGAGCTGGCCAGCTCCTTGATGACCAGGTAGACCATCTGGCGGAGCGAGGCATCTTTGTTCTGGAACAGCTTGGAGATGCCGAAGAAGAGGGTCGTGGCTTCTTGCCGGCCCCAGCTCTCGCCGGTGAAGAGCAGGAGGGCCAGCTTGGTCAGGATCACTCTACATTTCCTGGGCGAGATGGGGCTCTGGTTGAATACTCGTGCTGGAGGGCATCGTCAGCTGGTCCTGCGCAACGAAGGCTCTCGCGTCCCCCGCTACTATATGTATATATCTCTCTCTCTGGAGCAGACGGCGCTGCCTACCTTCTTGGAAGACCGATGTCTTGTCGATCTGCGCCACGCCGCCCGCATCCTCGTGCTTCTTGTCCATGGTGGGTGGGTGCAGCCCCGTCCCTCTCTCTTGCTCCGCCCTTTAACGTGGCCTTTTGCGACGGGCGTCTCGTATTCGCGTGCAAGCACCGCCCAGCAGTTCGAGGGCGCAGATGGAGGCGGGTGCAGGCGGGGAGGCGGCAATTGGTGTGGGGTGTTGTCGGGGTCGAGGGTCGGGTGAATTGGCGACGTTGTTCAAGATGCGCTGGACTGGCCGGAGTGCGCTGCGCCTGCAGGCATGTGCATGTTGCATTCTTGGCGCCCGGAATCCACTCCCACATGCGGCCCGGGTATTCAAGGCGTTAGTTGCTGCTTTTTGCCCGCCCATTTCGCTCTCTTCTTTTTCTGCTTCTTCCTTCTCCCCGCCATACCAACTGCCCTCCGCAATGGCTGTCCCCATATCGCGATCCCGCTGTCTCCTCGCCTCGTCCGCCTCCACAATAAAGTCTGTCCCGCGCTCGCGGACGCCGCTGAGAGCCTTTGCCACAACCTCCGATACGCCGCAACCACCAGCCCCAGACGCCTCTGCAAAGCGCACACGACCCTCGACATCCTTCAGCGATACACTGAATGCCGGCCCTTCGTTTGGCGACTTTGTCAACCCCAATGCGCCCCTCTCTCCCGCCGAAGCATATGAAATCAAAACTGTCCAAGTAGGCCCAGAGGGGCGCAAAAAGACAATCACACGACTGCCCGAGTGGCTGAGGACGCCAATTCCCTCGAATGCAAACCAAAACTACAAGCAAATCAAAAAGGACCTGCGCGGCTTGAACCTGGCCACCGTGTGCGAGGAGGCACGATGTCCCAATATTTCAGACTGCTGGGGCGGCAGTTCCAAGAGTGCGGCGACGGCGACCATTATGCTCATGGGCGACACATGCACGCGGGGCTGCCGCTTCTGCGCTGTAAAGACGTCCAAAGCGCCCCCACCACTCGATCCCCACGAGCCTGAGAACACGGCTGAAGCATTGCGAAGATGGGGCCTGGGATATGTAGTCATCACCCTCGTGGATCGAGATGACCTCGCCGACTCGGGCGCGCACCACATTGCCGAGACGATTATGAAGATCAAGCAAAAGAACCCGACACAGCTCGTCGAACTGCTGGGAGGAGACTACGGAGGCAACCTGGAAATGGCAAAGGTTGTTGCGCGAAGCGGCGTCGATGTCTTTGCGCACAACATTGAAACCACGGAGCGCCTCACACCCTTTGTGCGAGACCGAAGGGCAAAGTTCAGGCAGAGTCTGGATGTGCTAAGGTCCGCCAAGGAGGCCCAGCCAGAGCTCATCACAAAGACGAGCATGATGCTGGGTCTAGGAGAGTCTGAGGAAGACGTCTGGCATGCGTTGCGGGGTATGTACAACCACTGCTCTCTCTTTCTCGACACTCTCCACCAAAAACTAACATATTCTGCCCAGAACTCCGCGCAAACAACGTCGACGTCGTAACCTTTGGCCAGTACATGCGCCCTACCAAGCGCCATTTGGCCGTCCACGAATACGTTACTCCCGATAAATTTGAACTCTGGCGCCAGCGCGCTCTCGACATGGGCTTCCTGTACTGCGCCTCTGGTCCTCTTGTCCGCTCCAGCTACAAAGCAGGCGAAGCCTTTATCGAAAACGTACTCAAGAAGCGAAGACTCGGCGCCACAGCCAAGCCCGAAGTTGCTGATCTCAGCGCTGCGGGCGAAGCCGAAAAGCCCTTGTAAACTGTATTACAAAGTAAATGGTTTTTGCAAAACTAAGAAAAGCCATTTACACGCGCATATCCCATGTTTTCAGGGTTTCGCTTCAACTCGATCCTGTAACCCAGCTGTATGATTTCACCCGTTGGGGCTATTTATATGCGTGACATGATTTGTGTACACTCATCCTATTAACGACCTTTTTATCGTCCACCCTAAAGCGGCAGTGTAACGATAGCTAATGCACAAACCACTTCTACCATCCATAACCCACACTTCACCAAGTTCAATCCTCACACTGTCAAAGAAGAAAGAGCAAAAACCGGTAATTTCTAAAGAAAGATGTCTTGAATTCATGTACTGGACATCTAGATCTACAGATATATATATATGTGTGTATATAAAAAGCCCTGCCACCCACACAATATCTACATTTCCTTGCACCGCAGTGCTAGATACCAAAATCTACCTGCTTGCTCTTTTCTTCACCCAGTGAAGAAGAAGAAACAAACAAACATTGCCACTGAACACCGCCCCAGCCACGTACCCACCCAGTATCTAAAAAGCAGATCCCCATCTACCCCGCCATGTATACCAGCAAGAAATGAAAAAAAGAAAGGAAGGAAGGAAGGAAGGAAGAAAAAGCGAGAGTCTCTATGTAGTGTTCGGTATGTACAACGACCAGCGAAACGAAGGGAGGAGAAGAAGAAGAAGAGGTGGAAGAAGAAGAAAACGAATGATCTCAACATCCAAGATGGAGATGGAGAAACGCGCCTGGCGGGAAAGACCGATAGTCTAAGTCTTGAAAGGGAGGGGGGAGAGAGAGAGATAAGGAAGGCCCTGTGGCGGTAGCGGAGGAGGAGGAGGAGGAAGAAAAGAGAGCCAAGGGGCGTAAAGTAAGTGAGGGATTCTCACTTAGTTGTTGGGTAATCCCGCGCGCAGATTATCATATTTGCTCTGGGGGTAGCTGAGGAGATTGGGAGATTGTTCGAGGGCGCCAATGCCGCCGACGCCATTAACATACTAATCATTATCGTTAGTTAATCATGCCCATTCAAGCCCCCCTGGGAAAGACAGGCAGTGAGGCAAAGGGAAAAGGAAAAGGAAAAAAAAACTTACAGTGGAAATCAAACTGTCACTTCCCTTCTTGTCGCTTGAGCTCTCCCACCACATGCCGCCGCCAAGCCCATTCTGGATGATGAGCTGTGACTTTCGCGCAATGATCTCAGGCGTGTCGTAGCTAATCATGAGCTTGCTGTTGCTGTCATAGGTCCAGCTGGCGGTAATCTGCATGTCGGTGTAGATCTGGGCACCAGCCTGCGGCAGGGCCTTGTAGTCGTAGACGCCGGTTTCCCACGTGCCCTGGCCGACGCCCTGGAAGGGAGTGCCGGGGCCGGCTGTGTTGGCAAAGGAGCGGCCGTAGAGCGGCATTCCAAGGACGATTTTTGAGGCAGGCACGCCGGCGGCTACGTAATCGGTGATCGCCTTGACGGTGCTGAAGGGGGTGCTGTTTGTGTTTGAGGCAGAGGGGGCCCAGTTGGCGAGTTGGCCGGCGTAGCTGTCCCAGGAACCAGCGTAGTCGTAGGCCATCAGGTTCCAGAAATCAAGGTACTGGTCCATGGCCGCGAGCTTCATTGTGTTGTAGTGTGTGGGACCCGCAGGAGACGCAACCGTCAGCAAAAGGTGTTGGCCGTTGGCGTACGCGTTGGAGTAGTCGTTGAGTGCCTGGCGGACGGCTGCTAGGAGAAGCACCATGTTGTTTGCCTGTGTTGCATCTGCAGGATATTCCCAGTCAATGTCGAGGCCGTCGAATCCGACGTTGGCTAAGATGGCAACGGCGCTGCTCGCAAACTTTGCTCGCCCCTCTGGAGTAGAAGCAGGCACCACGAAATGAGAAGAGTAGGTCCATCCACCAATGGACAAGAGGACCTTGAGATTGCGGTTGCGCTTCTTCTGCAGGAACAGCTGCTTGACGCACCCGTAGACGTTGTTTCCCACATCGTTCCACGAGTCATTGGCATAGTGCTTGTCGGTATCAGACCAAGAATCGGTCAGGAAAACCTCGCCAGTATCCCGGACATCAGCAAAGGCGTAGAGAACATGGGTCAGTTCTTCGGCTGGGAGATCCTGTGGATTGTAGTTGCGCCCATAAATGGCCTATAAAGCTATTAGCCCGTACATCTGCCACAATTGGCTAAAGAAAACGAACCCAGTTGACAAAGTACGCAACATTCTTGTAGCCGGATGTAGCGGCAGGCATAGTGCTGTTGCTGTTGGCCTGTGCAATTGGAAAAGCCTGAACAATTGCAGAAGATTGGAGTAGAGATGTTACTCCGACAAGCAAGTTGATGGTCCGCATATTTAAAATGTCGCTAGTGGCGCACTATGTAGTGTGTTACGTGGCTGTGGCGGGGGCTAGTGCAGGTACCAACGTGGCTTCGGTTCAATGCCGAAGTCAAGGTAAAGTGGATGTTGAGATGCTGTTGCTGGTGGGTATTGAAGAGAATCCCAGCCTGAGGGTACTTATACTTGAAGAATGAAATGGAGATAATGTGTGCCAAGGTAGTGCGGCCTAGCAAATGTGTCAAGGAATGAAAAGGAGGGTCACTGGACCTTGCAACGAAGTGAGGATACTACACAATCTCTCCAAAAGGAATGTGACAGCGATAGAACAGAGCAGCAGATGGAGAATGACTGGACTCGGGACGGATGGGTTACATATCGTCGTCCACGCGCCGGCAGCAGTATGCAGTCGGGGTCGGTGGTGAAGCTAGCGTTCACGCGTGCAGATTTGACAAGACAGATTAGTCCCGATCCTGAGAACATGTCCGAGATAGTCAAGAATGACGAAGTACCGGCCAGGTGTTGACGGCTACAATATGGGACGAACAGATAGAAGCGCTTGAGAGGCGCAACAGTAGGCGCCGACGCATCCACGCTCAATATGGCTCGTATCCTGAGAATACCGCCGAGTAACTTCAGATTCTCCATTTCAAAGAAAATGGTGTTCTTCATTGCTAGAATGCACAACTTTCGAACGGTCCTGGGATCATCTGACTTGAAGCGTCTCTTAGATGCAGCACTAGGAGTGACAGCAATGACAGGCTCAACGGTTCTCCACTTGGCAGGGCCACGGGAAGACGCATATTCTAGAAAGCTTGAGAAATCGATGAAGGTGACTTTTGGGCGTGGAGTAGAGTGGTGTGATGTGTGAAACACTCTACAAATCCTTAGACTCGAAGTAGATGTGTAACGTCAGGATACGACATAGTACCGAATCTAGGCGCGGGACCCAACCGTTTGCTGCTCGCTTATTCTATAGTGGCGGCTCCATGGTTTGGATTGGCGGCGTAGGTGAGACCCTCTAGTCGACACCCTTTACGTTGGGCCGTTGTGGAAAAGTCATGTGAAATGGAATGATAACGCTAGGTGGTGTAGGCGAACAGGTGTGTCCCGTGAGGTAGAATACTACCTAAGCCAGGGTGGGTAGGTTTGAATGCGCGCCACAGTCCAGATAACAGGCATCGTCTAGCCTGGAGCCCGACAAGCGAGTGCCAACCGAAGCGCAATAGAGAACCCATATCTTCCCCACATGAGCGCCTCTTCCGCGCGTGGGTATGTCAAGCCGCCCGCCCATCTGATCACGCATGCCAAGCACGGATATTGCGATGGGCGACGCTTGCGCTCTTGGGACTAGTCCCGAGCCGTCTGGAAAGAACCCCAGCGTATCGCACAGAGCTGGCGAGGATGGAGAGTGAGGTCCCAAGAGCGCGCGTGTTCGACGGCATCAAGACCATGGCGAGGGACGGACGGTTGGCCCCATGCAGACTAGAGGCCGAGTGACGGAACAAGCAGGAATTCCGACCTAGATGCGGCGATGTCGTAGCTCTGCAGTTAGACGTCTAGCGCATCAAGTGAGCCGTTCCAAGCACATTTCAGGGTGCAACCCTATGTCTTCACCCACCGTGGGCGACCAGAGAGGCACGCGACGCTTCTTGTGGGGATGCTCCCACTAGGAGGAGCTGCGCGCTGTGGCACGCGCCGAGGAGTTCTTAGCCTTGATAAGGCTTCGTTGGGCGTTGCGGGGCATGCGAGCTCTCTTTCTCTCACCGTCTATCGTGGTTGCGGGTGGTGTTGGAGGTCGGCCTGCGGGGTGTGAGAGGAATAATAGGGAGAGCATGCCATTCGCCATCGGCCCGTGCGCGTTCGGCTTCAACCAGACGGCATCACGTCTCTGCCACAACCGCAATCCTTATCGCATTGTCGTATTCTCTGGATCTCGACTCTGCTTCCTCCCGAGTAGTAGTTCGGTCGTTACATGCACAACGTGGCCTATTGGCTGCTCGGGATAGCAAGCCCCTAGTGTGCACTTGTGACTAATAGTTGTCGCCCAGCTGCTGCATTCTCTCAGGCTTGATAGAAGGCTTGAACTTAGACTTGCACGCCGCACACACCGACTTCTCGCCCATTTTGCACATGATTAGTTAGTTACGTGGCATGTCTCCATTGGGTATCGGTCTGTGGTATTATCTGTATCTTCATGTCCGAGGCGTCGTGGGGGAGCCGCGTGACGCGAGGAACGAAGAGAGGCCATGTTGATACATATGATAAGACTGGCAGTGGCGGGTATCGAAATGAACCTCGACTCCCTGTACACCGACCCGAGAGCAGTTCCATTCCCGCTGAAGTCCAAAGAATGTGCACCCCGCGTTGGGTGACGTTCGGTAGTCCACTTGCCTTGCCTACGACAACCTTCGCACCAGGCCACCAATGGGCCCTATAGCCTTCTTGCTGAGTAGTACGTCTCGCGTGCCGTCTCTTGTCCTGCACACTGCCTTTTCGATTCGGCCGTCTTTGGTGATGCTCATGACTGCTGTCCGTCTGTCGGACCAAGTGATGGTGATTTGTCTGACCGCCGCGTCGGCCTCCATGTCCAGAATGCGTGCGCCATCTTCATTTTCGGATTCCTCGACTTCAGAACTGGCTTCGTCGTCGCTTACGAAAGCGTTGAGAATCTTGCCGGTTGATGCAGTTGCCAAGTCCTCACTGCTCCGTCTCTTGTCTACTAGTCCAGCCTCTTTCTTCAAACTTTCCACAGCGGCAACCCGCATGTTCCAGCTCACCAGCTCTTTCCGCAGTTGCCGCCCGAAGCGCACGAGGTCCTGCTCTGGGTCGTGTTCCTCATCCTTACCGCGCCCTGGTAGCCATTTGGCGGCCAGCGGCTGGAGTGGTATGCACGGAGGGATGGTGTGCTTGTGGACTTTGAGAAGCTTCTTTCCCTCCCTGTCTTCAACGCTCAACAAGACATGATAAGTGTCGATGAATCTCTCGGCAAGCGATACATCAATGCTCACGCCGAGGATGTTGCCGTCATTCACTGCATGGGGGTCTGGGTCCTGGACTTTGTAGGCAGTGACACCGGCACATGCGCGGTATACGTTTTCGAGGTTCCGCCTGGACTGCTGTGCAATAATGCGCTGAGCGTCGTCGGCGGGCTGATGACGCTGGTTTCCCTGCTGTAGACGCGCCGCCAGGTGGGGTTGCGACAACAAGACGGACGATAGATTTGCACGGTGGGCCTTGAGCGTGGCTATGCGGCGGTGCAGCTCAGCAATGTCGTCGTCGAGCTGGTCAGCGGCGTCCATGGTGGGCTTCCGCAGCAGTGTGTCGGAATATCTGTGGTGCGTCCAAGGCGGGCGACGTTGGTGGCGATGCGCGTCGCGTCGGCACGTGAATAAGCGTGGGCAGGGGCCAAGCGGGACGAGGTCCGCCTATTGCATAGTGCCTCGCTGTTCTTTACTCTAGCCGTCGAGAGGACACGGTTGATGAACCGTTGCACGCTTTTAGGGCCCGCGGCGATCGTTGCTGCATATATGGATTGATGCCCGCACCATACTACGTCTGCTGGATGTAATCACTTCGCTTTCCATTGCCAGTCGCTCTCTACACAGGAACACGCCCAAACTTTCCTTCTCGTCGGTCCCTAGTTCATCCGTCATCCCCTGCATCCGCCACGCCTCCAAGACGATATATATCTCTATCATCGCCACCCGTTTTTTCCACCCGCGCCAGTTACCCCTCTTCGATCCGAATCGGGTAGCCAAGGAAAATACGCCAATGAGCAAACGCGCCTCGCGATCCAAAAATCGTGGCTCTGTATCCCGAGAGCAGGGCACGACCGACTCGCAACAAGAGAAAAAAGGCGATGCCAATACTACCGCGACTATGAACGGTGTTATGCTAGAACATAGGCGCAAACATTCCTCCTTCGACACGACGTCGCCGTCGAGCCAGGCCGCGTCGCTCATGGGCCACTCCAACTTCTCGCTCGATGACGAGGTGCCGAAGCTAGGCGAGGACGACGAAGGCTCCTCCAAGGGCTTCTTCGAGCTTTCCAAGAAAGACCAGCGGAATTTCCTGTTGCTGGTGTTGCTGTACTTTCTCCAAGGCATACCGATGGGATTGGCGCATGGCTCCGTGCCCTTTCTCCTCAAACACAGTGTCTCGTATGCGGCCATTGGCGTCTTTTCGCTCGCCGCGTACCCGTACTCGCTGAAGCTGCTCTGGAGTCCTATCGTGGATGCCGTATGGTCGCCCAGCATCGGCCGCCGCAAGAGCTGGATTCTGCCCATTCAGACCATTTCTGGATTTTCCATGATTTGGCTGGGCAAGAACATCAACCGCATGATGAAAGAGGCTGGCGAGTCGGACAGCGGAGTTTGGAACTTTACATGGTGGTGGTTTGCGCTCGTGTTCCTTTGCGCCACGCAGGACATTGCTGTAGATGGTAGGCTTCGTCTTCCGGACCAACAGCGACAAGACTAACCATTCTCAGGCTGGGCACTTACCCTTCTCTCCAAGGAGAATCTCGCATACGCCTCGACTGCGCAAACCGTTGGCCTGACGGCAGGCCAGTTCCTCTCGTACACCGTCTTTCTAGCCTTCAACTCCAAAGACTTTGCAAATAAGTGGTTCCGTACCACCCCCGCCGAAACAGGCATCATGGAGCTGGATGGCTATCTTAGCTTCTGGGGCTGGGCCTACCTGATTGTTACCTTTGGGCTGGCTGTCATGAAGCGCGAGGATCGCGACAGAAACGGTGACGGTATTGGAGAAGTGTACCGCACCATGTGGGGTATTCTCAAGTTGAAGAACATTCAGAGCTTCATCATCATTCACTTGATTGCAAAGATTGGCTTCCAGGCAAACGACGCTGTCACCAGCCTGAAGCTGCTGGACAAGGGCCTGAAGCAGGAGCAGCTGTCGCTCGTCATCTTGGTAGACTTTCCTGTCGAGGTGTTTCTGGGCTACTACATTGGAAAGTGGTGCCAGAGCTATCCCCCCATGCACATCTGGTGTTGGTCGTTTGTCGGGCGTCTGGTTGCGGCCGGGTTTGCGCAGTTTGTCGTGTCCATCTTCCCCGCGGGAGGCGCCTCGGGAGGATTCCTCCTGCTCGTCATTGCCGAGCATGTGCTTTCGACTTTTATGAATACAGTCATGTTTGTGGCTGTCAGTGCGTTCCATGCAAAGATCTCGGACCCGCTCATCGGCGGCACATACATGACGCTTCTCGCTACGTAAGTTGAGCTTGCTGGGCTAAACCACGTATATTTGTAACTAACATGCCTCCAGCGTGTCGAACCTCGGCGGGACGTTCCCGCGCTACTTTGTCCTCAAGGCCGTCGACATGTTCACCTCGGCGACCTGCATACCGCCTACAGGCACGCCCAAAGCGGGCCTCAAAGGGCCTCTGGTCACGCAGTCTTTCTCGTGCTCTCTCGAGGCCGAAAAGCATCGATGCATAGAAGGCGGAGGCGTATGCAACGTCACGACGGACGGATACTACATTGTCAACATACTGTGCATTGTGATTGGAGTGGTGACGTTTTGGGGATACATCAAGCCGGCCGTCATGAGGATCCAGGCGTTGCCATTGAGGGCATGGCGGATCGCTGCATAGGACGCAGAAGAAGACATGTACGATATAGACATGATAGATGGAAGCAGCTGAGTAAATGGACGCAACACCTCAAGGTCGCTGACTCTGGTCACCCATGTGGATACCTGCACGTGACGAGCAATGTATGTGAGACGACGGCGAGTGTCGCGCTGTCCCGTGACCAGGCGTGCATGATGCGGCCGGTAATTAATATGTCGTGCTCGTGGCCTGACGCAAGCGGCCGCGAGTGCATGCAGGGCCACACAGCCAATTACCAAGCTGCGCCCTGCATGATCTGACATGGCATGTTGTATATACCTAGATAGATAAGCATACATTTTCAACTTGGTCCCTTGGCAATGCATTCCGACGATGCCGGCCAAGCCTGCACCGGTAGTCTAGCACACCCTCGAGCGATAGAAAATAGTGAATAGTATTTAACCTACTACTAATATAGTAATCAACTTGGGAATAAACAGAGATAGGGCTGTTAATATCGTTAGTTGGAATATTCTAATATTTATATACACTATAGAACTATTACCTATCAAGTTGTTTAATTTTTAGACTATTTTTACCTACCAATATCGCTACTATTATTATGTGTAATTTTCTTTTCTGTATTATATAAGAATCGTGATTAAGAAACTTAAGAATAAGAAATAAGCTTAACGTATGTGGCAAGCGAGCGCCGCAGGCAAGCGAGCGCCGCACCCCACCAAACCTGCGCACCTCTATAAGCCTGTATTATTATTATTATTATTCTAG